ATTACCTGCCGTGTCTCTGCTCCTAGGGTTGGATCCAACAGTCATGACTTCCACTGGTGCAGTGCAATGTCCTAGGCCGGTCCTCCCTCTGCAGCCCCACATGTGTGATCCAGATCTGTTCCTGTGTGTCCAAAGCAGATGGTGGGGGGGGGGGGGCATTGCGGGAATTAATTCTGGTAGTTACACTGGTGGATAACCAGTTAAGATCTAACCTCAGGTTGTGAAAGTGCCTCCGAGTTCTCGCCTCAGATCTGCGCACATGGAGTCACTTGTAGTTCTCCGCAATATGGGGAGCAACTTTTTTGCAGTGAGGGGAATACAGTTTCTCTTCTGCTTCTGCTACTGCTACTGCAACTGATTGTCACCTTGCAATTACAGCCCATCTTTTTTCCTCTTGCATGGAAGACAAGGTGGCTACATAGCTCCAATTTACCATTGCAATAACCACTGTGAAAGGCTGAGAGGGAGCAATTGGTCCAAAGTTGCCCGGTGAGCTTCATGGCCAAGTGGGTGCTACAAGCCCCTGGTCAAACACTCTAACCAGCAATATCGGCACTGTGGTCTCATAGGCACCACATGCCAGGAGCTATTGGAGAGAATCTATGCTATTAGCTTCCGCAGAGATTTGGCAGGTTATTTGCAGTGAAGTTGTGAAGTTTGCCTGCAATGCTTGCCAGTGTTCTACAACCTGCTGTCTTCCCTGAGCACTTAAAATCTTAACTTTCTATAATATCACAGTAGTTTATCCATTGTCTGGGAGAGTTTACAGACAGATGATTTTACAGGCACAGTTTCTCTCTGTGTAAAAGAGTTTAATTTGCGTGCTAAAGTTTGGAAATTTGAAACAAGATTCTCCATAACTGAACAAATAATTTTCTTAAATAATCAAATTTACAATTATGTACACTTGGTACCTTTCCCAATCTGGCATCTCCTTCTGAACTAACCAACACGCTTCATCAAACGAGCACTAAATTTCACACTAGTGAATTTACAGTTTGACCCATTTGTATGTATTGGAGAATCTGTCTATGGCAAAGTGGGATCATCTGGGAATGGGTGATAACGAGCCGTTAGAACCTCAAGAACAAAAAGATTCCTTGGACTGCAGCCATCCAGTTGCAATATAATCAATGTAATCTTAGCACTGAAATACTGTTAGTGTGACCTTGGGTTGTTTTGTTTTTAAAGAGCAATTTGCCAGTTAGACTGCTATGGAAATTACATACCAAGTTAGGAGTGGAAGTTGCAGAAATAGGTTGTCCAGAAACAATGTAGCAATGATACTGTCCTCACCCCATTTTCCGGTGCAGAATTCCATTTGTGACAAATGTGGCCATGTACTTACATATTACATTGGAACATGCTGTAGTGGGCGTGCCTTCACAGTCCAAGGCTTATGGTGCATTTTGTCCTTGTTTGTCAAATTGCTGTGAGGTATTTCCTTATCCACAACTCTTGTATTCTTTCCCTACCATGTTGACTCAGAAGCAAGTCCTACAGAGTTCATAAGTATGCAGTCCTTATGTAAGTATGTTTAGGATTACAGCCTTACTCTGAAGAGGAGCCTGCCCTGTAACAGGCTGAGGCTTGTATGAGAAGGTGCATTGCTTAACCAAATGTCACAGATGGTGTGTAGAGGTGGAGAGAAGGGAGGACCTCTCCCTCCAGAATGGCCTTGGCTAAGATGCTATTTAAATCTAGCTCTCCTAAGATCAAAGCTGACCACCCAGTGGACTGGATGATCCTGATTTGATCATGGTTGTGTTACCATGAACAGTTTCCCACTTGTTACAACCCTATTCAAAAGTTCATTCCTCACCCAGTTAGAATTGCAGGAGGGGAACACAGAGACAAGCTCATTGACCACGTCCCTTCCAATTCCTCACTGCCTGTGTCTGTAGTCCATTGCACTTTGGGGGCTGCATCCTTGTTGTGTTGGCTCTTGAGCAATTTAAACTCTTTGAAGAGCAGGGTTCTAAATTGAACAGGGGACCTTCATTAGCCCCCCTGCCCATGCAGCCACAGGCATCCAGCCCCCAGGGCATAGAAGACTATGTGGGTGGTCGACAAAGACACAACAGAGCAGGTGAGGTCCACAGGCTTGTCCATAGCTACCTCCTGATCTGCATCTGATTCTGTGGAGTGGTTTTTTCATTAGCACCAGGTGCTGGAATATAACTTTCTTCTTTTTATTAATTTTGTAATTTGCTGTTAGGCCCTGAAAACATACCCAAAGTGTTCATGACTGTACTGAAGAGGGAAGTTCATGCAGAAGGTGAAGGATGCTGGGCCACAATGATAGTCTTTTCCTGATATTAGAGTTGAATAAACACAGGATTTCCCTTCAGCAGAGGAAATGGTTCTGTTTTCTTTTAGGAGGAGAGATGCGTGGCAGGCAGATGGAAATCTGGAAGTAGAGCTGGAGTGATTTATTATTTCCACAGTCACCTCCAGGAGCCCACTGGTCAAACCACCATATATATATATAATTGTGTGCAAGAAGCAAATGTTATTGGCCTCATAAGGCAAACATTGCCATGCAAGGTTGCTAAGGGTCTTGGCTGGCTTTAAAGCTTTTTTTGAAACACCTTTGAATGACCTCAGCTACTGAGGAATGCTTGTGCACATGTCACAGAACCTGCAGAGGATTCTGGAAGATTTCCCAGCCAGGTAGTCCTCCAGCTGCATGTTGGAGGAGGAGAATAGAAATGGTGAGTAAGCTGCTCTTTTTCAGGGAAACTCGTGATTTTCTCACTGAGGAGGATTCCTGGAGATGAGCTTAGACAGGTCAGCTTGTTGGTAGTGGCCAGCCAGATGTGTTGCAGATTTACAAGGAGGGTGCGATGACAATCCTCATCCACTTTTACCAGTTTGCAACAGCGGGAATCAGCTACTTCTCATCATGGAACCCATGCACCTGGCTCTTAGGAAAATATATACCTGTTTTTCAGTGAGTCTTCTAACAGTGGAATGAGCAGTGGAGTTCTGTAGATAAGTTATGTGCTATTTTAAAAGTAGTATCTTCTTGGTTCCTGCAGTCTCTCTTTTTCCCTTCTGAATAATGCTCCTTTCAAAATAATGCCCAAATTGTAAAGCATCAAGGATGGAGAACAATCCTCATTGTTGAGCAGCTTCCAGATAGGTCTGTCTGTAACAAAATGTTTTGCTCCCACATTTGTTGCCAAAGCCACATGCTTGAGCAAAGTGTTTTGCAACATTCCTCCTGTTGTGCCCTTTTCCCTCTGTCTTTCCACACAAACCTACCGGGCTAGGCTTTTTCGACAATGCCTGGGTCACCTTCAGGACTTGTGAAGTAGTAGTGGACGTGGCCAGAGTGTTTTCTTCACACTGCGAAGAACAGAACAACCCATGCATGTCTGGAGTGAGGAGCGAAGGCCTCCTGAGCGTTGGCTGGCTTGACCCCTGACCCCTCTCGCATAATTCTTAAAAACACTGCCCACTGATCTTCCTTCCCCGACCTGGTTCTTGCTGGCCAGGACCTGCAGCACACCAGTGTGCCTCTCGCAAGGCTCATTAGTGCAGCATCCCATTTCTGTCCTTGGCCAGCAAGAGGTTCCCACAGGAAACCCGTAAGCTGAATGAGCGGCATCATCTTCTGCTTTTCCTCTGCATTCGGCTTGCGGAGGGAGGCTTTCTCTAAACGTGGGTGTTCCACATTTGTGCCACAAAGTATTCACCCAGGACTTCCCCTTTTTTAGTGCTAGTTATCTGTTAAAAAATAAAGTCTTGGCAAGGAGGGCTTAATTTGTCCCCAGAGCCTGTCTGAATGCCAGGGCTCAGCACAGAAATCGCATGCCTCAGAGTGTCCTTCCCTCTTCACGATGTGGCTGCTGTCATCTCCACACAACTGGCAGAAGGATCTCCTGGTTAGCAAGGCTGGCCTCCAGGCAAAGCGAAGCCCTTCAAAAGAACATCTCTATGCTACCCCAGAGCAGGATAGCTTGGTCTTGTAAGTGGAGCTCTGTCCTGACACTGTTATTTAGTGCACTGTGTTATTTCAAAACTTGTATACCCCTTTGTGTGGCACACAGTTTAAAGAGTGGCTGCTCCTCTCCCACTCAAAAATGCCTTGCGCAAAGAAGACTCCAGGAGTTGGACCTTTTCCCCCACCAGTTGCTGTGCAACCTCCTCCTCCTCGGAGGTGAACTTTTCCCAAGACTGTCTTTTTCAGGCTTGTTAAGAGCAACTAGTAAGATTGGATTGACACTTATGTTCAGTTTTGTCTTCTCCTCTGTGCCCTTCTACATGGGCATATTCAGAAGATGTGGGAATTATTTTCCCCCTTCTTTTGAAACATGTTAGGTATTTGCAAATTTTTGTTGACCCCAACCTAATATTTTCCCCACCCAGTGCCTTCCAGATACACTGATGTCAAGGCCCCATTATCGCCAGTCACCATGACCACTGCCCATGCTGATTGAGGTTAATGGGAGTTGTAATAGAACACATCCTGGAGATAGCAGGTTGGGGAAGGTTGCTTAAACCTAAGCATACCAAACCCCTTTTGAGTTTACATCTAGAGTGGTCCATCTTCTTTCTATGTGTGCAACACAGGCTGGAATGCAAACCCAAGTGAATGTCACAGTTTAAATCAAGTTACAGGAGCTCCATGTTATTTGTGTTAAGATTTGGTAGTGCTTACACTATGTAGACACCATTAAGAATTGTTGCTAATGAGTGCTGTCTAGTTCTCAAGTGCATATCTTTTGCTTGGCTGCTATTCACAACTGACTTGTATGTGGAAAGGTGACCTGCTGTCCACTTGGAAATTGCAATGGAAGAATGAAAAATGCATGAGAGAAGAGCCATCTTTGCTAAGGTTACCTAAATCCATGCAATAATAGCAGAGACTGCATGCAAAGAAAGATATCCCTGTTGTCTGGGGTGGGTGTGGGGAGGCACCTAGCCTCTGCTACTCCAGCATTTGGGGTTGGGTCCATCAGCCTTTACAGTTGTCTTCTTTCCTCTTGTGCCAGGTAGGTGATAAGGTGATGGTGATGGCCAGATCAGGCCTCTGGCAAGAAATTGTGACAGTCCCAGCCAATCAGACCTTTCCAATGCCAGAAGGGATGAGCTTTGAGGAAGCAGCTGCCTTTCTGATCAATTACATCACAGCCTACATGGTTCTCTTTGACTTTGGCAACCTTCGACCCAACCAGAGTGTCCTTGTCCACATGGCAGCAGGTAACAAGAATGGTATTTTCTGTGCTAGTGAGGTATTGCTAAACTTCTTAAAGTTAGAGAAGTGACTCCCAAAGTAGTTCTTGGGCTGGGACTTTTCCTTCCTGCTCTACTAAAATTTGAAGGTAGCATGATAGCATCTTCAACTATCAGAAAGGTTGTCATGCAGGTAATTGAGCAGATTTATGTTCTTTCGCTTCAGACGGCAAAACCGGAACCAATGGATGGAAATGGCAGGGAAGCAGATTTCAGCTAAACATTAGGAAAAGCTTTCTAACTGTGAAAGCTGTTTGCCACTGGCATGGACTGCTGGGGAAGGGAGCTGGCGCTCCTTTGCTGGAGGTATTTAAGGATCAACCGGATTGCCACTCATCAGAGATCTTATAGCTGCAGCCTGCACCACAGAGCAGGCTAGGCTAGATGATCACTGATGTTCCTTCCAGCTCTTATTATTCTGAAGTATTTTTTTATCTATCCCGCTTTTTTTTCTCCAAGGAGCTCAGGGTGGCATGTGTGGGTCTACCTCATTTGACATTATAGCAACCCTGTGAAGTACATTAGACTGAGAAACAGTGACTTGCCTGCAGTCAGACACAGTAAGCTGGGGAGGTGGGTAGTGATTTGCACCTGCATCTGCATGGTCGCACTCTGATACGCTGGCCACTGCATCACACTGTATGGTACAGTCTGACATTCTCATCAATATCAATATCCTTTTAATTGTCACACTTTCTTGTGAACTGTAATTCTGTGAAGAGACTTGCTGTTGGACTCCAGTTCCCATCAACTATACCCAACAAGGTTAATGATAAAGGATGGTGGGTCTTGCAGTGCAGCAATATCTGGAAATCCGCAGGTTGCTCACCACTATTCTAAAGAACTGCTATCACCCACAAAACATTATTTGGGATTCTTTGGGATGCTTGTGGGCAGCAGTAAGGGAGGGTCAGACCTTTTAATTAGCTTCAGTCCAGTTTAAATGTATAGTATTTATATTGCTTTGAAGCTTTGTTCATTTCATAGTAGAGGTGATTATATTTCTTGTTAAAGTAATTCAGGTTTGAATAGAAATACACAAGCTTAGGCTTAGAAGTTAAGAGTCATGATGAACTTCTATGGAATTCAGAAAGCTTGCATTCTTTGGCTCTCAGCCTTTTTCCTGTTTCCAGTGTTGTGGGCCAAGACAGCAGTCACTGTCTGCAGAATCTGACAGTAAATTTTATGAGGAGCAGGAAGTCAAATATCCTTTACCTCAGCAAATAAGTGGGATGGGAGTGGAGAGCAATTTCTCCAGTTCTCCAGTGCCTTCATATCTTCTCCAGAGTTTGACTGTTCACTTGTCACTCCTTTTCCAGGTGGAGTGGGAACTGCAGCAGTTCAGCTCTGCAAAACTGTGGAAAATGTCACCATTTTTGGCACCGCTTCTGCTTCCAAACATGATTACCTCAAGGAGAATGGAGTTACTCACCCCATTGACTATCGGACAACTGATTATGTGGCAGAGGTTCGGAAAATCTCACCCAAAGGTAAGCGAGGGAGAGAGCAGGCAGGGGGCAGCACAGGCCTGAGACTTCCTTTGTTTGTTCTCTGGCTTTCTGTTTGTGGCATAAGCTGTTGATAAATAGCTGAAATAAAAGTGGCTGGGGAATTCCCAAGAAATTGTGCTAATTTAAATTTATTTTCAACAGGTGAGTATTTTATATCATATTCTAAGTTGTAGGACTTTCATCCAGTTAGAAGAATATTGACTAATCATATGCATTTGAATTAAGCAATTGGATGGACAGATTAAAAAACATTATTGAGAGAAATGTACTGTTTCCTTAGGCAGCCTTTCTCAGTCTGGAGCTCTCCAGATGTCGTGGCCTCCAGCCTTTGTAGTTTCAGCCAGCATTAGTCATGGGAATGTCCAGGTTAGATAACACATGTACAGGACACTCTGAGAGAGGTTTTTCTTTTATAGAGAAATGCCTCTTCCGCACTGGAGATGTTCAAGAAAAACCTAGACAGTCATCTGTGTAGGATGGTGTAACTGGTGCCGTGCATCAGGAGGGGGTTGGACTCGATGGCCTTCCTGGCCCCTTCCAACCCTGCTATTTATGATTCTAAGTGGACCCTACCATCCATACTTTCCATAAGCATTTGTACTTTTATTTAACTACTGTCCAATTTTATCAAGGCAGAAAGTTAATGTGTATAATCAATAAAGATAAAGAATAAAGGCCTGCAGCCCTACTCATCTTTACTTCTCTCCCCACCATGCCCAAAGGTAGACTTATTCCAAGATCCACAGTCTGGCAATACCTTTACCAAGACCAACCAAATATTCACAAAACCATGAGAAAGGTCTGCAGGGATGACGGTGTTGAAATAATGAAGCCTATACAGTCAGACTGTAAAGGGGTGTAGATGAGGAGATGCAGGCTTCCAATGATTAGGCAAGAGATGGGCAGCTTTAAGGGAGGCCATCTCACACCCTCCCAGATTGGGCTCTCAGGTTGACATTGTAAAATTCAGAATGTCAGAAGGAACAACTTGAACTTGTTTTCAAGCTCCCTTTTGGTACTGAAACTCAGTCTTTCTGCTGTTGGTGGCAGCTCAAATTTCAGGTTCTTCCCCTGCCTAGAGAACATTTGGGACTGCATGCATGTTGCCTGTGGCCCACCATTGGTGTAGAGTCTGCTGTGTGCCATGCAGGTTTCAGATTACACCTCGGACTATTAGGACAAAAACAGCATGTCTGATTTGCCCATTTTTATTATGTAATAATTTCTTACATTTTCATACTGCCCAATAGCTATAGCTGCTTCCTTTTGTCTCTAACCTCAGTCAGAGCACTCAGTTCATCAGTAGGCAGAGAAAGAAAAGCAAAGCAAAGTGGTTTTTATATTGACTGGCTGTATGCAGATAAATTTGGCAAAGCAAACACTTTATATTATATCCTGAATTTTTCATCAAGATTTAAAATTATAGTTTTAAAATTTGCTTTGAATTTGTAAATGTTAAAACTTCTTCAAAAATTTTGGGTGTGGGATTTTACATTTTGCTTCCCTTTTATTAGAGAGCATCGGTCAATCTATTCTGATAGCCATTTTCTCTCTCCCCCTTTCCAGGTGTAGATATCGTCTTGGACCCCTTGGGGGGCTCAGATACGACAAAAGGCTTTAACCTCCTTAAGCCAATGGGCAAATTAGTCACCTATGGTGAGTGAAAAAACATAGATCCTGCCTATGGTCTTGTTGAAATTAGGATGCATCAAGCTCAGTTTAATGTAGATGTTAAACAGCTTAGAGGATAAGAGCCTTCCAGAACCCCACAGAACAATATCAATGGGGCAGAATAATAATTTTCCAACGGCAGCTTTGGAGCAGAAGCAGTGGAAAATGGTACTTTCAGCTCCCATCACAGGCAGCTTATCCAGAAGGATATCATAGTGGGTGGTATCAAAAACCACCAAGAGATCCTGGACAATCAAACAGGGTCTCAGTCCTCTCCTCCTTCTTTCAGCGAAAACGAACCCATGGAGCAACTAAGCTAGTTTCTGGTTCAAAACTAGGAATGAAACCTGCTTGAACTGGATCCAGATAACCATTCTATCATTCCAGAGTGTCTAGCGCGTTACAAGCCACCACACAATTGAGCTCCTTGTTCAAGAAGGGGATGTTGATGATCTCCCTGTCATTGTTAACATCTTCTAGATCCAGATTAGCTTTCATTAGGAGTGGCCTGGGAGGTCAGCATCATCCCCTTTGTACAGAGAAATGCACGACGTCTCTGACCCAGCCAGACATCTCCGCTCTCTTAGGTATAATAAACCACAAAGGGTAAGGTTAAGCATGCAAGTGGCTGACCAGATTTGCCCAAGCAACATGTCCACATCCTCCGTTGGAGAAGATTAAAGCATAGCATACTTCTGGATAGGTTGTTTGGGCTGGGAATTAGCAGTGATGCATTTGGATTATTCTTTTCCTGTTGCAGTAGCTAGTTCCAAAAGGTGGTGCAGGAAAACTGCTGCTTAGCTTCCTGGTATTTGTATGCTATGGGGATCCACAGAGTTTCATCTTTCCCAAAATGCTGTTTTTAGCTACATGAGTTAGAGTGAGGTCCTCAGGGGTTTTGGAGCAGGTTGTCATCACGTATCTATGACATTCCACTTCAAAAGCCCAGATGACTTTTCCTATCTCTCCTTTGCTTTGGCTTTGGGTGAGACAATGAAAGTAATAAGTTGGTGCTTGGGATCAATAATGGACTCATGGGTGCCACCCCCCACCCCCCACATCTGTCCTGATAATGCAGGGATACTGTTAGTGCATGGTTTGTGTAGTTCAGGGTAGTAATGACCAAGTTGCTCTGTATAGGACTACACTCCTTCCTTAAGGATCAGTTTCATTAGGGGTTACTGTCTGTCATGTTAGCTTATTCAAACATTCTAGTATTTCATGCCAAAAAGGTTTGATATTTGGACAAAATAACCACATACAGTGGTACCTTGGCTCACAAACTTAATCCATTCCAGGATTCTGGTCGTGACCCAAATTGGTCATGAGCCAAGTTAAATTTCCCCATAAGGTTCAATGTAAATAAGGTTAATCCATTCTGTAACTATTTTTATAATCAGAAAAATGTGAAGCAAAGTGACAAAGAACAACAAAGATTGCGGCCATCTCCCTCCCCCCGAGCACGAGTGTGGCCATCTCCCCACCCACCCCCGAGCATGACCGCAATTGCACCCGTCATCACTGGGGGGCGGGGGGGGAGAGATGGGCATGAATGCGGGCGCGCTCGTGGTGGGGAGATGGGTATGACCGTGCTGGGGGGAGAGATGGCCGAGATTGTGGTTGCACTCCTGCAGGAAAGACGAGCGAGATCTCGGCCATCTCCCCCCACCCCAATACACGATCGCGGCCATCTTCCCACTCGGGGGGTGGAGAGATGGCCACGATTGCAGTTGCCACCCAATGCAGAGTTCGCGACCCCAGTCAAAAATTTTATGAAATTTTTGTTCACAACATGATTTGGTCGTGAACTGAGGCATTTGTGAGCCGAGATACCACTGTATGTTCAAGTGAACCCCTTAAATCACAGTTTCTCCAGCACACATCTGGTAACTGGTTATTAATTTTATGTCATTTTGGAGGTCATAACTGCCATTGATGAACTGTTTTAAGAACCATTTCTTTGGTTCTAGTTGATACTGACTTATAGAGCTGTGAGGACCACATTCTTGCCCAAGACATCCTCTAATATAGTAATGTTTAAAGTTTTTCCCCAAGCCATCTTAGCTCCTATATTATGACCACATTCATTCTCAATAATCATCTTATAGATAAGTGAGACTGTCCTTTTTAAATTTTGTTTTACTAAGCTCTTCAATATGCTTCAAATGTTGTAAGTACTCTTAGGGTTCAGGTGGGGGGCGAAAAAATAATCTTGATTCAATAGCATTTGTATAGTTCTCGTTTCAAAATTTCAGGTAGTTTAACAGTAATAGTCCTTCCCAGCATCTGTGAGAATGATCAAAGAACCAAGAGGCAAAAGAGAAATTTGTGGGAAATTATTCTTCTATAGCCAAGCATTTTCCCCCACACCAGAACATTGTCTGGAAAGATATAGAAGAAACCATTTTCAAAGATTGTTAATGTGATCCAGCAGCTTTGGGGTGTGCCTGTGGATGTGCAGAGTAACTTATCACTTGCCCCTGAATAACTGCAAGTAACCCTATAAAAAGATGAAAGGATATGGCTTTTGAGGCAGGCTCCAGCTGCCTTGCAGCATCTTACAAGGAATTAAACTTGCTGCCAGCAGAGGGGAGTGTAAATCCAAGGTTGGCTTCAGTGCTTGGAAGTATGTAATGCCCAGCAAGCTGATGGATGCTACATTTTTGTACTTCAACTTGACAGGTGTAGCCAATTTGCTAACAGGACAGAGAAAGAACCTGATGGCCATGGCAAAAACCTGGTGGAACCAGTTCAGCATCAATGCCTTACAGCTTCTCCATGTTAACAAGGCTGTTTGTGGCTATCATCTGGGGTACCTAGATGAGGAGGTAGAGCTGCTGCATGATGTAGTGACCAAGCTACTTGCCCTCCACAATCAAGGCAAAATCAAACCAAAGGTGGACTCTGTCTGGTCATTTGAGCAGGTGAGTATGCATGGCAGTGCAACAAGCTCTTCTCGTCTCTTGTGTTGCACGCTACAAACTTGCTAGGTGTTTTTAACATAAGAACACAAGAAAAATCTTGCCGGATCAGACCAAAGGTCCATCTAGTACAGCAATCCATACACATGGTGGCCAGCCAGCTGCCCGCAGGATTGCTCAAGCAGGATTGGTGCAAGGTCTCCTCCTGCCCAAGCTCCTCAGCAACTGGTACATGCAGGCATGCCACCTCTGCTGAAGGAGGAAGCACACAGCCCACAAGGCTAAAAGCCACGGATAGCCTCTTCTCTCCGTAATCTCTCTAGTCCCTTTTTAAAACCGCCCAGACTGGCAGCCATCACCACTTCCCTTGGCAGAAAATTCCATAGTTTAACCATGTGCTGCATGAAGAAGTTCTCCCTTTTATCTGTCCTAAACATCCCACCAATCAGCTTCATGGAATGACAATGGTTCTAGTACGGTTGGAGTGGGAGGAAAATGTCCTTCTCTCTGCTTTCTCCACACCATGCATTATTTTAAACACTTCTATCATGTCTCCCTTTACTCACCCTTTTTCTAAGCTGAACAGTCCTAGTTGTTGAAGCCACTCCTCACAGGGGAGCAGCTCCAGTCCCCTGATCATTTCTGTTGCCCTTTCTATATTTTAAGTTTCTCCCCCAGAGAACAAGTACCCTAAACAAAATTGTGCGGAAGCTGCTGTGTTGTTGCATGAGAAAGAACTAGCACACTAAGACGATTTAGGAATTACCAAATGAGAAGGTTCCCAGGAGGAGGCAGAAAGATGCAATAGCCATTCCTTTACTTTGCTGGAATGTTAGTTAGCAGTTTGTCTGTGGTGGACAAAAGAGCAGTACTCTTTCACATTCTTGGGTGTGTTGCCAGCATTAAAAGAACTGGAGAAATTATTGATAATACTCAATGGCTATTATCCTGCCTCTGAACATGGAGACAAACTGGAGACAAATGTGCAGCATGCCTTGCATCTGATTGTCCAGTACTGAAGATAAGATTGCTGAGCTGAATGGGTCTTTGGCCTGACCCCGTCAGAACCAATTTGGTAATTCTACAGTTGTCCAGCACGTGAAAAGATGAAGGGGAGGGCTTTGCCAGCTGGAAGGTCTCCCCGTAAGGAAGAGAGTTCATCTCCTCTTCCTGTTGTTGCTGCAGGTGGTGGATGCCATGAAGCAGATGCAAGAGAAGAAGAACATCGGGAAAGTAGTGCTGGTCCCTGAAGCAGCACCAAAGGATGAAAGCAAAAAAGGAGAGAACTAAAAGTGCATGGGTGGATTGTCTGACCTCAGGTCCTTACCTTGGGGGGTGTGTGTGTGTGAGTGTGTTCGTTTGTTTGTTTGTTTTAGTGCCCCCCCCCCAAGGAAAGTAGGGATGGACAGTTCTTACTAACTGTTGTTAATGGAAAAGACAAACATTTGTGGTCAGTTGGTTGTTTTAAAGATGGTACAAGCTTGTGAGTTTCACAAATCCTTCATTATGTGAAATTCAAATGATTGCACCATCACTATAAAAGCGATGGCTAACCTAGTTAAAAAAGATACCACGTTGATCCTACATCTGTACTGTTACAATATCAACACTTTGCTCTCTTAAGGGAACAAAAAGGCATCATTTGAATTCCAGATGTGTCACTAGAATTTCTTGATCTTTCCATTTCTTTTATTGTTACCCCACCAACAGTGCCACAGTATTCCCATCTGTGTGATTTGTCTCTTCTCTTCCATCCACCCCCATTGACAGTTTCTATAGAAATGATGCCTCAAAGTTTCCAGTTCTGACAGGTGCTTTTAATAAGCTGAATGTGCCAGGCATTTCTGCAGCTTCGCTGTGACAGAAAAATCAGAAGTGGGAAAAGAATCGTGCCACTTCCACCCATGCCTTTTGATGCCCTTGGCCCTCATTCCTCCTGCAGCAAGCAATTGCCCCACATAACACAGGCAAACCTGGCACCCCCAACCCGTTTAAAAACTTGCCATGGGAACTGCTCTGTGGGAGAGTAAGGAATTGTCAACAAAATCATTTCCAGGAGCCAAAATGTACTTCTCCCTGCATTTATTTTGGGGGGAATGCTTGACTTTTTCTAATTGTAATGGTGCCAAACAGCTGACTAACCTCTAATCTATTGCTTGCAATCAACTCCTGTCATGTAAACAGTATGCACCAATGCGGGGCTGGTTTGATGTTTTATTGTAGAAATGTCTTTTTTAGTAACTACTTAGTTTTAACACATGAAAAGTGGTTTGATCACAGCTGGTTGGAAGAAAGGATACTGAGTCATTCCCTTTTACAACTCTTGATTTCCATTTTACATTGAGACCAAAGTACTTGGAAATACATATAATCTAGCCATTTCCAAGGTACCATCCACAACAGGAACAGTCTGTCTTTCAGACTAAGTAGTGGCTAAATGTTGCCTTTATGTTTGCATGGAGAGGGGTTGTGTGTGTTTGTGTGTGTGTGGTTCTCCGCAAGGGGCACAGAGGACAGGCAGCAGGAACCAACTCTTCTGATTAGTGGGCAGCATCTTGTCTTGGCATGGAAAAATGAGCCAGTCTCTTTGAAGACACGAGCCAACTGCCTCTGTTGCAGGCACTCTGTGCTGTGTCGGGCAGCCCTGCTATAACTCTGTTTCTGTCTAATGCATTCACCACTGCTATCGATTCTGATAGCTTCATTGAAAACTCAGAGTCCTCTTCTTTCGCTTCCTGTACTCTGTACATCTTTTTAGGTCTTTGACCAAATGAGTGTTTTTTACTCAAACACAAGGGCAAATAGTCCTGAAATTGTGCCCCACATTGTCTCCCCATATGTTGGCAGATCTTCCTTGGACTAAGCTCTGGCCTGTCTCATTATTCTAGTTAGCAGCTTAGCTACATGCAAAGTGTCAAGGGGTGCACTTCCCCAGACTCCTTCTTTGATGTTAAAGGCATTGAAGCCCTGAAGCTGGTCTTCTGCCTTTTCCTGATGTAGGAAAGTAATCAAGGCTACAAAGAATTGAGGGCTGTGAAGCATATTTCTGACAGGTCTTTCCGCCCTTCTTCTATCAGGAAGCCACAGATACTTGAGGTCAGAAAGCTCTCCCTTTAATTTAAAAAGCATGTATGAGAGTAGAGGCTGCCATTGAGCTGTGAAGAGTTGGGATGTAGGCTGTATGCCTGGAAAATACATGTGATTTGTCTGTAGAGAGCTTCCCTCCTTCCGAAGCATCCATCTGCTAGGACAGTTGCTAGTCTAGAACTTTTAAGGTCTCTTCTGTAACAAGCAGGTCTGCTAATAATTTTTAGTAAGTAATATTGACTGCAGTCCAGTTTGCCCTGCCCTCAGTGCCCTCTGGACCTACAGCCAATGCACAGAATGAATTAGGAAGGTGGAGATCCCTGCCATTGATACCCTTTGTGTTGTGTTTTTGATCTAGGCAGTCATTTTGGCCATCTAGATTAAGCAGCAGGGAGGGCCAGGGAAGAAGGCTGGAGCATCACTAGGAATTAATATAAGGTGATGGCCCAGCCTCTTCCCCTCCCTGCCCTGGGAATGCTTCCCCTTCTCCTCTATGAGGCACCAGTAGCAATCTTAGAAAGGCACTCACTGGGCCATTTCTGCCCTGGCTGTGAGGGAGGTGGGGTGGCCATGGCTCTTGGCCTTTGGAGTCCCAGCTCTGAGGTCATAGGATGTTGAATTTGAGGCTCTGAATAATCCTGTGGCCTCCCAAGAAACATCAAGTAGTCATAGGATTAAGGTAGTCAACACAACTGTGAGTCAGGCTTGAGGGAAAGAATCCCAAGGACGGCTGAAAGCAAAAGATGGAAGAAGTAAACGCTGGCAAGCTCTTCTTGCCGTGCCTCATTTCTTTTATCATTTGATTAGGGGTGGGCAATTGGTGGCCCTTCAGATGTTTTTCACCTCTTCCCTTATCATGGGCCATGATGTCTAAGATTGATGGGCATTGTAGCCTTTCAGATGTTTTGGTTTACAAGTTGCCCATCTCTTCTTTAGATCTTGAAGCTCTGGGGTTTGGGAATTCATATTTTTTAGGACCCCAAATTTCAGGTCACAGTATTACTTATTTCATTCTTGGCCTCTGTTGACCTGCCTGCTTCTGCTCCTCCCAAATGGTAGCATAGGTTCCAGATTAATTCACAGGGTCCTAGAGCTGGCAGAGACCAAAAGCCTGTAGACCAAAGCAGAGCACAGGACTTGTGTGCAGATGACCACAAGTTCCTTCCATGCAAACTCTAGCTAGAAAGTATCAGGTAGCAGAGCAAGAAAAGACATGTGACTGGCCAGCCACTTACTCATTGATCAGCATAATGCAAGCAACAAGTATACAAGATTAGAGATCATATGACTAACCCAGCTGACTAACTCAACTTGAAACTGTGATACTAGCTGGATTCACACAACATGACAAGCAATCCTGCATGTTGACCATGGTTCATCTTTTTTATCATGATCTACCCAACAGAGGGCTTAGTTTCTACATTGGCACTGTTTCCATTTTTCCTGCTTGGTCCTCCTTCTGTTGTCACATATCCCATCAACCACAACACCTGAAATTCAGCCCTGAGGTGCCTCACTGCATGCCTACATTACCTGCTTCTTCCTCACTGGTCCACAAACAGTGGCTCCTGCACTTGTCCTTTTCTGAGGACTCCATGGTAGCCATATACCAGGACCATGGAAACCGCAATCCTGGGCTCAGGCACCACCACAAGTGATGGTGGTACAGAGGAAACATTGAACAAACTATGGTTTCTTAATGTAGTTTCTAAAGACCAAACTTCCCATGGTGAAATAACACAACTGGGTTCAAACAGTGCAACATACCAGCAATGATTAAAAAACCTATCATGTCTTGCCCTGCTGTCTGAACCCAGCCACGGTGTATCAGGACCAGTTCTTTTGCTGAAGTTGCCTCTGTCTCCTTTCTGTTCCTAAGTTTTTGTCATCTGCTCCCACTGAGCCAGTCTTTTAAGACTCACAGACCCCTACCTGAATCCATCCTGAAGGTTCTTAGGCCTATAAAACGTGAGGATTTCTTAGTCCACTTAGTCTTGCTTGGAAAGCAAGCAAACTGAAATTCTCAATTCTGTCATGCACAACAGAAGAATAGCTTTTAGATAGACATGTCTGACTGCAGAACTCTGACTGCCAACAAAAGGGGTGGGAGGAACTGACACGAAAACAGTTCCTCCTTTTTCTCTTGCCTTCCTGCTTGCCACTGCTTGGTGCCTTATTCTGGCTGGCATTCCAAAACTTTTCTAACATCACCCTTCTAATATCGCAAGGGACAGCCTAGAACTCCTATGCTGCATTGTTACTCGCCATTTTATCGGTGCCTTGTTCCCGTACGGTCTAATTTGAGAAACCCTTGCCCAGCCTGACGTGTCGAAGAGTGCCTGCCCCATGGAACTAGGATGAAACAGGATGTATGACTTATATTTTACACAAGCAATGAGGAGTGTGCACCGTATGGTGCATTTCTGCACAAGTCCCATGTGTCTCTGTGCCACTAACAGCATGAGCTTCCTCAGAAATCCACACATGAGGATTTCTGATATTTCCAGTTAGGCTACAAAAATGGCTTTTTTAATTCCCCCGAGCACCATTGCTGAATGCTGATGTGCTACCGGCAGCTACATTTTCAATCCAGTCTGCATCTCAGTTAATGTATTGCTTCTGAATTGTGAATGTGGAGAATGGAATGCAGTTCTTAGCATCATTTCTGAAAGTATTATCTGTTGAATGGAGAGATGGGCCTCTCCCTGCCAGGCACACTACCACATTTGGAATGAGATGGGAACTCATGCACAAATGGGGCCAAACCGCAGAAGAATCCGTAATGTGCTGTAGCAGTGAGTGAGACTTTCTTCAGAGAGCTGATGTCCTTTTCTGTTGGAGACATCAAAGCATGATAACTTCTCTGTTGCCTTGCTGATAAATACTGTGGATTTGAAATTTATAGTAGCCTCTTCATTTTATGACTCAATTGTATGTGTGCTTCAGACAACTTTCATGGGCCATTAGTACTAAATAAAGTATCTTGACCGCCTTTGAAAAAATTGAACTGTCTTAACTTGTTAAAACATAACAGCTTAACTTTGAGGACCAAAGCAAGAAAAAGATGTCTTCCAAGTTTTCAGAAATATTCTCTAATACAAAACAGGAGTACAAAATTCTTCATGGGTTTTGCAACAGTGTTTCAAGATAGCTGAAATGCCATTGAGTTCAGAATTGGTGTGACTTAGGATGATACAAAGGGCCAGAGCTTTGAGCAGCTTAAAGGGCTTTCAAATAGGCATGGAGGGAACCCTTAGCACCATTTCAGTCCCAAAAGGCCCAAATTTGCCAAGGCTGCCGGGAAACAATTTCATCGCATCAGTTTCATGGGTGAAAGGTGGGCTGAGCTAGCCTTGTGCACAAATTTCTGTGTACAACCATTTGATCTTTCACCACTAATACCAGCTACTGTGGCCTCATTTAAACAACAGAAATGGGCATGGGATAAGAAACAAATTGACTTAAAGTGTTATTTTGTTTAAACGTACCAAAGTCAATATCTGAATTGGAACTCGGTTGCTGGAGATGAAACACTTGAGAGATGTTCTCAAGAAAATCTAACCAGGTGTGGCCTTCCAAAAAATAAAAGGTATTGTTGTCTAGTGCACATTTTTTACAACATTCCCATTTGTTGATAGTGTAGAATTTAGGAATATTGGGATGGTGTGGGAGAGGATTGAAGGAAGAGACAGAGGCCGTAAAACTACTCAGTTTCTGAAGTTGATAAGATTATTTTTAAACAGATTAATGTGGCATAAAATTTAGTGCAAATGTCTTTCCAGATTTGCTGAAAAGTTCATTGAGCCTGACATTTGTGAGAGTGTTTGCTTCACTTCTTGATTTTTCATCTGAATGTTCTAACCAGGTTTATTACCCAAAATTGTTTAAAAAAGGGATCCTCATTTATCATCACCGTGTTGTTGGCATTTCAAAAATGTTCTAAAACCCATTTTAAATTGTGTTGGGCTTGGCTCCCAAAAACAAGAATGTTATAATTACACAGCAGCCACTGGGAGAGAAGGTAGAAGGGAAAGCTAAAGCTAAGGCAACCAGGGAAATGTCAGAGGCAGGGAAAGCCCTACCACTATCAAGGCAAGATGTTTTATTTGCATGCTTTTTGTGTGGTGTAGCTTTGAACGAGACATGGCAGACATCCAGACATAAATAAGATGAGCAGTTGTCCATAAAACCTGGAGTACTGGTGATGATGGGTAATGAGCAATTTGTGACTGGAGCCTCACAGCAGGCTGTGGTGTACATCCTCTCAACTCCTTTTGGAATGGCTCATGAGCAATTTGTATATTCTTATGTTTCAAGATGCTTCTTTACACCTCCTTACGCTGTCTACGTGTGTGTGTGTATGTGTGTGTGTGTGTGTACCTGTCTGTCAAGAAAGCAAATGTGCCAATGCTATTTACACAGATTCAGACATGAAATGCTGGTCTGCCTAATGTTACCTTATGCCTTATGTGGGGGGTGGGAGGTTGGATGTCCATTAAAAGCATATCAAAAATGATCAAAGTCTGGCTGTGTATGCATGCTCTGACTTCTCCTACTGCTTGTTTTTATTATTTGTGTTTCCTGGGTACTTTGCAGATATTGGGGTGGGAGGGGAGGAGATGGGCCTTAATATAGTCGCTTAGAAGTCATTCCCTCTTTCAGGCAGTTACAGAGCTCAGTCAAAGTTCAGGTCTTTCTGTGTTAGCTCAGAGTAACTCTGAGTAGTTCTCAGGAGGCATCATGACGGCTTCCACCTTCTATATGCATGAAGGCCCCCTTAACATCCGTTTGACCATAACAAAGTAGAGGCAAACAGACTTTGTTAGCCTGAAACTCCCAGCCATTCTCTGTTTTGGCTAAAGCCTCCTTATTGACCTCCCTGGGCAAAGTATGGTGGATTTCTTCTTGGGCCTCTTGCTGCAAATTATTGCCCAGTTGTGGCTTATTCATGGACTTGCTGCTGTTCTGAAGTTTATGCAACAAGAAACTGCAGAACTGCCTGTGGAGAAGCCTTGATTCTGACACTTTGTGACCCACTGCTCCTGTGGTGTGAAAGAGATTCAAGGTTCAGCTGGTGCTTGCGGAATTATGAAGGGTTGAAGGTGTTTTAAGATAAGTGTATCATCCCTCACAACTTGGCTCAACAGGTCTGGACATGGCCAAGGGGTATCTGCTTACAACCCTTGTGGTGCTTTCCAAGACTCCACGGTTGTCTATTCTGGCTCTCTGATTCAATAGCAGCAGTTAAAACCTAAAGCTGATGTCTGATGAATTTAGTAGATGGTTTGTGTTCAGTTTTGCTGATAAAGCCAACCTTGATCGAAGCAGGTTGCTTACCTGCAACTGTCTTTCTTCAAGTCACACATTTGGCTGTGTGCCTGTGTAGAGCCTGTTGTTGGGAAGATGCTACAGTCAGGAGGGCTTTGGTGCAAACTCTTCCCCCACCTTCAGGGTTGGTATATAGGAAGGGTTGCTACTCATCCCCGAAGTTCACTCAAAGCTGACATTGTGGCTTTGGAGCAGAGGGAGGACCCTACAGGCTGGCCTTAGTGTTGGTTGAAATTAATTTCTATCGCATAAATACACATATCAGTATGTGGCACCAATGATGAGGTGGTGGGTGTTTTGTGCTAATGGGTATCAATATCAAGGATCATAGCCGGCTTCTTGATCCCAATAGCAACACTCTGGTCCATAGAATCATTGGCACAGCCATGGGACAGACTGTTCCAAGCACCTGTCCCACTCAGAGAGGGGACAGTGAGACCAGTGCCTGCGGTACTGGGATATGATGCGGACTGGCAATATGGCTCCCAACCAGCCTGACCCCAAGGCTATAGAAGGAGGATGGGTCTGTGGCTAAGGTAATGTATTCTGGAGTTCTCTTTCTGATACTGAGGTTATCAAGACCTGCTCCTCTCTTGGTACTGGAGGGTTGGATTCAAGCATGGTCAGTACCAATGTGAGTTGCTTAGACAAATCAGAGAGGCAGCTCTTCAAGTGCTGCTTGTGGCCCTTCGCTTAGTGGCTTCCACGAGGTTTGCTGCTTTGGCCCTCTTTGCCAACTTCTTGGTCATGGACAGCTTCAGTAAGCACTCAGGCATTAAGTAAGTCATGCGCTCCAGCCCAAGGTTACAGCCATGACCAAAGCAGGCAGAGTTGGGAGGTGAGGTTTCAGCCCTTGATGTAGAAGGGCATTCTGCAGGTTTTGAGGTGTCTACTGCCTGCAGCACCTTGCCCCACAACCCCGTTTTTAGGCAGTCTGCCCAGTTCCTTTGGACTTGGCCTGGCAATGAGTACAGGAATCCACAATGTGATCTTTTCCCAGGCAGAACAGACACAGAGAGTGCCCATTGGTGGGTGGGGATCCAGCACGCCGTTCACATGGTGGCAAGCCAGCTGCCAACAGAATCCCCCAAGCAGGATGGGTACAAGAGCTCCACCTGCCCAAGCTGCTCATCAGTGTGCATGCTGCCTCTGATGATGGAGCAGCAAACAGCCACCAAAGCGAGTAGCCACCGATAGCTTCCTCCTTCATGAATTTGTGCAATCCTCCTTTAAAGCCATCTAAACTGGTGGGCACCATTATTTCCTGTGGCAGTGAAGTCCATATTTGAAATATGCACAGTGCAAAGATGTACTTCCTTTTGTTGGTTCCAAAACTCCCACCAATCAGCTTCATGGAATGACAATGGGGTCTACTATCATAGGAGAGGAGAAAAAGGTCTCCCCTCTACTTCATGCATGTTTTTAAACACCTCTATCATGTCTCTCCTTGTGCACCTTTTTCTAAGCAAAAGTTGTAATCATTCCTCAAAGGGTAGCTCCCCTTTTCCTGCTTTTTGCAACTCACTATCCAGAGGATACATGAATGAATGCATTTCTGTGCGAGCAGAAGTTCCTGCTGCCTATCAGGAGGCAGCATTACAACAACTCCTGAGAAAACCCTCCCTTGGTCCAGACTCCGAGGACTCCAGAGGTATCCTCCTGGATTGACTGGGCTGGAGGCATCTTTTTACAATGGTTCTGCTCTGATCAACAAGGCAAGCTCCAGAAAACGGCATGAGTGGGAGCGTGATTGGTAGCCTTCAGACTGGATTACTATAATGCATTCTGAGAGGCCACCTTAAGGCTGGTTCAGAAGCTGCAGCCAGTGCAGAACACAACGGCTACATTACTGACTCATATGCTTTACAAGCATCTTCCTTGTTAGTCTGCTAACAAGCTAGGTATTAGTATGCAAAGTCCTGCACAACCAGGGCCAGGTTATCTCAAGGAACATCTCCCTGTATCACAACCTCTTAGGCCACTATGACCATCAGGGCAGGCCCAGTTGCCTAAGGCTTTGGTTCCAGTCAGCTACTTAGGGCAGTTACACAAGAGGCAGACTTCTGGCGCCCCATGTACCTTGCTACAATGGCCTTTTCTAGTGTGCCAAGCACCTGGTTCAAATCCCCACACAGTCATAAACTCACTGGGTTACCTTGAGTCAATCTCAGCCTAGTCTACCTCACAGGGTTGTTATGCGGATAAAATGTATTTGTGTTGGGGGCTGGAAAAGAACCACATATGCCACCTTGATCTTCTTGAAAAGAGGGAACATAAATTAAACAAATAAGATCTGTGAGCGGTTTGAAATGACTTACAAACCACACATTCATACATCTCTTTCTTACAGGCGCCTAAGGACACTTGCATGAATTGTGTGTGTTCCCTGAGCCATCAAGACTCTCTCCAAGGGGCCATAGCTGTACAACTCAAGAGCTCTCTGTGTGACTTGCAAAACTGATGCATTGCAGGTTCTAGGAAAACATTTTACTTGACAGAACCAGGCATAGTGGCTGTCCTAGTTTCCTTCTTCTCTGTCTGAGTAATAAACACACATATTGAATTAATTTTGAACAGCAACAATATAATTCTGCCATTCTCTTTTATTTTGCTTCTGCTTTTCTGAGATGTTTGTCTCCCTTAGGCATGAAAGACAAATACTAGGGAGCCAGAATCTTCTTACTGCCAAGTAATGGGATTACCAAAAGGAACAGCAAAGCAGGAGAAAACATGAATGAAGAAACCCCTATAAGAAATAGGGGTTCTAATATTAAGGGAAGAAAGGCAGATAGAGAGCCTTTATCACACAAGGTTCAAGCGCAAAGTCCCCATTCTGCCATCTGCTCCTCAAGGAAATGTTTCATTTTTTACACTTCACTGATATTTGCCTATTAGCACTCTTCTTGCATTGTTCCATAATTCCAGCTTTTCAAGTGTCCTCCTTCCATTCTGCAGAACTTCAAAGATTGCATTTTTCTCAGTTGTCTTCCACAGTGTATTTTAACCACTCCTTGCTAATGAATGAGGAAGCATTTTCTCCATTGCTGGAACTACTCAGTCCTCTTCAGCCTCAAAAACAGCTACTGCACAACGTCCAGCTGGGATATAAACAATGGATTCCACTTCTCCCCCACCCTTGCTGGGCTTCTGGAAATGAATTTCCAGTGCGTCATGCATCAACTCCTCATCCAAAACATCTGGAATCCCTGATAGTAGGACAGTCCGAGCACAGACTGAAGGATGGAACTGGAATGGGGAGACAAGAGAGCACCCGATTAAAAACTCACATAAATGCAAACTCAGCTTTAAATTATTAACACAGTTCAATATTCTAAAATCCACACATCTGCCAGCTGATTTAAGGCAAAGATACCTTGCTGCTGGGTGCTTTAGTTTTCTTAGGTGACAAGTATCCACAATTGTGCATGTGTGTTAGAGAGAGACCAAGAAAAAGAGAGAGACGGAGAGACAGTGAGTGCATATGAGCATGCTGAGGTGCCTCTTCTCACTCTTAACTAGTGGCAAATAATGTGAAAAGAAATTCCATGGTATCCACATAAGTTCATCAGCCATCAACATGATGGAGATGCACCTCATTAATATCCCCTTTACATGATTCAGTGTGTGACTTTCACATGATCATGCACTGCAAGTTCTATGTTTGTTGATGGAAAGAAAAAATGCTTTTAGATCAGGAGCATTCTGATCTGAAAGCATTTTGGTGAGAAAAGGTGCAGAGAGAGGTGTCTGAGTGTGGGGCTTTCCTCATACCTGAAGCTGTGTGATTTCCCCGTCTATGTATTTTGACACTTTGACCTCATGAATCTCCTTTCCGAAGGGCACCTTGAACAGGCTCCTCTTGACAAGCCGCTCAACCACTAGAGAAGAGGGACGTCAGGAGGGAAAAAGACCATGCTTGAAATCTGTGACTGAGATTCCTGGGTGTGAGCACTTAATATCTGACTGTCTTTAAAAGACTTGCAAATCTATGTACTGTGCAAGGTGGCATGCAAGAGAAAGCAGCTGGGAAGGGACTGCATTGTTTTTACATTGTGTACACGGACCACCACAATGTTTATTTTAGTTTCTCACTCTACCCAAAGAATCAGGGAGAGTAGTGGGGGGTGTTTTTGTTTTGTTTTTTTTGGATGGAGGAGAAACATACAAAAATGGAGCGGGGGGATTAAGAAACTTTTTGGAAACTTTTTTTGTTCAAGAAATGACAAACTGATTTCCTCTCTTGTGATGACAGGATTTACCAACTGGATTTTTACAGCCTCTGCAGAGAAAAACCAGATGGGCTTGTGAGTAAAATTTATAAAAGAATGAGTAGAAATACCAGTGAAGAGGAAAAATAAAGGAAATTTTTAAACAGTAAATAAGTTCTACTTGACTACAGCAGGACCCCCATATCTGCAGGGATAAGTTCCAAGCCTTCCAGCAGATACCTGAAACTGCAGATAGCAGCAAACACTGCATTTGTGGAGATTAGGGGTACAGGACCCCCACAAAAGTGGAAAAACAGAAATATCTCTAGAAAAAACTCACAAATATCTCTAGGGTCTGCACACCTGCTGAGAGACAAAACACATGAGTGAAACTGGCTAGTACTGAGGCAAAGAGTGTGGCATCCCCAAACAGAGTGTATAATTTCCTAGAGATAATTGTGACTTTTCCCTAGAGATATTTGTGTTTTTTCCACTTTCACAGGGGGTCCTGCACCCCTAACCCCACAAAGTAGAGGGCCAACAATAAACTACGGTTAAGTAAAACTGTGGTAACTGAGACAGCAGATACAGGGGCCCTGCTGTATATTGCTGTGGGGTATTCCAACAGGTGCAACAGAAATGGCGATAAAACACAATCAGATGCTTATGCAGAGAGTAAGTTGAAGACACCTAGCTCAAAAACTGAAAGTGTCACCTCCACATTCAGAAATGACAGCTGTATTCATTCTTGGCTCTGCCTTTGCTTGGGGCACCTTAGTAGGCAGAACACTGACCTAACTAAATCAGAGTGCAACATGGCCAGGTTCCTTTAAGCTTCCCTGATCAGCCCGACTATGGAACCATAATTCCTTCCGCATCTCCTCATACCTCCATTGTCCACAAAAGTTAGTGCCACATGGTTTGAACTATTCAGCCACTCCACACGCTCCACCTCACCACCCATGTTATGCCGTTTGCTGAAAAACAGCTCTAGCTTGTCAAGCAGCTGCTCCCTGGGCAAAGGCAGGACTGGCAATCCAGACAGGAGGACTCGTCGGGGACTCTCTTCCAAAGAGAACTGCAGATTCACCGGAGCGGGGGTGGGGGGTGGGGAGAAGAGGACATGGAAATAAGTAGTGGAGGGCCACAGCAGTGTGGATGGGGGAGGGGGAACAGCATGAGGCCACACTTGCAGCCCACCACCCTTCATTCCCAACCAACAGCTAATCTTTCAGCATTAGGGCCCCAGCACTGTCAAGGCAGCATGCAGAACTGTATGCCGCAGTTCCACTGGAGGGCAGAAAATGTGTGGAATGTGGTGCTGAGCACAGACTTTCTAGCAGTCTCAGCTTCCATTTTAAAAGAGCAAATTTCTAGTTCTTAAGACTACAGCCACATTTCAGATGGTATGGGCAACAGCACTGCCAGGAAGCAGGGCAAGATTCCCAGCAAATGGGATCAGGGCTCTGTGTAACTCCCAACTTCTCTTCACGACTAAATCAGAGAATAAGGGAGCAAATTCTATGGTCCCCAGAGAGCATGTGAGGCCATAGAATGTTTCGGATTCCCAGATGTGATGTTGGATACAGCACTCCAAGCTCAAGTGAAAAATTGGAGCTCTGATCATTGCTCCCAGCCTGTAAGGAGAGAACTACTCTGGCTGCTCTTCAAGGTCAACAAAGTGACATTGGAAAAAAGGGAAAGGGGGCATCTGGTGCTCAGGGTGGGGAGAAGCCTGAAGAGGGCAGAATATCAGCTATCCTGAAACTTCTCCAGTCTTCTTCCTCCCCTAACTCCAAAGCACTCTAGCTAGACAAGCAAAAAAATCATGCCTAGCATGTCATCTCTGCTGTTCTTACTCTGCATAGGATGCCTATGAGCCTCCAGGTTTGGGTGCTTATGGGCATCACCATAGGATTCCAACTGAATGGTGAAAAGTTTGTTATATGAAATGTAAGAGATATCATGAAAACTTGCCTCATGCATGCAGATTGCAGAATTCAGCTTTACCTGTAGAGGTTTTCAGAGCACAAAATACACAGAGCAGTGTATGCTATGAAAGTGGAAGGAATTGTCAAACCCGTGCAGCTCTGTCATATGATCAGGTGATCTTGCCAAAATGCACTCTTCCACCCAGTTATTGAAGGAAAGCCTTAACAGTGAAATATTAGCTATCCTTCCTTTAGATAAATTCAGAATAGGCAAAACAGGCCTTGAAGCAAGAACTTAAATATTTAGAATCTGAACGGCAGATAGTTACATCATCATTATATGTTACTTCCAGTGTGGAGGCAATATGCCTTTCTATGCCAGTTGTTCACATGAGTGGGTGAAGGCTACTGCACCTGTATCCTGCTCATGGGCTTCCCAGAGCCACTGGCTTGGCCACGGCAGGAACACAGTGCTGGACTAGATACTCCTTCAGTATGAGCAGGTACCTTCACCATAAATTTCCCTGCATCTGCTGTGTATATTAACAGGGAGATAAACTGCATCTGGAATGAGAATCCCAGGCGCGTTCTACTAGTGCTATTGCATTGCCCTGCTTGCCCTTTGACTGGCTCTGGCAGTGTGTTTTCCATGGTTCCACAATCAGCATTTGCAGGTAGAAATTTTGTATCCATGTCACAAGCAGCACAGGATTTTGCTAAAAGCTGACGTGCTGGTTTTGACAACAGCTTTTGTGTGCAGGAACGCACTCTGGGTTTTAACTATAGTATTAGGAGAGGGTGCCGCATTCTACTGCTAAGGGCCATTAGGCACAGAAAGGAGCTGCTCCCTGTAAGAGGCTACACATCTCTTTGCCCACCCTCCACAGTGTCCATGCCTACATCTTCCACACAAGCTGTAACCCCACTTTTACAGGGTTGCACCTCTAATGGAAGCTTTGCACATGCAGCCTTTCCTTAGACGACACTTAACCTATGGACACAAGGGTGGGCAGGGCTAAAGCTTTAAAATCACTGCAGTCAGTGCGTCAAGAAACTTCTTAAGTAGAGGTAAGGGAAGACTGAGCAGGACTTGCCAGAGCCCAGAAGCAAGGCTGCACGTGCAAAATAAGCAAATAAGTGACCATTTGGATTTTTCTAGTGACAGAGCTCCAGAAGCTTATGCAGAATTTTCTTCTCCAGGGCATGCAGTTGTCCCCATGGGCAGGACACCTTCAGTCCAGAGGTGTGCTCCCTGTTCAGCCTCCTCAAGGCACAAGCTGCTCATTGTCAGATCGAAGGCTGCAGAACTCACCTCCACAGACGAGGGCAAGAGCAATTCCAGAGGCTCTGCCTTCACATGCACGTAGCTCCAGTCATCCAGCTGAACTCGATGCTGCCCTGCCCCAGTGATCCTGTGGGCAACTGAGGAAGCAGAACAAGACCGACTGACTCTTTGCCCTCTTCCATCCCTGACTCTTATCGGATCAGCAACTCATGCTGAGCTTCCATCCTTAAGATGGAGAGAATGTTTGAACTGTCTTATATCACCCAGTGGCTGTAGAGTCTTCCCCACTGGATTAGCATTGAAAAACCTTTGGCCGAATTAGTATAGGAAACCAAAGATGGCGGCTGGATAATCTCTCTAGGTTCCTTCCTATATCACAAAAAGGCAAGCCAAAAAGAGCCTGCAGGCTCCTCCCTCAGCCAGCATGCTGCAGCAGGAGGCAGAGCTGCTCCAGCCGCTCTGGTCAAAGACCAGCTTCAGACTTGTCCTCTTTGGACTTGTGTCTGAGTTTTCTTTTTCCACTCTCCTCCATGTACATGTGTGTGAGAGAGATGGCATTTAGCCCCTAAGTCTGCCTTGTTTTCATTGAAGCTATTTAAGCTGCTCTGGAAGCTTTTCTGGCTGAATAAAAGAATCAAAGGCTTTAAATAAACAAACAAGATCCCTGCTCCTGGCAAGGGCTACATTAGTCTACTCCTGAAGACTCTATAACCTATCTTCTAAATAAGGCTGGGCTATGGGACAGATGCCCTGTGCTGCACTTGAGTTTTGCATTTCTCTGCTCTTACATACCATCCCTCTCATGTTCTTTGAGGCAGGATCAACGTGGAGGTACATTCTCCAGTGCATCCTGCTCCATTACCCCAACATCACTGCCAAGAGGAATGCCCGGGAAGGGGGGCATGAAACACCTGGCCTTCCAAAGCCAGGGCCAGGTGAATCATGCCCACCCCACAATCTGGGCAATGAGAAGGAGGAATTTGCCTCGTCCTCTATTCACCCTTCTCCACAGCAGGGGAAGTCAGGAGAAGACAGCAAGCAAAGCAGCTTGTTCCCTGGCTGCAGCTCAGGGCAGCACACCACAGGCTTGCGCCAACCCCCCTCTTCCCTTGAAGGAGCTGGGCAATCTGGGCATGGCCCCATCTGGCATGGCACTGCAGCTCTTTTGGCCGACGGCTGTGACAGGACAGGCAGCCTCCGACAGCCACACCCACGCATATGGTCCAGATATAGACAAAATGCTAAGTCACAGAAGAAGCCTCGACTACTTTGGGGTAGCTTTTAAACTATCCACTGGGAAGCAAAGGGGCAGCATCCAGAAGGCACACTAAGGGTGGCTTAGCATCACTGGGCAGGTCCAAGCAATACTTTAAGTGCAAAGTGGCTGTACAGCTGCCTTGGCATACCTGCCGTGCCTGCGTCATGAGTTAAGCATAGTGGAGGTGCTAAGGCACCTCCTTCCTGTGCTTCCCCCTCAGTTCCCCTGCTGGTACGGTAGAGGACACCGCAGCAGCAGGACGACAGCTGCCAAAGCAGGGCCCCCTTCGGCAACTATCATCTGCTTCCCCGCTCCACACTCCTGCTGATGCTGAGACACTAGAACTGCCTAGAGCAATCCTGCTTCCCTGGGATTGGCAAGAGTGCCAGGCAGGGATGTGGAGCACTGGGGCCTGGGGGACACAAGCTGCCTAAAGGGGACTTCCAAGCCCAGCACAAGGCGGCCAGTCTGGCTGACCAGTGGAGATGCACCTTTCCTTTACTTGCTGAACTGCTCACTAAGTGCTTCACTACGTCTCTGCCACGCACGATGGTCACAGGCAAAAGCATATTCTTCCAGCTCATCCCATCCGTGTGTGTGGCAGTGTCCGTGGGCACCACAGCAAGCGAGGGCAGCACATCTGCCTGGGCTTCTCCCCATAGAGACCCGGCTGAACAACCCCCCCCCCACCCCCGCTATGGCTGCAACTGCCCCACAATCAGGAAAGACCTGGCTGAGTGCACTGCACAGTCACCGCCCTAGGCTGACCCGGTGCCCACAGGTGCCACGGCAGCTGGGAGCAGCAGGACACGCTGGCGTCTGTGATATCCGCCTCCCCCTCCCCCCCCCCCAAGATTCTCACAGCATTTTTCTATTCTTCTTCCTTTGCCCCAACCACTTTTCACAAACGCCAGCTACTGTTGTGGTGCCTATCCGGTATCAGGATTTCAGTTGGAATGACGGCTCTTACCCTCAGGACTTTCAAAAGTGATGAGAGCTGATCCTCCAGTTATAGGGCACTGGATCTGTGGAACGACTGTCAGTATATCCTCTTTCTCCTCTTTCACATGTCCTTTAAACACCATCGCTCTTTCAGGGGCTGACATCTGTACAAGGGTGACAGAGAATGAATTTTTCCTGCCAGGTCTCATGCATTGAATCTAAAATCCTAAGAGCTCTATACAAAGAGCTTCCCCACAAATTTGAATCAGAACTTAGCTCCAACTACTAAAAGAGCAAAAAGTGTGATTGAGCAGGTAGGCTCAAATCCAAGCACCTCTCAGTTTGCTTACGGATTAACTACCAAAGGGTTGCTACCATCCAGGATAACTTCAAAAGGAGATTAAACAAATTCACAGAGAAGGCTTCCAGTAATTACCAGCTACGATGGCCACATGCTGCCTCCAGTACCAGAGGAGGCCTACCTCTCAGTAGCCGCAGCTGGAAAACACAAGCAGGAGGGAGCAAGTCCACCCATGTCCTATTTGTGCAGTTCCCACCGGGGCATCTGCTGTGCCAACAGAATGCTGGTTTAGATAAGTCTTCTGATTCAGCAAGGCTGTTACGTTTTCATTGGTTCCTGAGGAGACCAGGCAAATGCCTGTGTACATGCATGGGTTCAAATAAAAGCATCTCTTTCTAGTATTGTATAGCAGGAATGGGCAACATGCACCTGCAAATCACTTAAACATGCACACTGCATACAAATGGGTAGCTGCTACCAAACTGCTACAGAGCAATGTACCACCAAACTTTGGCAGCAAACGAGTGATTATTTCTTCTTATTTGATTTTGTACCAAGTGTGGCCCACAGGCATGCTTGTCTAGTGGCAAAAATGGTTCCCATACCACCTGCAGCTACCCCACCCATGCTATGTAAGAAGAGGACCATAAACAACATGTTCTCAATACCTTGTGAAAGTTTTCTTTGGAAATCTGGAACCTTTCCAGCTGTTTCAATTCAGTTTCCAGAGCCTGTATTTCTTCTATCAACTGAGCATTCTTCTCCATCTCCGACTGAACCGCTCTCTTCAGGGGAGAAGAGCATTGTGAACAGGGAATAAGAGACATCTTGCCGTTGCAGACAACCTGCCAAACTATTCTTCCCAGAGCTATGCACTTCTTTGCTACTGAACGTTAGCCGTACACCTCAGTCCCCTCCTAGCAAGTAAGGACTGAAAATCCACCAGGCTCAGAACATGGAAAGCTTCACTGCAGCTGGGTTGCACTGATGCTCCGGTTTGCAACCCTGGGGTCTTAGCCCAAGAGATCAAAGAATTAAATGAAAATGCATGGGAGATTCTCAGATGTTGGAGATTTTGGAGACTTGGTTGTTAACATCATCAGCCATTAGGCAACCAAGCAACACCAAGAGGGACCTTTGCAGATCTGCCCTGCTGCTGAGCTAGTGGGTTTTGTTTCCAGCTTCCAAAGCTGGCCTTCTTCAATTAGCATTTGTAAATGCTGACACTAGTGCCGACTCTCTAGTTTGGCCTTCTTGACTTAGCCTCTATGACAGCAAATGAACACATAAACATGCACAGGCAGTAACTGGGGCACTATCAGAATGAGGTGAGGTGCTGAGGTGATCAGAAGACCAGGGCTCCTGCAGCCTAAATAACACTTCGCAATGACTGACAGAAACAAAATACATGATACAAAATAGGAACAAATGTGGATCCTTGAAGGAGGAGTACCTGGCACTTCCTAATTTCCCACGAGGTTTGTTCTGTCATTTTCTCCTGAGATCCACTTGTGAAGATGCTCTCATCAGCTCGATGGATGAAAGATTCCTGCAGAGCAAAAGGGGGTTCACAATTCAGAGTCTGCTTCATAGAAAATGTGTGCGGAGAATAGTCAAGAATAATGCAATCTTGAACTTTTAAGAAGGAAAATTATCTATTGTTTCTAAATCTCAATTTGTAAAATATATGTACATTTCAAAAATGCCACCTTTTTGTCCAAGGCTATAAGGATTGAGTGGAGAGTGGGAATCACATAAAATTCATTGTGTGGGTATGAGTGAACAGAGGGACTAAACGTCACCCCACCCCCCGAGGCAAAGGAAAACTGAGCTTTCCTTCCCAAAAGAACCAAAGGTTGAGCTGAGGAGAAAAGACAGACTGTCCCACCCATGGCTGCAGCAGGAGGTGCCCCATGCATGTTTAGAACATCATCTTTGCTGGATCAGACCAAAGGTCCTGCTAGTCCAGCACTCACGGTGACAAACCAGCTGCCTACAGGACCCCTCAACTGAGATGGGTGAAAGACATCTGCCTGCCCAAGCTCCTCAGCAACTGGTGTATGCAGGCACGCCATGTCTGGCAAAGGAGGAAGTATGTAGCTGGCAAGGCTGGTAGCCACTGATAGCCTCTTCCTCCATGAGCAGTTGCAGTTGTTGTAGCCACTCATAAGGGAGTTTGGACTTTCCTTTGTCATCTCATAATCAATCTGCCCTCCTCACTGAGAAGTTAATCCCCCTCCCCCTTTTCTGGTTTTACTCTGCAAATAAAAGTTTTTTGTTGCTTTTGGCATCCCTTGCAAATACGGCAGCACAGCTGAGAGAATTACGAATTAGTAAAGATAAGACCAAGTTAATGCAAGTTGACAGTGTTCAAGGTAGCACCCCAGTAAAAGCAGGAGGTCAAGATCTAAAGTTGTGAAGTAATTTAGTTACCTTGGCAGTATTATGGATGCAGATGGGGGGAAAGAAGCTGGATGGGCAAAGCAATTGCTGTTTTCTGATAAATGTGCTCAGTTTAGAGTACATCTGCTATAGATATTAAAAGTAAGTTCAGATTATTTAATGCTATTGCTGTATGGATTGCCACCTATGCCAATGAGACCTGGAAGTTTGCAACAAAAATTACCAAGAAGGTGAACATCTCTCAGCAATGCTGCCTTAGAAAGATACTATGAAATACATACTGAGACCACGTTACCAATGAGGAAGTATTCCAAAGATGTGGTACCCAAATACTCTAACAGAACAAAGAATGCATTTTGCTGGACATGTGTTCCTCATGAATAAGCAACTTCCTGCTAAGATCACAATTAACTGAATACCACTAGGTGGTCAGAAGAGGAGAGGAAACCTCCATGGCAGCTTAGGCATGGCGTTCCGCAGGGTTCCATTTTATCCCCATGCTATTTAACATCTACATGAAACCGCTGGGAGAGGTCATCTGGATGTTTGGGCTATGGAGTCATCAGTATGCTGATGACACCCAGCTCTAACTACTTCTCCAGGTGAGGCAGTGGAGGTCCTGAACCGGTGCCTAGACGGGGTGATGGGCTGGATGAGGGCCAATAAATTGAAGCTTAATCCAGGCAACCGTCCTGCTGGTAGGCAGTTTAGCCTCCCAGGTAGGTGTTTCTAACCCTGTTCTGGATGGGGTTGCACTCCCCCTAAAGGACAGGGTGCACAGTTTGGGAGTGCTCCTTGACCTGGAGCTATGGGAGAGGTCATCAGGAGGTGTGGGCTGCGGAATCATCAATACGCTGATGATACCCAGCTTTACCTCTCGTTTTCCACTAATCCAGGTGAGGCAGTGGCTGTGCTGAACCGGTGCTTGGCCGAGGTAAGGGAATGGATGAGGGCCAATAAACTGAAACTCAACCCAGACAAGACGGAGGTCCTGTTGGTTGGCGGATCGGGTTTCGGAGAGGGTGGATTTGACCTGGTCCTGAATGGTGCAACACTCCCTCTTAGGGATAAGGTCCGCAGCTTAGGAGTACTCCTCGACCCGGAGCTTTCTTTGGAAGCTCAGGTGACAGCGGTGGTGAGGAACGCCTTCCTTCAGCTTCGGCTGATTAATCAGCTACGCCCCTACCTGGAGTACGACTGCCTGGCGACGGTGACACACGTGCTGGTGACTTTCCGCCTAGACTTCTGTAACGCGCTTTACGTGGGGCTTCCCCTGAAGACAGTCCGAACACTTCAATTGGTGCAAAATAGAGCTGCCAGGTTGCTGACGGGGACGGGGCATTATGCTCACATGACTCCAGTCCTCCGTCAGCTTCACTGGCTTCCCATTGAAGCCCGGGCCCAATTCAAGGTGTTGGTTATGACCTATAAAGCCCTAAACGGCTTGGGTCCTGGCTACCTGAACGAGCGCTTATGTCCGTATATGCCCGACCGCCCTTTGAGATCTGCGGGAGAGTCCCTTCTCCGGGAACCCTCCATGAAAGAAATTAGGAGAGTAAGTACTCGGAGGAGGGCTTTCTCTGCGGTGGCACCCAACCTATGGAATTCACTCCCCAAAGAGGTCCGCCTGGCACCGTCGTTACTGGTTTTTCGGCGCCAGGTAAAGACCTTTTTATTTAAACATCATTTTAATTGTTAAAACATATGATCTGGCCAGGGCAACTTCTTCTTCCTTCTCTTTCTCCTCCTATATTTTTATTTACTTATTTTATACTGATAATTTTAATTTTATATTTGTAAATCAATGTATTTTTTGTATTTTTGTATTTAATGGTAATTTATTATGTACTATTGTATTTCAATGTATTTTATCGTGTTGTAAGCCGCCCCGAGGTTTCGGCAAGGGGCGGCATAGAAATGTTATAATCATCATCATCATCATCATCATCATCATCATCTCAGGTGGCAGTAGTGGCGAGGAGCACTTTCTTTCAGCTTCGGCTGATGCATCAGCTGCGCCCCTATCTGGATGGGCAGTGCCTGGCAGCGGTGACCCATGCCCTGATAACTTCCTGATACTTGGACTACTGTAACATGCTCTATGTGGGGCTGTCCTTGAAGACGGTCTGGATACTTAAACTGGTCTAGAATAGAGCTGCCAGGTTGTTAACAGGGACCGGCAGGTATGAACATATAACATCGGTCCTTTTTCACCTACACTGGCTTCCAGTTGAAGCCTGGGCCCAATTTATGGAGTTGGTGATGACCTATAAAGCCCTAAACAGCTTAAGGGCTGGTTACCTGAAAGAGCGTCTCCTTCCATATGTGCCCGCCCCTTAAGATCTGGGGCAGACCCCCTTCTTCAGCTGCTCCCTGAAGATTAGGAGGGTGACTACCTGGAGAAGCGCCTTCTCTGTGGTGGCAGCCCAATTGTGGAATTCGCTCCCCAGAGAGGTTTGCCTGGCGCCGTCACTTTACTATTTTCAGTGCCAGGTCAAAACCTTTTTATTTTCCCAATGTTTTAAGACCTGACTGTTTTAATTGGGGTTTTATTATTGCTAAATTTTAGGATGCTGTGTTTTAATTATTTTCTTACATGTTCTATTATTAAACCATCCTGAGACTTCAGTAATGGGACTGTCTACAAAAAGTTTTAAATAAATAAATAAACCAAAAAAGATCTGGCATCAAACATTCCAGAATGACCTAAGCCGTATCAACCTTGAATTGAAGGATAAAGAAACTGTTGCTGTGGGTCGAACACTATGGAAGATGCCTGTAGCCCAATGTGCCCCACACAAGACGTAAAGCAGCAGCAGCAGCTGATTCTCAGATTTAACCTTCCTGATACAATTCCTGCACTTCTGTGCCACCTGCCTATACTCTCTTGTCACCAGACAGTCCTTCCACTTCCTATAGATGTCCGTTTTTCTTTTTAGTTCAACTTGAAGCTTTTTGTGGAGCCAGGCTGATTTGTTCTGTTGTCCCATATGTTTTGTTTTTTGTTGGCATCATTCAAAACTAACTTAGTCACAGGAGTAGTTAGTTTTGGAGTCTTTGAAACCAATTGCCTAGGGAGGCTGTGGCCTTTCCCACACTGGAGGCATTCAAGATGCAACTGGACAACCAGCCTAAGCATCCCTGACAAGATATAAATATCAGGGATGCTTAAAATTGGAGTCCTGCACTGAGCCGAGAGTTGGACTTGATGGCCTTATAGGATTCTTCCAATTCTAATGTCCTGCAATGCTAAGAGGAGAAAGAAGTGCACAACTTCAAATTAGCTGCTGATTGTTCGTGATATGGTAAATTATAGCTATGTGTAATCTTTAAGTGTAGCCCTTAGATAATGGATCGAAATAACAAAGAATTCTGAACTGATAGTGAAGAAAGAAGAGAAAACATATTACACGGATGGTGGGAGGCTCAATGAAAACACAGTGGTTACAAAAGGGGAGGGTGAAAGTCCATGCTGGGGGTTATTAGGAAAGAGACATAAAACAAAGCAACAGCATAAACAGGATCATGCAGGAACTTTACACTGTGACCATGTTTTAGATACTGTGTTTCAAGCTGCCAGATTTCAAAAGCATTTGGGGCTTTTTAGTTTAGAAAGAACAGGACTGCAGGAGAAGGTACAAGATCAGATATTTATAAAGTTATGAATGGTGTGGAAAAGTGGATCATACACATTTTTCTTCCTGTCACTCAATACTAAAGCCTTGAAGCATCTAAGGGAAGTGACCCGAAAACTGATTCAGGACAGACAACTTTGTCATGGAAGGAAGAGGGCCTCAAGAGGGGCTTCACCCCATTGAAAACATCTTGCAAGCTAGCTTGTTCCATGGGTAAGCAACCCAGCCCCCCGGAATGAAGCAGGACCCAGATCCTGAAGAAAACAGGTTGGGGTAGGCTGCTCTAGAGCCACCTCCTTTTCCAACCCTGGAAGATGACACAAAAAGCAGTATTTGCAATTCTGATGCTCACCTCATTTGGATCTATCATGTTGTCAAACCTAGAAGAGTAATCAAACAAATAAGAATTCCACAGAGAAAAACACTCCCCAATTAATTCAGCATCCTATGAATAAATATATAGTGCAAATCTGCAGCTGATTTGCATGATTTATCCTGCTTCCTATAGTTATAGGGAAGAAGAAGCTTACATAGGTTACTGAAAGGCTTACCCACAGGATCTCTTGTTCAATTGGTCCCCTCCCTCCACCCCACGGACACAACATTTCACCAGGTATTGCCCAAAGTCTGTCTCCACAGCCATACCGGCTGCCAAACTGCTCTTTAAAAAGTTGAGATTCTTGATTCCCTCGACTCTGCGTTCAGCACCACATTTTGGGCTTCCATAACCTATTTCCAATCGGGCCGCCCTGCCGCCAGCACGGGGAAGGACCCTTCCGGACTCCATTCGTTTTACACCACCTCAGCCAACTTTTGGGGGAAAGGACGGCGGGGAAGAAGGCACAGGCAGACCTAGGCCAGACTGGTCGGGCTTGGAGCAGATCCAGCTGCAGCGCAGGCCTACACCCAAATAGCAGGGCAGCTGCTTTTTGGCTCTCAGCTGGGCCCCACCACCAGTCAGGTCAGGCCTGCACAGAAGATGCCGAGGCCCGCAACCGGAGATGCCCCCCGCCGCATTCTGCCGGAGAAGCGAGGCGCCCGAGTTTCCGCCTCCCCGGGGAAGGGTGGGGGAAGGACAACCTAAAGTCTGCTATAACAGGAAAGCGGTCATGAGGGGAGCGGGACGGGTCACCCCTGAGAACAGCCACACCTCCCCCGGGGGCACGGGGCAAAACAGCAACTCCCCCCCCCCCCCCCAGGCAGGGGCTGATCCGTGCATTCCCCCACCGCACGCGTCGCCCGCCTCACCTGGACCTGCCCGGGCCGCCTCGCGCTTCGCTTCCACTTTCAGTTCCCACTCGCTCGGCCTCGCCATCCGCCCCGCCCCCTTAGCGGCTTTGCGCGGGGACGGGCGCGCCTGCGTCCGCGTGAGGTCCGCCTCGGTCCGTATCAGACTGCAGCTTCAAAGCTGGAAGAAAACGCATTCTGTAATAACGGGAAGCTCCTAAGTTTATGGAACATCCAAACTTTCCTAACATCAGAGCTGTCTGTATCTGCAGTTTCACAAAACAGATGGAGCAGGGCTTGCTTACTCCCTCTGCCGAGGATTTTTTTCCCCCCAGGCCACCCCTACTATTTCCAGGAAAAATGTTTTTAGTACCAGTCAGTCCTGAGGCATTTGTAAACTGCAATGAGCATGTGCAGGGTAATCCGGGCCCCCATAATCATAGACAAAGCGCATTTAAGAAACGTAGCTTATATATGCCTTTCTTTGTGTTATAAAATCAAACCTGCACTCTTTCTCAAAAGCACCGGCTTTCCAAACCAAGTCACTGTTTAATATTGCTGTTCCCTTAAGAAAATGGCATTCCTTCCCCCTCCCCTCTCTCACCCTCCTTCTCCCCTCTAGTTATAAGGGAGGACAGGAAGAATTTAGTTTTCCATTCAGTCGAATAAGCAATAACTGCAACAATGTTGCTGCACAATCCCTGCAGGAATTCACAATTTACCAAAAAGTATTTAGTTAGCTATTCCAGAGCTCTTCTCATGCTATAGCCAATCAGAACAGTGCAGATTCATTATGAGCCTTCCCAAGAACTGAATGCAACAGATGAGCTTATGATTGCATGGTTTCTCAATAGCTTAAATTTACATGTTTAAGCAGATCAGATGGGTTTAAGTTTCTGATTTACTCAATTGAAATATCAGTACACTGCAATTGGAAATATTGTAATCTTATAGTCACTTGTATGTTTGGCTGATTTTCCTTATTTCGTCTGTATATGATCTCAGATTTTCATTGTAATGTCTGTATCTTGTCATTAATTGTTCTGTATCTGTGTACATGACCAGATTATAAAATGATCTGTTCTTGTATTGAAACCTCACAGTTGAGTTTACCTCTGCCCAGTAGTGCATTACTGTTAGTTGACTGCACGAATCCTGGCGCTCCAGACAATAAAGCAGCAGAGGTTCAATCTTTCCCATGAATCTGTTTTTATTTCCTCCTCACAAATTGAAAACAGATTCTGTCAGAATACACCATTGAGGTAGGAACCCCCAGTAACTCCTTAAAATTACAAAAAAATGAGGTTGTTTATTCCAAGATAAGGAGTATGTATTTTGCTCATGCTTATAAGTGCTACTGCAGAAAAGACCTTCTAGCAGGTACCTTCTTTCATTCTGCCCACCAAAGGACGTGCCTCCTATATAAAGGTAGGGCAGAACTAGGGGTCAGAGAGAATGGTAGAGGGCTCTTACCAAAAGTTCAATGGTATCACTCCTCATGCTAATTGCTTTCACTTGCTTACCAGACAGGCAGAGTCAGTGGCATCTACTGCTTTTTCCCACTAGCATCATTGTGCCAGAGCAGAACGCAAACAAGGAGGGAGAAGAGGAGCAGCCCCAGGGGACCCTGTTGGGAGTGTGCAGCCTCAGCAGGTATTCAACCATAACCTCAGTGCTACCTTTTGATGCCAGCCCTGTCCATACCCCAGGACTCTGTTTGACACTAGGATGAAAATTATCAGTCCTTAGGAGTCTCCCCATACTCCAACCAGATTTTTAAGTGCTTGCAGCTAACTTCCTTGCAGTGAGTAGGCAAGTAAGGAGATTTGAATTGCTCCAAAAGACAACCAAAAGTAGGTAAAATGTATTTCATAGGACCTCCCCCATGGGTATGTAAGAACTTATGAGCCATATTGCATCAAAGTCCAGCATTTCATTCACAGTGAAAAACCAATACCCACAGTATCTCAAGTTCCCCAGAAACTGGTCTACATAAGCAAGCTGGCCTGGGATACGGGAGGTACCATATAGCCATCAGGCCTAGCATCCTTAACCTCTATGATTTTTTTCTAATCCCCTTTAAAAGCCAGTTCCGTATCTTTCCCTTCACTCACCTTGTGAAATACTGAGTAACAGCACACAGTGAACAGCCATCTGCATCATTTCTTGAACTTTTAAAACTGGGTCCTTAGCATTCACCGTTCTAGCACTCATATATTAACATTCTTTCATTAAAACTTTTCTAACCAAGGGTATCATTTATAGCACTTCCTATACAGTTTGCATACATGATATATTTCAGGGCCCTGAATACAAATTCTATGGTTAAGCCTTTATTCAACTTAATACTCAGCTGCAGAAATGTTATTTTTTCAGTCCACCTTCCAAAAATCCCTTTCCTGGATAAGCATGGAAAAAACAAGATTTTTACTAACAAAATAGTCCATGCTATTTCACCACTCTTAACTGCACCCCCCCCCCCGCCGCCAAACTAACCAACAAGAAAGGAAGTTTGCAATACAGAGAAATGGGCTTTTCAAGAACATTTATTGGTGCAGTTACAGAGAATTCAGAATCTGAGTTTCTGGAAAAACCACTTGTTCTTGCCTGTCTTGTACCTGAAAAAGAGAACAAACATCTCTTATTATGAGTTTTACAAATCTATAAGCTGCAGCCCAAGAGCTTGGCCACTACATCAAACATGACTTACATGATAGAGGAACTGCTTCCCCTGTGAGCAAGAGATCCGTTTCAGAGCTAGTGCAGATTGGATGGCAAGGCTCAGATGCGGGAAAACCAAGGAATAATGTTCCCATCACACCCCAACTTGACATGCAAGTTAACATTCTCCTCTATGCCCCCTTGCACACAAAGACTGAATGCAGAAATCTGCATAGCAGCTGGATCTTTCACAAGACTCACCTTTCCTCAAATTTTACTTTGGCCTCTCGCCGCGCTTTACGTTTCAGGGCAGGATCCCGAAATACATCCTTGTTGACAATGGTTTTGTCAAGGGAAATATCAACAGAATATCTGGGCAAACACACAGTGGGGTGGGGGGAAGGCAGATTATAAACCTGAATGCGTGTCAACATCCTATGCCACCCACTCATATACTTAAAGTGCTGTACGGTCCTAAATCCATTCCATTATAGGGGGTGAGTGTTTATCCTTCCAATCCTGTATGATTAGTCTTAGCAATCAGAAGGGCACAATGTATCCATTTTCCTTTTCATTTGTTAATTACATTTACATCCTTTTTTTTAACTTCCAAGGAACTCAAAGAGCCTTACATAAATTGCCTTCTCCTCTCAGTTTTATCCTCACAATAATAACTTTGTGAGGTAGGTTGGGCTACGAGTTTGTGACTGGCCCAAAACCACTGTTAGCTCCATGGTTGAATGGGGACTAGAATCCAGGCACACACTTTTAATCACTACACCACACCACCTCTTTATGAAGCAGTTAAATAATTTAAGAGTGTGTACTTCAGTAACTATTAAAGACTGTTCCAATATACAATTTATCCTCCAAAAATGAAACAGCTACAGGACATTGCCAAAACATATGTTTAAAAGAAGCATTAGCTATATTGCACTGCTAATAATTAGCTGAATTAGATAACGCCTTATTAAACAGATCCTGAGGTGTCTGATAGAAACAAAACACATTTTTGCAGAATAGGGTGCTGCCTAAGACATGTAGATGCCAAGGAGATGATCCACTGATGAGACATTCCATGGTGATGCCCTCAGCAGTTTCTCGCATCTCCAAAACTGCTCATGATTCTAAAGGGTTTGGGCCCCTGCCCTAGACATTAACTTACACTTGAAACTACCCTTGTCTAAGAGAAAGGGATCCAGAAAAGCTGCTGTCCTTCTGAAAGAAGGGAGACAGCTCTCCATTTTCATTTCCCCCCACTAACAAGTTCCTCACTCACCTGGTTGGCATCAAGTGGTTGTAATTATAAACTTTCACAAAGGACTTGATCTTGGATCGTTTAGCAATTTTCTTCTTGCCCATGTTGGCTGTCACTTTGCGTGGGTAGCGATCAATGCCAGCTACCAGGGCATGGCTGTATGGGCGATCTGAAGTGCCGTCATCAATATTCTGTAATGGAGGTTCATTAGAAGGGATAAGGCACTACAGCAAGCATGGAATCACAACCTTTAACAAGCATACTTGAGACTATTCAGATTCATCCAACAGGCAAAGTATCCAGAAAATCAGAACTATTTTGACTTGCAACAAAATGTTACAATAGATCCTCCCTCCTAAGTGAAGTGGTTCTGTTCAAAATTTTGGCCAGTCACTCCCTCTAAGCAGGATATTCTGCTTCCCACAGGTCACTTTTTTCCTTACCCTATTGATACTCAACAATGTGTGAATTCTGAGCAAGCTCAACCTCTGGATTTTTGTGCCTACAAAGCTCCTCCTTGCCTCCAATTCTGCAAACCTCAGGGTTCCTCCTGACACCTTTTATTGTCCTGTATTGACTAAATCTTTATCAACATTCATCTCTTGACTTTGCCAATAGGGAGAGAAAACAGACATAGCATGAATGAAATATAACCAAATGTGGGTTAATATCGGGAATTTGGCCACTGCAAATATGAATATAAGATCCGAATAGTATATCACCACAACAGTTTACAAAAAATAATCTGTTGCATCTAGATTTGTTCACACTTAAGAGTAGACCCACTTAAATCAGCGGGACTGAAGTTCCAATGATTTTAGTCAGTCTGTTCTTAGGGTGCCTCCAGACCAAACTTTTTCTGCCTCTGTCTTAAATTTTATGGAGAGTCCAGATGTTATGGTCTTCCACTTGTAATCACTTCTTCCTGTGATTTCCCACTGCTTTTTCCATCATTTCCCTTACTGCAGAAAATCTGTTAAGGAGTAAATGATGGAATAGCTGCACCAATGCCTCTTGATTAATAATACTAGGAAGAAGGCATTTGGGTGTGCCTTATGTATGACTAGAGCCAAATCAATGAAGACATGACATCGTTTGTTCTGGTCCAGTTCTTCACACAATTCAAAGTACTGTTGATTTTTTTTTAAACGAAGACCAACCATTTTTAAAAAGTCCATTTTATCACACATTAACTGCCTAGTTATTAAGCCTAACCTCTGTTCTATCTCTCCCAATTTCTGGAGTGAAAGCAACAGGATCTGGTGGATGGCAACAGGAAGCAGTTCCCAGAGGAGCTTTGTGAAGCATTCTTTTCTATTGGGTGCAGGTGGAAACCTTTTTATTCCCCAGGCTTTAATTGTGGTCTGGTATGGATGCTACATGCTACAACACCCTTTTATACTACAACACACTGTTGTTTGTTTTGCAATGTTATTACTACATTAGCAATCACCCCATATTACAAAGACTAAGCACCTCTTCCATAAAGTTCATACCTTGACAATAACAGCTTTACGTCCAGAATAACGTCCAGCCAGCACAAGAACCACCTTCCCAGGTTTCATAAACTTGCCCATCTCTAAAAACAAGGTAGATTTATCGATTCACTACCAGAAAAAATTAGCATTTCTTCACTCACTGCAAATCAGATATCATACAGCAAGGAATGTCTAGCTTGTAAACTAGTTTATGGCTGACAATTTAGAATATGTAACAATCCTCCTAGCTTTAATTTAGAAGATAGGAGTCAACTCAGAACTTGATAAACAAATCAGTCTTTTCACTTGTTAATAACGAAGAAAGGTTTCTACGGTGATGAAGGCGTTTAGTTACCAATTGTTTCAAACACACGTTATTCCAGCATCACTCATCAAGAATAGAGTTTAGGGAGCAAGAGCACAGCACAGAATTGTATATGCACCAACGTTAAATACAGAAAGTGCCTCCTCAGCCAGCTTTTGACTTAAACAAAAAGCGGGTACTTCAGGAAATCAGATGAACGGGTACGTTTATTTTTCCCTCTCGCGCTAAAAGCACCCCGTCCAAGAGAAATAAAATCTACCACTAGCGCTACCACCCCAAAACCTCCCAGCCTAGCAACATCAAGGTGCACCTATTTTTCAGGCACCCTGGCCACCGGCCTTTCCAGGAGGCTTAAGAGGATCACGATGGATAGAATAAGTCGCCCCACTTGCCGTAATCTTACCGAGGCTGTAAGGCTGATGGCCTCCAGACCGGAAAAGAAACGGCAACACACTTCCGCTAGCCTTTCACCCTGCCCGGAGGAAGAGGCTGCGCATGCGCGCTAATAGACCATGAAAGTTAGCTATTGGAGCCTTATAAAAGAGACTTTCAGGTAAGCGCTTTCGTCGTGCTTGGCTTCATTTTCTTCCTGAAGCGGGTAAAAAAATCCAGAGTTTAAGGGTATCTCTGGGACTGGCAGCAATACATTCGTCCCTCACGCACAGAAACAAGTATCAAATGGTCGCTGCTCCTCTCTTCGGTATGATTGTCCCAAAGCTCGGCTGCTTGCGTGCGTAGCCATTTAAGCAAGGCCCACGCGGCTGGATGCCTATCGGCGCTTGCTTCTGCTGGGCGCGTTGGGAGAGGCCAAGTTCAGTAGACAGGCGCTTGCTCATGCTGTCGGCGGGATTTTCTTTCTTTTTTGTAAAAATTAAACCACCCTCAAAACCTAACGCCAAAGCTGCTTCCTGCATAGGCCTTATTCTTGAAAGGCATCAGATATCTACTGCTATCAGAACTAGTTCTGATAGTTCTTTTGCCATTCCTTTTATTATTCTAGGATGAAGTTTATTGGGCCCTAGAAATTTGAACTCATTGAAAGTATTGAGGTGTCCCTTGCCATTTACTTATCTCAATCTGCAGTTCTGCCCCTTCAGCTTGTGCTTCACTTTTACTAAGGTAGTTGTAGGCCCACGTTTGTGAGAAGACTGGGCCAAAGTAGGAATTTAGCACTTCCGCTTATTGTCATTATTTGCCACCCTGAGTAGGTGAAACACCATTTATTCTTTTACTCTGGACATATCTTTTTTGTTGCTCTTGGAACACTTGCTAGCCTCAGCCTTGTTCTTGTGCTTTGTTCCTGTTCCCTTTATTGTTCTTCCCTGTGTCTTTCAGTCCTCTATTCCCTTCCCTTTTAAAAACTCTTTTTACCATATTGACTTGACTTCTCTGGGGGATTTGGTGATAATTTCAGTGTCCAGACTGAGGGGCAGTGTGGCTGCATGGTGGACCCCAGCAATTCTTTGTGCATGGCTATCAAACTTTTGTTTATTAGATAACTTAGTAACCTTTCAGTAATCTACTGGAAGGACGTACTATAAGTTAACTGTATTTGTGTGAAAGACACCATCTTCAGAGTCAGGAGGTACAACAATAGGGGAAAAGCTAATTTTTAAATTATTGGTTAACAAAAATAGAAAACAAATGGACTGAAATTTATTACCAGCAATAGACACAATTCTCTATCAATACATTTCTTCTCTTGCACTGACTTGGAATCCAAACAAAACAAACACACTTAACTAAAGATACCCAATAGATAAAGACAGTTTCTTTAAGTGCATCAACACATAAATCAACAAGGGGTAGAAGTAAGAGCACTGACATTTAACAGAGAGCTTTCAGCAGGACTATATATATATATATATATATATATATATATATATACAGAAAAGCCAACTCATTTGCAGTTATACAGACTTTATTTAGCATAAAAATAAATCTGCTTGCCATTCGGTCTTCTTTGCTGAGGGTGTTGTGAGACCTGACTTTGAAGACAGCACAGTTTGCCTTCATGCTCAGATCTCATCGGTGCAGGATGTTTAAAAGACCCTGTGTAGGGACAGATGCTGTGTATCTGGATCCAGAATCTTCCAGAGACTCTGTATGCCCTATCCTTTTGGAGACTGTCAGGAGGACACTTCCCCACATACAAAGGAACATGTGAACCACAAGTTGAAATGCCTCCCTTGGTCTCACAGTCTTCAAACACATCTTTCACATCCATACTGCCCCACTGGAAAAATATTGAAAAGCTCAGAGGAAGAGTATTTCAACCAAGCCTTGCTAATGGCCACAGCAGTGGCCTGAGAATCAACAGGTTCAGAATCATGTAGTTCTAATTTCCAAAATAACAGCTTGTGCAAAATTGAGTCTGAGAAATTACTTTGTATGCCAGATCAAAAGCACCCAACCAGGGCCAAACTGCTCGATGCTTCAAGAAAGAGAGTTCTGGCAACTGCTATTCAAACAGGCAAGTTTAATGGCAGTTCCTGTGACAGAAACTTCATTTTGATTTTTGACCAAAGCATACTCAAGGACATTCCACTAACTCCACCCTCCAAAGAAGTCACTTTTTTCAACAACTAAATGTTTAAGAGGGAATTCTCTCCCCATGTTTTGTTGGAATAGCTACAGATTCCATTTGTCCATCACGCTACATTTCCAGCAAGTCAGGCTTGATTACTGGGCATAGGCTGTGGTCATTTGCCGACACATTAGCACATACAGGATCCTATTCCAGCATTTAAGAACTTGGCAGGGGAAAACTCCTTGCAAGTAACTGGTCCTGCAGTGTGAGGATCAAATAGCTTTAAGACAATCAGCACAGGGGAAAGCCCTTTCTCAAATATGGGAACTGAGTCAGAGCATTTTGATATGAACTAGTATAAGCTAACATATACTGAGAGAGAGGAGCCTTCTGTGAGAACAATATGTTGCTTATATATTGTTCTGATTTCAACCTCACTACTTCCTAACAGCCCCTTAAAACTTCTCTTCAGCAGGAGGTATGTCCTCCTACCCTGCTATAAAGTCTGCCTACTGATTCCACTACAAGGGAAGTAAGCTATCCCTAGTGGCCGACAACTATATGCAAAGGTATCTTCCACAAAGAGAACCTGTCCACCTGCAGGAGCTCCATGTAGTGCATGCAATAGAGGCAGCCAGCTGCAGCTCAGCAATAGAAGACCACCACCATCTAGCTGCATTTTTCCCAAGTGACTTCCTGGAGGAAGCAACAAGCACTTCCTCCACTCAAAAGGATTCAAACAGGAGTCCACTTTCCCCAGCCACTCAAAAGGCATCCTTGATATTCTTCAGCTGCCGCACAGCCAGGTCCACAGGGAGGTTGAATCGTAGGTTACTGAGGCGGCTAAGAAGATTGAGGGCTCCCTCAAAACCTGTCTGGGCCATGTAACTCCAGGGCTGGTAGTGGGCTTGGATCAGTGCTCCTGACTTGCAGAGGAGGTTGAGCCAGGAGACCAGGCGCTGTTCATTGAGTGCCAGGCATACCAGAGCCTTGAGTTCTGAGTCCGCACTACGCTTGAATGGGTCATGCTCTGACAGGACTGTGTGGACAGCTGATAGTAGGCTTTGCTTTGGAGTGGCAGGCACTCCACCCATCACTGGGAGGGCAAAAGACTGAGAGAGCTTACGAGCTGGTGATTCTACAAAGGCACGGCCGTTTTTGGAATTGTAATACTTCACAAAGAGCTCCCATGGGTGCATGGGCTGAGGAGAGGAGCTCAACACAGGCAGCAGGCAGGCAATGGGAGCTAGAACCAAGCTCATCCCAGGGGATGGGCTGTAAAGACCATGGGCCAGCAGGTCCCGTACTGCAGTTGTCAGTTCCTTACGCACAGCCATAGTTAATTCACCCCGTCCTCCTAAGGAGGTATCCTGGAAACCTGAGTAGCTGATGACATGTTCCAGCTCTTGCAACTGGTACTTCTGGGCCAGCTGCCTGACATGGTCCACAGCCAACTCTAATTTTTTCACTAGTGGTGAGAAGTCCCTGTCAGACTGGTCCTTCTGCCACAAATGGTGTGGGATTTGCCCAGTTGCACAGCCAAACTGGCTCACAGCAAAAATCTGCAGTACAGCAAGCATTCGGCGCATGAGATGTAGGCCTGTCTCCCGTATCCTTGTGGCATCTTCAGGGTTCACTGCAGAGAGAAAAGAGTATATTTTAAGAAAAGCACACTCACTGGAATGAATAAGCTCTCATTCCATTAAGGGGATACTTGTGGTCTGGATTAGTAAGCACACAAAACTCACTTCACCTACAAAAGGTTATGACCATCTGGTCCCTGTTTAGTTGCTCAAACATTCAGAACTGTGGGTCTCCATGAAGATTTCCATTTACTTTCCATCAACTCCTAAAAGGTTTACAATTATCTGAGGCACAGATTCCTCCATGCATTTGCTGAGCCTTAGCTGTACTTCTGCCCAATCATGCTCTCTTCCATGGAAACATAATTCAGTGTTCTGGCACCATTGATCAGTAGAATCCACCATTAAAACAGTTTGGAAAGTGGGAGTTTCAAAACTTGCTTCCTGTTCAGTTACCTGTCTCAGGAGACACTGAAGTTCCTTCTTAGCGCGGGCTTTATTACTGTCAGTTGTACTCTTCAAGGACAGAAAGTTAAAAGGAAGTACACCTATGTTCATACTTTTATGAACAAAGAGATCTGCCTGTTGTCAGAACAATGTGCAATTTAGCTCAGTATTGTCAACACTTCTCACGATTTCAGACACGATTCCTTCCTACTCCTATAAAGAGTTGTCAGGAATAGGACCTGGGATCTTTTGCACACAAATTAAGTGTTCTGCTATAGAGCTACAGCCCCTCTTGTGAGTTTTGAGGATGGAAGTGTAAGAGTATGTGGATGGCTGGCAGTGGTAAAGATGCAAACTGATGTGTGATATTGGTGGAGGAATCATGTCACCCAGCTACATTCTGTCTAGATGAGGACAATGAGGAGGCAGCAGAAACCTACATGCTTGTCCTAAGCACTTATCTGAAGACTCGAATTGTGCAGCTCATTCATCCAGTTGTGGGCATCTTGCAACATCAACACACTAAGGAATGGCTAGAAGTGCTGGTCTTCAAGCACAAGTGCTCCTGCCAAAACTGCAGAGATCTAAGAGCAAACAGCAGGGGTTTGGGCAGGTAAGCCATTGGTGAAAGACTGATAGAGGGCACGGCAACTGCCTTCTTTTCTCCCAGACTGTTTCAGGTTCTTGTCCTTCAATGCCTCACTAGTTCCCAAGTGACAGGCAAAAGCACCATATAAAAAGCATTTTATTCACACCCATGCTTTAAAAATATATCTGTACAACTACATTGGTGTTGTATAATTGTTTGGTTTTCTATTATTGTGAACCACTCTGGAATCAGTTTCTGATAAAGGGCAATATGTAATAATTTTAAAATAATTTGCAAAACTCTGTAAAGCAAAGACCAAGAGCAAGGGTACATAAGCTCCTGAAAACTGCCCAGATGCCCACCTCTGTTGCTTCTATGGGGTTGTCGGGTATTTGGCTTGCAGGCACTACTTCCAGCTTTTCCACCTGAACATTCACAATGCCCATCCTCTGGGTTGCTGGGGCTGCTGACTTCTGCAAGGTCAGAAGAAGAATATCTTGAGCAACCATTATAAGATCCAGGGCAGCTTTGGTCATATCCACATTCAAATGCTCTGACCATTCAACTTCATCGCACAACAACACTTCTTTCTTAGTTGAACTCATGCTGTCCTTGCATACACAGAAACCAGTATCTCTATATATAGGTATGCCATTCCCCCCCTGCACTTTTATTGAATATTCTCACACCAAAGGACCTCCATGTTCAGTAAAACCACGATATCTCAAAGTTTAACACATTTACTATGGCATGGACTTTTTTCTGAAGTTCCTTTGCTTAAGAATGGCAACGCTGAGGTTAGTAACCCTGCCCTGAAAGACTGTAATATTATAGTAATGATTTCTGTCAGATTTCCATCTGTTTATTATTATGCATAGAACAGAGGTTAATAATACAACCACAGATCTAGGGTGAATTTGATTTAAATCACTAGTAATCATGGTTTTCTACATAATTTCCATGTATGCCTGCCTGACCTGTTGGTAGAGGAATGTCATTAAAATTCCCAGACTGAGTCTCTTTTATGGGCTGCTGCCATTATAGGTTTTCCCCTCCAGGGAAAGAATATTATTCATTCATTCATTCATTCATTCATTCATTCATTCATTCATTCGTGTATTTATAGGCTACCTGATAAACTTGAGACTATACGCAAGAAAATCCAAGATCAATGATTTTATGCACCCTGCACCCTTCATGATTATGTGAATTTGGTACAATGATCCCATCACTAGTCCACACAGCAAGTCCTCAGGATAACTGCACACAGTCCATCTCCTTGTGTCCTATCTTCCCTCAGTCACTGCCCTATTATGACATTTATGGCTACTGACCTTGAATGAAATTGATAAACATCTCAAGGTCCCGGATCTGGGTTTTCAACTGTTCAACCAGCTGTTCTTTCACACGTGCTGGGTTGACAATCTGTGCCACAGCTGCATCCACCTGCTGACGCAATTCCTCTGGGGACAGCAAAGCGATGTCCTCACTCAAGTTGATGTCCAGTTTCTTGATCAACTCCTCAATAACCACCTGTAAAACCACACAGTTATTCCCTCACTTTTCAAGTGTCTCTCCCCTACTTCAAACACACACTACGGGCTAACATTGACTCAGTTAAAAGGATGAGGCAGTCAGGATTAGATTTGGCTGTATGCCAGCAAGTCTCACCCGCTGTCTTTCCACGACCATGGACTGAGGAAGTGTATCATAGCTTCCTTCCTGGTAAGCAAGAGTTTCAAGGTCATCCAGCTGTGCCTTGAGCTGCAGGATGAGTTCCCGTTGTTTCTCCTTTTGTGCCTCCAGCTGCTCCTGCTTCTCATGTTCACTCTGAAAGGAGGAGAACACATCCATCTCACTTCTTTGGAAATGAGAGTAAAGATCCAAAGTAAAAAGACTGCACAACCACATCAAGTATTCACCTGCAGCACAAAAAGCATGTGCATCCATGATCATGCATCCATGTTGCAGCACCCTCCCTTGGCCTGGCATCTTCCAGATGTTTTGACTTCAACTCCCATGAACCCGTCAATATAGCCAATGATTGAAGATGATGGGAGGTGTAGTCTGAAACATCTGGGGAATACCTTGAGGAATCAAACAGCTTATTGCAGCCTGCAAGTCTTTCCTGATCCTATAATCTGCTGGAACTTTTAGCAGCACATTTTCTGGGTGATGTAAGTGAAACATTTTTCAAAGCATAATTTTTGCTGTCATATTTGCTATGGCAAATTTCCTATGTCTCAATATATGTTCTTTTAAAAAATTAGCAACATAATGAATAAAAACAATGTAACCAACTTGGGCAGTTTCACATTGTAATTTTTTTGGGATTACTACACCAAGAAAACATTAATGCAAAGCTCTTTGTCCATACTAAAATTAATGCTAACTGTTTTCAGCACCTCTATTCTTTTCTTAAAATTAAAAACATTAATGATTGATATTGAGTTATCATTTTAAAATGTTTACAAGGATTTCAATAAAAGTAATTTTAAGATACAGTTACTCTGAATCCACTGACTATAATTTTGAATAACATTAAGGGCACAGTCCTGTACATATTTAGACATGTCTTACAACTACCAACATTCCTTAGTCAGCTGTTTCTGTCTAAACATGCATAGTATTGTATTTTCTTAGTATGTTTTATTGAATTTTCCCTCTAATAAAATATTTGAGAGCCAGTGTGGTGTAGTGGTTAAGAGTGCAGGTCTGGGACTCAAGCAATCTGGATTCTAGTCCTGGTGTAGCCATGCAGCCAATTAGGTGACTTTAGGCCAGTCACAGGCTTTCAGCCCAATCTACCTCACAACACTGTTGTTGTGGGGAAGAGACTGAAAGCAGCAGCAGGAGAATCATGCAAGGCACTTTGAGTTCTTTAAAAAAGAAAAAGGTGGGATATAAATTTAATAAATATTTCTGTTCAAATATGTTTGGTAACTGAAAACATTTGAGATAGTTATACAGCACATAATATTCAGTGTGTGTATTTTTTAGTTTACTACATTTAAATGTAATATATATAAAGTCTGCTATCCTAGACACACTTACCTGGGTTGAGTATACATGCATAAAATTGTACTGTCAACCAATCTCAAACGATTAAGGATATTAAAAAAATGCTTTAATTCAATTACCTCCTCCCACAAATCCACATTACTGGGCTGATAGCCCAGACTCTTGCGTATATATCAATTAAAAGGGAGAATCAGTCTATCAGCAGTACTTATTATTCCATCCAAGCGTAAAGCATGGACCATAAATATTTGACAGAACATTTAGCACTTCCAAGATAATCAAGCACACTGCAAATTCTTGAAAAGAAGACACTGGTAAAGTGCAAGCTTGGCTTTTGTAGTTAGTAATAAGCATTCTGTCTGTCTCATATACATTCTTAACCATGTGTAACAGGCCACAAGAGAAGATTGAACTAGCATGATTGCAGATTTTATTACTTATTAATACTACTTGAAGTTTTCTGAAAGATGGCGAAGAAGACATGGAAGTGTTCAGCTCCTACTTTGGCTCAGGATGCATGACCTCCTTGATGAAGGAGAAGTACAAGCTGAAGGGGCAGGATGGCAGTTTAAGACTGATAGGCAAATGGTTCAAGATCATCTAATTAGGTTGAATGAGTCTGGATCTCCAGGGCCTGATAATTTTCATTCTAGAGTCATAAAGGAAATGGCAGAAGAACTCTTAGAACCACTGTCTGTTGTCTTTGAAGAATCATGGAGGACAGGGGAAGTGTCCTCCATTAAAAAAAAAAAGTTACTACCTAAGCCCTCTGTACTGATGAGCTGTATTGATGAACCTTTTTATATTGGTTTTTGTATTGTTTTTTAATGTATGTTTTTATTCTTTTAACTGTTTTAATTTTTTATCATGTGAGCCACCTAGGAAGGCCATTTTGGCCTTTATAGGCAGCATATAAATATGTGGATAAATAAGTGTGAGATGTCTGGAGGAGGGTTAATGTAGTCCCCATTTTCAAAAAGAGGAAGAACCTGGGAACTACAGACTAGTCAATCTGACATCAATCCCTGGGAAAATTCTGGAGCAGATTATACAGCAGTCAGTTTACAAACACTCTGAAAACAATGCAGTGATTACTAGAAGCCAGCATGGATTTCTCAAGAACAAATTCTGCTACACTAATCAAACTTCATTTTTTTTATCTAATAATCTCCCTTGCAGACTGTGGGAATACTGTGGACATAATATATCTTGACTTCAGCAAAGCTTTTGACAAAGGCCCCCATGATACCCCGATTAACAAACTAGCAAAAAGTGGGTTAAATGGAACAACTGTGAGATGGATCCACAGTTGCCTAAAGAATCAACTCATCAGTGGCACCTTCTCAGGTGGGGCACCATAAGGTTCAGTTGTGGGACCAGTGCTCTTCAACATTTTTATTAATTATTTGGATGAGGAAATACAGGGAATGATTATCAAACTCGCAGATGACACAAAATTGGGTGGGATAGCTAATACTAGAGAAGACAGGAATAAAATTCAAAGTGATCTTGATAGGTTGGAGTGCTGTGCTGAAAACGACAGAATGAAATTCAACTGGAACAAATGCCAAATGCTGCACATAGGAAAAAAGACAACAAATGCATAGTTACAAAATGGGGAGAGACTTGGCTCAACAATACAGTCAGTGAGAAGGCTTTTGGCATTGTTGCAGACCAAAGGCTGAATATGGGTCAACAATGTGATGTGGCTGTCCAGTTCTCGCCACCAGTTTAAGGCACGTGCAGACAACCTGGAAGAGGTTTACAGAAGGGCAACAAGAATGATTTGGGAACTGGAAGCAAAGCCCTATGAGGAGTGAAAGAACTGGGCATCTTTAGCGCCCGCAGGTTCGTTCTCACCTTGACGTCACCCCCAAGTCCTTCCACCGCCGCCGCAAAGCCAAGGCCAGAACCGGGGCAGCCGCGGAAAGCGAACTCCTCCAGCTCGCGGAGGAGACGCTGCTGTTGGGCCGGGCCGGCGCGTGCCACCTGCCGGAGCCGGAACTGGACCTGGGCGAAGTGCGAGGCCAAAGCCAGGAGCGCCGAATGGAGGCGACGTCGCTCCTCTCTCAGCGACCGCGGGGACGCCGGCTCAGCTTCAAGCTCCTCTCCTCCAGCGTCTTCCTTCCCCGCTTGGGCCTCGGCCACTGCGCCTACCGGCGCCCAGCGTTCCCCAGGTCCCGCCACCGCCTCCATCTCCGGCGCCGCCGCCTCACCGGTAATGGCCGCGACCAACATACAAGAGCTTAAGCCAGCTGCTCCTATCAGGAGAACCGTGCCGGCGAGAACGAGACGTCACTTCCGGCACGGTGCCAACGGCAGAAAGCCGTCACGAGAACCTAGAACTACAACTAGGTAACTGCTCTTTCAGGGCGCCGATCGCGGTCAACTTCTCTGCCGCGCCCCACCTCCCGCATTGTTGGGGGCCGGGAAACTGCCCGAAATCTGGACAGTAGCACAGACTATAGTGAATGACGCTGGATTGCGGGGTTGTTGTGAACTTTATTTCTTTATTACAATTATATCGCCCCTGTGCCTCTTGAAGGGAATCCATCGCGACTTACATAACCCCTCTGCAGTCCATTTTACCGTCACAACAACTCTGTCCGGTTGGTTAGGCTGAGACTCATTAACTGGTTCAAAGTCATTCCGAGTAGAACCCGTATCTCCTGAGTTACATTCCAACACGAAGCCACTGTGCCACAATTGCGGTCAAGTCCAACTATCCTGCAAGGGCTCCAGTGCAAAGCGCATCATATGCAATCGAATGCAGACAGCAGAAGTCTTGTACTCTGCTGAGCTTCATGCAGACACTTTGCGCTTTTGCCCCTGTAAAAAGAAAGCTCGAAGTTAACCCGGAAACTGGGCAAAGTGAGTCTGTAGTAAATCTACGGAAGTAGATAGGAAGTGGATGACCCTTGTTCTAGAACGTGTAAGGGTTTCGTTCACCCAATAAGATTAAGAAATTGATGTACATTTGATAGCCCGTGAGCATAGCGTAGGACGTCGGTGGCTGCGGGTTGGGTCAAGGTAGAAGACTTCGTGGACGAATTTCAGTGAGGAAATTAATCATGGAGTACTGAAACGAATTGGACTTGCAGGACTCCCTGGCTAAAATGTGTGTTATTTTGCAGAAAGCTTGTAAGCATCTCCAATGAAATAGCAATGAGTCTTGTGGTGGGCTTTTAAGGGCCAATACATTGAAGATGCTATACAGTTTAATGGACTGGAGGTTTTAACCCGCGCAAGCTTATCCTATTAGCAGTGTCCCCCTTTAACGAATCACGCATGATCCTTCGTTGTTTTTCCTGCAACAGACTAACACAGCTACCACCCTAAACATTCTTTCAAACTTATAAAAGATTCCATAAAATTTCCTTTTTCAACGGTATGGTATCTGTACCAAAGTGACCTAATCAGTTAAAATGAATCCATTCAGTATAATACTTTTACAGATACTGTCCTGGGTTTCGTGGCTTCTGCATTCAAGCCTCCTGGGAAGAGGCGGATGGTGACAGGCAGCGGCAGCTGGGAAGAGGAGGCTCTTGGGTTGGCTCCGCCTGTCCAGCAGGGTCTCAGCAGGGTCTCAAAATTGTTTGCTCGGGCTGGGAGCGCTGGAGGCTTCGCGACGTGATCGGCTGCAGCAGCCATGGTAAGGTGAGTGTTGGAAGTGGGCCGACAACTGTTCTCTTAAAAAATAACCAACGTTTTCCATCTTATCCCTGGGATTCTCTCAGAATATGTTCTGTGGTTCAGAGTTTCTGACCTCCCTGCACTTTAACCACATCAGCAAGTCTTTGTACCAGCACTCGAAGGTATTTTCTTTGCTAGGGCTCTGCAGCCCCAGATTATGCACCATGTTGGGTGACACTGGATTACTGTTCACTCTAGAGCAACCAGAAATAACTCTTATACCTTTGAGAACAGTGGGGACAGGCTTACTTAGCTCATAGATGGTGGCTTTTAGAGAGCTATGGCTTTGTTCAGAATGCCTTTTGCAGGGAATAAACAGAATCCTTACTTTTGCTTGGCCTCAAGTATCAGGAATCCTTTTCTTTCTATCTTGATCTGAGATGTATTTATTTATTTATTTGATTTATACCCTGCCTTTTTTCTTACAAAAAACTCATTTCATTCTCCTCCTGCTGCTGCGTTGAATCTTATCCCCACAACAACTGCCCTGTGAGATGGCTTTCCAAAATATGTAAAAAAAAAAAAAACCCATAGCTTTTCTGCTCCATGAGCAAAACTCTTAAAAATTCAGAGCTGGACAATACATTTGTTAAGACCAATGAAAATGCCACAAAGATGCCTCACCAGAACACCATCAGTGCAAAGGGGAAGCACCTGGCCTGGCTGTCCAGCAACCTCCTCCTAGGGCTTATAGGCAGGCCCACTGCTGGACAGGGCACAGACTCCATCTGGTACCCTGCACGTGAGGCTGGTGAGGGGCTTGGGAACTGGTAGAGAAAAGGACTCCTGGCCTTCCTCCTAGGACTTCAGGCGATTGTATGACCTCTCCTTAAGAAACCTAATTTGAACCCCCTGGACCTTAGGAACTCTAGACAGTCTCAGACACCATCTCTCTGTCATGTGATTGAGAAGGCAGTGTTTCTCCAGCTCCAAGTAGTCCTGAGAGATACTGATTTTCTGGACTCATTTGAAACTGGCTTCAGAGCAGGATACAGAGCTGAGACTGCTTTGGTTGCTCTAGTGGATGATCTAAGACTCAGAAGTGACAGGGGGAGTTCTAGCACTTCTGCTGTCCTTCATGATTTCTCAAAGAGAATAAATAGTGGTCCTAAGAGTTCTTCTGCCAACTTCTTTATTATTCTAGGGTGGAGTTCCATCGGGCCCTGGAGATTTGAACTCATGCAAACTGATTAGATGATCTTGAACCATAAACTGCCATTCTGCTCCTTAAGCATGTTCTTCCCCTTCATGAAGGGAAGTCATGGAACTTCTTTTGGAAGTCGGAAGTCGGAATTGAGCACTCCTGCCTTTTCATTGTCAACTGTTATCATTTTATTTAGTTATTTTTAAAATTTCTGTACTGCTTAGTGGCCCAAATTCTCTCTGGTTAACAGAATCAAAAAGCATAAAAAACAAACATCAGTTCAACATAAGTTGAAACACACACACACACTCACACAGGGACTGCAGTGGTCTGAAATACAAATATTTAGACAGATATAAAATTCTGAACTTGATATACCATAGTAGAACCATTTGAACTATTAAAATAACTGGAAAATAAAAAGGTTTTCACCTGGCATCCAAAAGAAGTAACAGTGGGCACCAGGCATACTTCATTGGGGAGCTGGTTCCATAAATGAGGTGCCATGACCAAGAAGGCCCTTCTTCTGGTTGCCACCTCCCTCAATTCCATTGGAGGGAGCTCCCAAAGATGATCTTAAGGTCCAGGTAGTTATATGTGGGATGAGGCTTTCCTTCAGATACCCTGGCCCCAAGCTTAGGGTTTTAAGAGTTAATACAAGCACTCTGAATTGGGCCCAGATCTCAACTGGGAACCAGTGCAGCTGGTGGAAGACTGGCACAATATGATCTTGTGAGCCAGTCCCCATTAATACTGAGTAGCTGAACCACCATTTCTTTCCTTTATCTTTCACTGGGTATATATGTAAAGAAGGCTTTTTCGTTGCTTTTAACATTCCTTACTAACTTGTTCATTCCTAGCTTTAGCCTCTAGCCTCTGCAATTCCATGCTACCTGCCTGTATTCCACCTTTGTAGCCTGGCCTTCCTTCTACTTCCTATACATGTCTTTTTTGTTTTCAGGTCATCTCTAAGGTTTTTGTGGAGCAACATTGGGTTCTTCTACCTTTTTTCCTTGTTTGAATTGTTTGTAATCATGCCTTTAGGATTTCCTCTTCTAAAAACTCCCACCCATCTTGGACTCCTTTTCTCATTAGAGTCATGGATCTTTACTTATAATTGTTCTGAATTTATTAAAATCATCTTTCCTTAAATCCAGAGTACGTGTTTGGCTTTTGTTTCCTTTAGAAATAGGAATTCAAGCATGGCATGGTCTGTTCATGAAGTCTTCCTTGTTTGTAAGAATCAAGTCAAGACTAACTGTTCCTCTAGTTCCTTCTTTCATTTTATGTAGGAGGAAGTTATCAACAACACATGTCAGGGATCTCTTGGAGGGGATGTGTTTTTCTCCCAACAAATACCTGGGAGAAGTCTACTACCATAAATACTGTATCATGCCTCCCTGAAACATAGGCAATCCCACCTTCCCTTTCTGTTCTTCTTGAAGCATATCCTTCAGTTGTTCAGTTCCAGTCATGGGAGTCATCCCACCAAATTTTCTTTAAGCCTATCAGATGAAGTCTCGTATTAAGAGTTCAAATTTGTGCTGTTTGTTTCTGATAGCCCAATGTATATAGATATCAAGATATTGAAGTGCTTTATACTCTAGTTTTCTTCCTACATTTTTTGCAAGACTATTATTGGGTGCTGTTAGAGCTGCTTTCCCTGTTCTGCTGCATAAATATTAGTTCACATCACATAACTTTAAACTACATTTACTAACAACTGCCATGTCATGGGTTGATAGTCTGAGGTGCTAACTACCATGAAGCTACAATCTAATGAGGCTGCTTGTAGCCCTCTAGTCTTGGAGGATTACAGGCATCCTGTGGAGGGCAGGAGCAGCACAGAAGTGATGGTTGCCTCCATGCCCCTTTTGTCCTGTAAAGCACTCAGAAAACTAATCTGAGCCATCTAAGTGTGGCACCCAGAGTATGAGGAGAGGCAGAGGAAGCTGAGGTTCTGCCAGGATATTGTGCATGCTGGAAAAGCCTGCTCTCCCCACTGCCCATCCCCAGGTTTGCCTTGCAGCCAGAGCCACCGCGGTTCTTTCTGCATGGGCAATGAGGGTGTGGGAGGGTGCTCTGAGCTGAAGTCCCAGGTCCAACCCTGCAGCATGTTTCCAGGGCTGGAGCCCGGACTCCACATTCTCCTGTGGCCATTTAGACCCTGCCCAGTGTCCCTGGGTGCACTGAAAGATTGGGAAAACCCACACATAGCATTCTAAATACTTGCTGAATATGAAACAACAGCAGTTTAAACAGTTTTGAACTACTTTAATTTTTTTTTTAGTTCTGACAGGCCCATAGCTCCATACTTTCCCAGGCAAAGTCACTAACGCCCTCACCATTCCGATCATTCCAATAAGTGTTCTTCCTGTGTTCCCTAAGGCAACCAGCCAAGACCCTGTGGTATGATCGTCCACGATATGTATTCCTTGAGTTCTGTGTAGAGGACAGCACGGATGTGAAAGTGGATCTGGATGATTACAAGGTGGTGTTCAGGTATAAGAACTGTCTGGCTAATTCAAACCATATAGGAGGGTCAGGGAAGCCGTTTATATTGATCTTAATATATAAAGGTAAACTTTGCTTGCTTCTGCTTTTCCATATGTGATATACCATACTTATCCCCCACCCCAAACACAGGAGAACTTATCAAGTAAACATGCATCAGATTGCTGTATGAGGTGCTTGCTCCTTTTCCATATATGAAATACATTAAGCTGCTTGTTAACTTCTGCAATCATTTGTCTCTATCTATGTATATAGGAAATTGGGTAGGAAATATATTTTATTGATTTTATTAATCATTTTATTGATTCATAGTGGAGGTAAATAAATGCTTGCTAACCAGAGGAACTTTACTAAGGAACTTTCATACAGAGGAGGTCCCACCAAATACTGTAAAAAAAAAAAAAAAACCTTCTGAATGAACATGCAAAGAATCAAGTTTCACACATTCCTTTTATTAACAGTACATATCTGTCCTGCATTTGTACATATCAGTTTGGTCACACAGGCCAACAACTGTTTGTACTATCTTTGCACAAAATTCAGCCTTTGATGATTAATGGAAAACTCTGCCATTAAGGTATGGACTCCTTAACACCAAGAGACTTCTTCATCAGAGGTTCTAAAAGCATGCAGTGAGAAGACGGGCATGGAATGAATGTGCTAACTCTGTTCCCATTACAATTCTCCATTACCTTTGGGGTTCTCAGTGCAATTTTGAAATCTGATTTTCTTTGTGGAGGGCAAGAACAATGGTGGTAGAGAGGTGAACGCTAACATGATTGTCCTACTCCCTCTCCTACACACTTTTAGACTACCTGAAGAAGATTTAAGCAATATAATAATCCAACAGTCAGGTCGACTATTTGGAAAGTTATTAATCAGTCAGTATCTGTGGAAAGAGAGAATTTCAGTCAAGTGTGCACTGTTTTTCTTTTTTGCAGCTGTAAGAATGCTGATGGCATAGAAATGTACAATGAGATTCAATTTTATAAACGTGTGAATTCAAAGGTGAGTAGCTCAGCTAAAAGAGGACCAGGTTTTTTTTAGCAGTCACAACCTGAGGAAGGACATTGAGTTTTCTTTGGTGAAAAATCTTAGAAAAAGAGTAGATCACAGCAAGAAGACTCCTTAACTCTTTCTGAGTGTGCTTTCTTGTAACCAGGGGCGCTTCTGGACAAAGCTTTTATGACTCTGTCACCCTACCTGATTCAAAGAATTGTGGGAGGGTGGGAGAGGTTTTCCTCCACTTCTTCCATGTTTTCCTATCACTTCTTCCATCTTTTTCCTTACTGCAGAAAATCCATTAAGATGGAAAAGTTGGAATAGCTGCACCATGTCTTCATACTGGTAGTGCTAGGAGACCCATGGAAGCATCTCAGGACACTGAAACTGCAAGGGCCAAACCTACCATATTCTGACATCAACACTTGCTTCTTCCCATGGATCTACTTACCAAGAGTAATGCACTTCCACTAGCAGAAACAGAAGCTCTATGAGGCTGTATTAATGAAAAGTATTTTAATTTTCATTTATTACATTTCTATATCGCCCAGTAGTCAAAGGTTCCTGAGCAGTTTACACTGATTGAAAACTTTAGAATGCATCATATATGGTGCAAAAATTTACATACAACCATATAAACGGACAGCACACATGCACACAGACATATAGCTAAACATTTTTAAACAAACAGCAATAAGAAAATCCAGGAACAGATTAAATCCTCATGTAGTGACAAATGCCTGAAAAATGAGGAAGGTGTTGACACTGTTGACACCAGGCAGGTATCAGAGGAAATCTGATGCGGGGTGGGCACCATTGAGAAGGCTCTATCCCTTGTGGCTGTTTTCTGAGGCTCACTCAGAAGAAGCACGGGGGGGGGGGGGGGGCTAGACCACAGACATAAGCTGTGTTCACACAGAAGGACAAGCCATGGCAGGAATGGCTTGTCATTATGTGTGAATTCAGCAAACACGGTGAAGCATGGCACATTTGGTTACCTTGAATGGATAATCAACAGTTTGTTGTAAGGTTTTCGTGCTTCAGAATTGCTCTTTGTTATGTATGGAGCTAGTTACACTCTTTCCCCAAGAGTAGCTGCAGTGGCAACGAAAACTGCCCTGTTCTGGCTGAGGCTGCTGCAGCCACACTTTAGTAGGCTGTTTTACTGTGCTTTTCCCTTGGCCCAGGGTGCAAGGCCCTCTGCCTTCCTGATGCCCAGCTGCAGCTCTGGAATGGCAGCAGCAGGGCCCTGCACCATGCCATCTCCAGCAACAGTAGCTATGCTTGGCGTTCCAGCCTGGTCACTGCCCTTTGCTGGAGGAGCCCTTTTAAGTGGATGCCGATTTGTTCTACTTGGAGAGCCAGTGCTCCCCTAGGGTGAAGACAGCTTTACACAAGAGGAGCACACGGGCTGTGTATGGGCACTGTCATCAGAGTGATCACCCAGGGAAGCCCTGGTCTCCCACCCTCCCTGCCACCCCTGCCTTGTCCCTGGCATTCCTGAGGGCTGTCAACAAGCCTGCTGCCTCCACCCGTGCCACAGCTGCCTGACAAAGACATTCCTTGCAAGCAGGCAGAAAAATTTCCCAGGCAGATGCCCGCACATGCTCCCACCGGAAGGCCATTTCAGCAGGATGCGCTCTCTCTGTGCCTGGCACGGCCTGTCCACGCAGATACCCTCTGTGCGCTTGGCTGCAGGGGGAGGTGACCCCGGCATTGTGTGCAAATCCTGTGCACGGGTGTGTGTGAAGTGGACACATGTGCAGCAAGGGAAGGGATACAGGTGGGTGTATGGGAGGGTGTGCTTGTACACTGGCGTAGAGCGGGGCAGGAGCAGGGAGAGTTCCTGCAGTGCTCCTCTAGGGCAGCGGTTCCCAAGCTTTTTCGATCATGGAACCTTTCTGAAGACATATTTTTCCACAGAGCCCTAACTCTATCCCTGATTTTTATTAAGCATTGTGAACCCTCAGTGTTCTTCCTTCTTCCATCAGCTCCTATTGCCTGAGTGCTAGATTTGGAAATAGAGAAAACATTTTAAATATAATGAATGAATAAAGCAATTATATCCCAAATGAATTCTTTTAATTATTCCCAACACTATGCAGTAGAGACCTAGGAGCCAAATGACATGATGCATTTGCTTGTTTGCTGCATGGAGGCCAGCCAACAATCAAATAGTTGGCCTCGTGTAGTTTTGTTTTAAAATCCATTTTAAATTTGATTTTTGAGATTTTTTGTGGAACCCCTATGAGGTTTTAGTAGAATGCTAGCGTTCCGCAGAACACAGTTTGGGAACCGCTGCTCTAGAGCAATGGTGTTGCTGAAGTGAGAAGGCAGTTGCTTTGCAGAGCAGCAGACCACCCATCCCCCAAAAGGCAGTCAGCTGGTTGTTGGTCATTTTAATAAAGAAGTCTTGTAAATCTGTTAATATGAAGGAAGTTATTTAAGATTTTTGCATATTGTATTTGTCACGTTAGTTCTTAAAGTAAAGGTAAAGGTTTCCCCTTGACGTTAAGTCCAGTCATGTCTGACTCTAGGGGGCGGTGCTCATCTCCATTTCCTAGCCAGTCTCCGTGGTCATGTGGCCGGCGTGACTAAACACCAAAGTGCACGGAACGCTGTCAGTTCTAGATGGCTGTTAATTTAGATTAACCCCCTAATCTGAATGAACTCTGCCTGATATTTTTCTACCACAACACAATCTTTTTTCAGGATTCCCAGAACAAGCGCTCGGGCAGATCCATCACCCTCTTTGTGCGCAAGTGGAAGGATAAAGAGCCTTGGCCACGTCTCACCAAGGAAGATGTAAAAGTAGGCCCTTTTCCCCACAGAACTTTAAGAACAATGGCATGTGGAGAGCTCTGCTCTGCCCAGTTCAGTCCCAATGTTAAATGAAAAAAGGGTGCTTCCAGATGAGGCTTTTAACACATGATCGCTCCATCATTTATGGAATTTAACATCTACATAGTATCTTCCCACATTTTGCCAGCACTTCTACCCATTTTCTTACAGTGGAAAATCCATTAATGAAGAAAAGATGGACTGGTTGGATAATGCCTTCTAACAGTTAGTGGTAGGGCCCCATCATCTGAAATCACCCAGGGACAACAATGAGAATGACTTGCACTTGCTGTTTGACCAAAAGGGTTAGTGGAAAAGTTGTCATTTGCATGAATTTTGTCAAAAAGGATGAGCAGGAGTCCCCCAGGAAATTGTCAGAAGAGAGTTGCTGAAGAAGGGCCAGGTGAACCTGAATTCTCCAGCAGAAGCAGTGCTTCTAGATTAGGCTTTTACTGTACCACCCCCTGCCTCATACATAGAATTTCTTGTGACAGTCCAAACAACGTCTTCCACTCATGATCTTCCTGTGCTCCACCAGCACATATGTAAGATGCTGCTCTATATCAACCTGAATCCATCCAAGGGAGCCTCTCTGACAACAGGATTTCAGACAGGGTTATTCCCAGCCCTACCTGAATATGCCAGCAATTAAACTTGCACCACCTGCATGCAAACCACTGAGGGGCCACAACACTGGACTCCATCTTTCTTCTGTCTTTTTTTTCTTTTCACAGAAAACACTGTGTAAGGAGGGAGAGACAGAATAGTTGCACAGTGGTTTTTTTGACTGTAAGGGCTAGGAGCCCTCTGGACTTAGCTTGAAAGAGAAATAGCTCGGGGGAGTGTCTGTGGAAGGCAACAGATACTCTAGTAGGTGTCCATTTGCTCATCTATTAGCGGTTCCTTTAATGTGACTCTGCCAGGGGGATGAAGGAGAGGGTGGAGGGAAGCAACAGCATGTAACTGTTTTTCTTTCTTGCAGCCAGCATGGCTGTTTGTGGACTTTGATAACTGGCGGGACTGGGAAGGAGATGAGGAGGTGGAGGCAGCCATGGCTGAGCAGTATGCAGAGGTGAGTCCAACCATGGGGCCAAGGGAGAGCGTCAAGTGCTCTCCCAGTCAGTATTAACAGTGCTAAAGTTTGGGGGAGGCAAATCTGGCCTTGGCATACTCTGGTTTCCTTGACCAGCATGAGAGCTGGCTCAGCAAGGCCTATTCACCCAGAGAGGCATATAGAAACATAGAAACAGCGAGTCAGAAGGGGTCTCCCGGGCCATCTAGTCTGACCCCCAGCTCCAGCCGGGTCCACTCACGACATGCCCATCATGTGCATGTCCAGCCTATCTTTGAACACCCTCACCAATGGGGCCTCAACCACCTCCCAGGGAAGCCCATTCCACACCCTCGGGGTCCCAACTGTCAGGAAGTGCTTCCTGGCATCCAAAAGGAACCTTGGCTCCCTGAGCTTTGCTCCGTTGGAGTGCGTCCTGCCTTCCTCTGCAGGGGAGAACAGGTCTCTACCCATCTCTGTGCAACATCCCCTCACATACCTATGTATCGCCAACATGTCCCCTCTGAGTCTCCTCTTCTCCAGGCTGAAGAGACCCAGTTCCCACAGTCTTGCCTCATACGGCATCCCCTGCATACCGGCCACCAACCTTGTGGCCCTACGCTGCACTGACATATGGATTAGACAGCCAGTTCATGTGCCTCACAATTTTATTGAACAGCAGCAATAGTGGGAAAACTACCTCAAAGTACTGGGGGAACCACCAAAATTATGCTATGATTATGCACGCCTTAAATTATTACATGTGTCGTTTATACAATCTTTTCAATGTACGTAGTGTTTCACAATGCTTATTTTATCCCCAAGATACTGGTTAGATGACCCCCCCCCCAAAAAAAAGACTGTGTATAATCTGCATTAAAAATAAACCAAAATTCTGTCTGACAGACCATTTTCCAATAACATGTGTATAGCATGCAAATATGCATAAACATATTTTGCATATGTTAGTCTGCCACTTCTAATCATGGAAAAGGGCAAGAACCTAAGCAAAGCACTGGAAACCATGCTTGCTTTGCCTCTGGTTTCTGAGATTTCACCAGTTATTACTCATAATACTTTCAAGCTTATTTTTTGCAGCTTTGCAAAGAAATACAAATGTTTTCAGTTTTGTTTTTCTATGGGAGTAAATTATAAATTATAAATTCCAATTATAAATGTTGAAACCCAGTACTAATCCCAGTGCTTGTACTGTATGTTTACAAAACATATAGAAGACTGAGGGGATGTATGATACCACTTTTCAAATTCTTTTCAAAAAGAAGATGTGAATTTGGTGTTAAGGAGTAGTGCTCCTGTCCTCACATTTCCACTTTCTGTTCCCATCCAGCTTATGCAAAAGGTCACCACAAAAGGGCCACCCCCTACCATGGATGATCTGGATGTAAGTACCAAGGAGGTGAAACTTGAGCGAGATCCATTTTTAACTGCTTCTGACCTTCTAACTCTGTCAGTTTGCCTCCAACCTGCTTCTTTTTGCCTTTGGCTGCCCCCTTTAAAAGCTAATGAGGGTGGCCAGTTGAGATGGGATGGGAGTTATCCCTACTGTTACTTTACTCTACAATGTGCAGAGGTCTGTATATGAGGAACATTCACTCTTTCATAACCCCTTTGCAGCATTTGATAGACATGCTGCTCTTCCTGTGAAGCTACTGGTCTGTTCTTGTATTCTCTTTTAGGATGACATCTGAAAAGTTGCTGCAATCCAGCTGCAGAGGTAATCTTCATGACACCCACACACTGTGTGACTCCACCCAAGGGTCTCCATTTTTGATGGGGTGGGCATATAAGAACATAAGAGAAGTCATGCTGGATCAGACCAAAGGTCCATCTCATCTAGCACTCCATACACACAATGGCAAACCAGCTGCCCACAGGATCCTCAAGCAGACCTCCTCTCTCAGCAACTGGTGTATGCATGCAACCACCTCTGCTAAAGGAGCCAGTGCATAGCCAGCAAGGCTAGGAGCCACTGATGGCCTCCTCCCTCATGAATCTGCCCAATCCTCTTTTAAATCCATCCAGATTGGTGGTCATCACAACTTCTTGTGGCAGCTGGTGACATGGGACTTGGGCAGTGCATTTTCAAGAAGTGGAGCATGAAAACAGACATAGAAATTGGAATTGGCTGTTCTGAAATGGCTGTTGAAAATGCCATTTTTACACAACTGTTGTTTCATATAACTGTTGTTCTGGCTGCATTTGGATTTCCAATCTAATCACAGAATCTCACTGGACAACCTATTTTAACAAGCACCTCTATCCACACTTGTGGGTACATTTCACAATTTCCATCCAGCCCTGAATATTTGGCAGTGGAGCTGGCTTTGAAGAGCCTGTCCTGATGGTCCCTCAGCTGCATTCCCCATTTCTTCTTTGCCTTCATGGAGACTTCTTCACTTAATTTTCTTTTTCCTGGCTAGGTACACTACTGGGATTGAAGCAACAGATAAGAGAGAAAGGATGCAACATGTGCCAACATCCCTGGGAATTTTCATGCTTCATAACTGTGGTCCAAGACACAGTGTGAAGGTGCTAGTGCTAACTGTAGACTGGGACTCTCTCCTGTAATGGCCACAAGTTCTTTCCCGCTAATTAGATAAATGAAACCTGGGCCTACAGCATGAAACCACCAGGATCTATTTTGCTTTCCTTCCCAGTCTCTGTAAGCTACTCCACTCTTCCTTTCTTTCCTTCCTTCCATCCCCACTGTTCCCACCCTTCCCCAGGGCCCAATTTTTCTCTGTTGGGTATCTTGTTCCTTAGGGATATAGTACATAAAGGGAAGAAGCCATTCAAACCTCTGCCAATAAATACTGTGACCTCACCATTGGTGGTTAGTGTCATCTGTCTTTGCAGCAGAGAGTGATTTGATTAGTCTTGAGTGATGGTAGGCTCAGAAAGGAAGGTATGTTCTCCCTGGCTGGCACCACAAGCAACCAAAACAAGAAAAGTAAACAAAGAAATGAAGAAAGTCTAAGAGGTGTTCTCTGCTAAACCAGCACATCTGATAGCAAAATACTAGTTGTGATTTGTTCTAATCACCTGTACATATAGGCTGCTGCAGTTACAGAATTCCTTACCACATCAAATATACCATGCCAGATACATGCCCAGCAACCAAACATGAATAACCCAAGCATTGCAGAGTTCACACCAGGCCCATCAAGGAGAAAACCTGCAGTTCTATGTCAATAGTCACAAACTAGTTTTCTATCACAGTGCCATGATGCAATTATAAGGCCATTTCTTATCCTAGGAATAGGTTCTCAAAAGTAGGCATTCGTAGAAATGCACTGTGAAAGCATGCTTTTAAGTGACAAAACCCTGACCCTAGGCTGGCTTTACAGTAGATTTCAAGGATTATTTTATGCTGTCTTAATTTAGTAAATGTGGGCAAAATGGTAAGAGTACATAAGCAAGGGACTTGCCATTTAAATTCACTATAGAAAAAACAGGATTCAGCTCATATTGCTTCCCATGCTCCAGTCAAACAATACAAAGCCTTTGGATGAATCATGAGAAGCTATGGTTGATGTGTCTCAGAACTTGATTTTCCGGATGCATACTTGTGCTATAGACAAGAAGCTACTGTTAGGATGGAAAATGGAGAAAAATATTGGTATTCTATAAGGTGTCAAGATGGGACTATATAATCTGTATTCAAAACATCATAAATTGGATAGGATCAGAGGAAGGAGGGAAAAGTGATGAAAGATACATCAAGATATGCAGATGACACCATATTACTAGCAAAAAACAACAATGAATTGAAATGACTCCTGATGAAAGTGAAAAAAGAAAGTACAAAAGCAGGACTACAGCTGAACACAAATTCATGATTACAGAAGTATTACTCTAATGCCAAGAATGAAGAAACTGAAATTGTGAAAGATTGTTTATACTTTGGTTCAATCATTAATTCAAAGGGAGACTGGCCAAGAAATTCAAAGAAGACTGAGACTTGGAAGGGCAGCAATGAAGCAACCAGGAAACATCATCATGTATAAAGATGCATCATCAGAGACCAAGGTCATGATCATCTACATATTGTAGTCCCAATTGCCATGTATGGGTATGAAAGCTGGACAGTGAAAAATACTGACAGGAAGCAAATTGATGCATTCAAAACATGGTGCTAGAGGAGTGCTTTGCGAATTCCCTGTACCTGAAAGATGAACAAATCAAGCCAGAAGCAAAAATGATGAAACTGAGGGTGCTGTACTTTGGGCACATTATGAGAAGGCAAGACTCACTGGAGAAGATGATAATGCTAGGGAGAGTTGAAAGTAGCAGCAGCAGACCAAATACAAGATGGATCAATTTCACAAAGGAAGCCGCAGCCTTGAGTTTACAAGACATGAGCAGGGCTGACAAGACCAGGGCATTTTGGAGGGGAACCCATTCATAGGGCTAGGGCTAGGGTAACTTATAACTTGGAGACAACTTGATGACACATAGCAATCAGAAGTTGGCACTAATGAGCCTTTATTTATTTATAATTGAATTTATAATCCACATTAGCCAATAGTCCAAGAGGACTCTCTGAGTGGATTACGAACGGTCTACACTTGAGCTATGCTAGAACAAGAAGTTCTGGTTTTATCAGGCACAAAATACTGCAAATTAAATCATGCAAATGAACATCAATGCTTTAGTTCCCTCCCTCTTTCAACAGCTGATGGTAATTGAAATCCCCATTTCCCATTCTAAAGAAAGAAAGATTTTTGCAGAGGACTTCTTGCCCCCTGCACAAGTTTCAGTAGCTTCAGCACAGCAAAGGATTTAATCAGCCTCAAACTTCCTTCTCCTCAACTGTAAGTTTCCCATATAGCTGTGTGAGACAGTAATTATGATAAAAACATCATTGATTTGGGTATGTGTGCCTTTTTATAGCATTCACTTATGATTTAATTAAATTCAGTTTAATTGACTTTTTAATTCTTTTCAACTGAGTGAATTAACTGAATTTATTAATATGGTCCTCAGAGAGAGGGGTGTAAGAGCTAGGAGATTTCCTCCCCTCCAATGTTTGACCCACTACAGAGAAAATAAAATAAAACAGAACAAACAAAAACCTAATCTTTGCACCAAGAAAGGCACAGGAAAGTGCAGTATCCAGTATCTGCACTTGTACTCTAACTGGTCTGTGGATCACTTCACCTGGAACAATTCCCCTAAATTTGCTACAGAAAGAGACCCAAATTTATTTATTTCTTCACAGTATCTCAGGACAATACAGTAAAATAAATAAATAAGATACAGCATCCAGATAATAATATATAAACTCAATCTTAAAACACTACTAATATTTAAAATTAAAATAATGGGAGAATAAAAAGGGGTAGGCCTGGCGCTGAAATGAAAAAAGGGTCGGCGCCAGGCACACCTCTCTGAAGTGACCATTCCATAGCTGGGACACCACCACAGAGAAGGCCCTTCTCCGGGTAGTCACTCTTCCAATCTCCTTCAAAGAGGTCTATTTCTTAGTAACAGAAATTGCCTTGGCTGAAAACTCTGAAATTGTTCATGATATAAATCCAGAAGGGTTAACCCCAGTGTTATAAGGAAGTAACTGCAAGGCCTTGGATCTAGCCCTTCAAGCCTCCCTTAGTTCAGAAGCAGACACACCAATTGCAGAGAAGGCTGTGGCCTCATCAGGAGTGGCCCTTTTTAAGGACACATTCTCTATTTTCTTTAATAAACAATTTGATCTAATCATTAATGAACTAGATCTAATCAAGAAATTCCTGGCTGAACATAATGGTTTACTAACTACTATGGCTGAACTTTAGGAGAGAATGACAATCCAGTGGCTATACATACAAAAAATGAAGCAGTGCATAAGTTAGGTCTTGATGTAAACTGGAAAAATGGTGTGGCAAGTAAACAGCCTAGCAAGGGAAGGAAAAATTGTCAAAATGGAAAGCTGCAAAGTGAGCAAAGGGCCACAAAGTCTCTTCCACCTCTAGCTGAGGTTGGTGAGTCAAAAGTCCCCACCTTTGCATCACACCCATAAAATATAATTCAAGATTCTTGGCAATATGCCCTCACTGCTGAAGGAGATTTAAAGACCTCAGAACAAAACCCAGTGCATGCTAGAAACAATCCCAATGCATCCCTAACGTGGGATCACCAAGTTAGTCTTTTTGAACTTTCCCAAGCTCAAAGGTGTACTCTGCCAGTCAGAACACAAAACTCACTTCCTGCAATTAACTGTTGGAGTTACCCCTCATACACTTAACTATGCTGATATAGCAAGTACTGAATATTCACTATAGGATTATTGTCATACATGCTCTGTGGTGGGACTTTTAAGTCCCAGCAATTTGCAAAGAAAATATATGATAAAAAGATGACTTTTTAAAAACAGTCTGGTGGTGACTAATTTTTGAAAACAAAACCACTACAGCTCTATTTTGTAAGAATTTAGATCCTATTCCTAAAGATTGTAGAGTTGGGAAACTTAGTAGTTTGGAAGATTCCCATACCCATAGCTAATTCAATAAATTGAATTTGTGCAGAGAAGACCATTTATCCCAGAGGTCCTCAAACTTTTTAAACAGGGGGTCAGATGAAAGGTGCTGGTGGTGGATGCTGGCTGGCAAGGTGGTGCCGATGGTGGGCGTGGGCTGGCGAGGGGGTGGAGGCGGTGGGCACACGTGGAGAGGCAAGGCGAGGGCAGGTGCGCACAGCGAGGCAGGGGTGTGTGGGGGTGCGCGGTGAGGCAGCGGCTTGCTCGCCCGGAGATCGGCAAGGCAGGCAGTGGTGGCGGGTGCAGGCACAGGTGCGGTGAGTCCAAAACCTCTGAGTCGGGCCAGATAAATGGGCATGGCGGGCCGGATCTGGCCTGCGGGCCATAGTTTGAGGACCCATGATTTAACCCATCAGAAGGTAAACACTTCCTTTAAAGAAGTATTTACCTTCTTTCTGGATTTTGGGTGTCCCAGGTTGTGGTGTCAGAGAAAATGTTTAAACATTTTATTTATTTGATTTATAATAAAAAACTATTTTCTTTTTCCCTACAATGAACTCCAAGTGGCTTACATCATTCTCCTCCTGCTGCTCTCAATCTTACCCCCACTACAACAGCCCTGCAAGAGCTGAGTATGGGGTCTGCACCATGCACCAATACACACGAGGGGCCTTCATAGTAGAGGAAGAAGGAACTACTTCAAAAGGGGACTATTTCTAGTAGAAGAACAGTGGAATGAAAGTAATTTTAGGAATCAAAACATGTTAGTACATTTAGAAGCTTGTCTGAAAGTTTCCACAGAATTATCCCCTACCGTAAAACCTAGATAGTGTGGAGGAGGAAAAGCAAGTGCCTGAGACAGCTACAAGCGTTAAACAGAAAGCTTAGAAAAATTTGGAGAAGTGCTGGCAGAAAGTTTTAGATTTCCCATATCAGGCATCATTTCATAGAAACATAGAAACAGAGCGAGTCAGAAGGGGCCTCCTGGGCCATCTAGTCTGACCTCCGGCACCAGCCGGTTCCGCTCACAACATGCCCACCATGTGGAAGTTCAGCCTATCCTTGAACACCCGCACCGATGGGGCCTCAACGACCTCCTGTGAAAGCCCATTCCACACCCTCAGGGTCCTGACTGTCAGGAAGTGCTTCCTGGAATCCAAAAGGAACCTTGGCTCCCTGAGCTTTGCTCCATTGGAGCGCGTCCTGCCTTCCTCTGCAGGGGAGAACAGGTCTCTACCACCTCCATGTGACATCCCCTCACATACCTGTATGTCGCCAACATATCCCCTCTGAGTCTCCTCCAGGCTGAAGAGACCCAGTTCCCTCAGTCTCACCTCATACGGCATCCCCTGCAAACCAGCCACCAACCTTGTGGCCCTACGTTGCACTGACTCCAACCTAGCTATATCCTTTCTGTAATGAGGGGCCCAAAACTGAACACAATACTCCAGTTGCGGGCGCACCAGAGTCGTGTAGAGTGGTAGTAATACCTCTCTTGATCTAGAAGCCACACTTCTGGCTATGCAACCAAGGCTGGCATTCGCCCTCTTGACCACCGCATCACACTGCTGACTCATGTTTAGCCTGCAGTCAACCAGTACCCCGAGGTCCCTTTCACAAGTGCCGCTCTCCAGCCACTTGTCCCCTAACCTGTACTTATGACAGCTATTCCTATGCCCCAAGTTCAAGACCTTGCACTTATCCACATTGAATGCCATCCTGTTGCCTCCTGCCCACTGTCTGTACAGATCCTTTGGATCTGGAGTACCTGCTCCTCAGTTGTGGCCACTGCTCCAGTTTTAGTGTCATTTGTGAATTTGATCAGCAGACTGTTCACCCCTTCTTCCATGTTGTTAATGAAAAGATTAAACAGGATCGGATGAGGACAGAGCCCTGGGGGACCCGGCTTGTCACTGGCCGCCATCCCGATGATTCCCCACTAATGGTTACCTTCTGCTTTCAGTCAGTCAGCCATGCCCTAATCCACCAGACAGTGCTGTGGTGTATCCCAAAACTCCTCAGTTTCTCCAACAGGATATCATGGGGCACTTTGTCAAAGGCCTTGCTGAAATCCAGGTATACCACATCCACTGCATCCCCTCCATCTAGCCATCTCGAAACCTTGTCGTAGAATTCCACAAGGTTTGTCTGGCAGGACCTGTTTTTGTGGAAGCCGTGTTGTGTGGCTGTCAGCATCCCTTCCCTATCTAGCATCACTAGATCTCTATTATGAGCCTTTCCATTGTTTTTCCTACAATGGACGTAAGGCTAACCTGTCTATAATTCCCCATGTCCTTTCTACTATCCTTTCTGAAAATTGGGACCACTGATGCCACCCTCCAGTCCTCTGGAACTTCACCCGTTCTCCACGAGGTCTCAAAAATGGAGGCCAGCGGGCGTGAGAGAACCCCTGCCAACTCTCTAAGTACTCTCGGGTGTAACCCGTCAGGGCCTGGCGCCTTTGTAAAGTCCAATGCCCTGAGGAGCCCCTCGACTTCAAGGGGGGTGACTCTAATCTGTGCCCATAAGTCCCCGGCCTCATCTAATCTCCTATGCAAATCTCCCCCGTCCTGCTTTGGGGAGAACACAGAGGCAAAATAGTCATTTAGCATCTGTGCCTGTTCCCTCATATCAGTCACTGGATCTCCTTCCTCCTTATTTAGTGGTCCCACCACTTGTCTCCCCTTCCTTTTCCTATTTACATGCTGAAAGAAGCCCTTTTCGTTGCTCTTGATATTCTTGGCAAGTCTCAGCTTGTAATCAGCCTTAGCCTTGTGAAGAATCCTTCGGCAACGGGCCTCCTCCCCCTGGTATACCCTTTTGTCTATTTCCCCCAGTACCCATTTCCTACGGAGGTTCCTCTTTCGTCTAATCCCTCTAACCACCTCCATTCGCATCCATGGTGGCACTCTCCTCCGCCTCCCCACCTTACTGACTAGAGGTATCGTCAAGGCTTGTGCCTCCAAAACCTCCCTTTTGAGTGCCATCCAACCCTCCTCAACTTGTTTACCTTCCAGTAACCTATCCCAGGAGACTTTCCCCAGTCTGGCCTTCAGTTGGCCAAAGTTGGCCCTCTTGAAGTCCCAGCTTCTAGTGCTCGACCTGCTGCACGTCCCCAGTCCCCTGATCTCAAAGCAAAGGATGGAGTGATCACTTGCATCCAGAGCTCCCCTAATCTGTACTTCATCTATCAGCTCCTCCCTACTGGTCAAGACCAAGTCTAGGATGTGTCCCTCCCTCGTCGCCTCTCGGACCCTCTGTGTGAAAAACCCTCCCTCTATAGCTTCTAGGAAGCGACGTGACCTGGCTGTCACCGCCGAGTGAGTCTCCCAAGTAATAACCGGGAGACTGTGTCTCTCCCCCGAGATAAAAGGTAAGAGGGCAAGAATGAGAAGTTTCCGTTATATTGCAATATGTAACTACACCTTTGCATTATTAGGATCAAATGTATATGTTTGTAATTGGTTAAAGTGCACTCCGCTTATGGAAGTATAATTTCTTGTTGTAGTCTTTGTTCGAGGAATCCGCTCTTCTCCTTAGCGGATCACTCGCTCGGCCGAACGATAATATAGCTCCCTGCACACCAACAATCGCTTTATTTACCTGCGAGTCAACGAACCGGAGAATTACTTGCAAATCTCTCACCTTCTTGTCTTGAAGGGAGAATGAGACTGCGAGCGATTTCTCCGGCGGTGTCTGCTGCTCTCTGAAACGTCCCACGGGCCTGCAGCCTAGCCGGCAGGCTATGAATTGCAGAGCTCGCCCTGTTGTCAGTAGGGGGCGGCAGGAGGGCCCTTCGGCCTCGCCTGCTCGGTGAACCGCGCAGGAAGCGGAAGAGGAAGGGAGAACCGAGCACGGCTTGGTTGGCCCCTGATTCTTGCTTCATGGCGTTCATGTGTCAGAGGGACAGCTGGCTGCAGCAGGTAAGGGGGGGACAGGTGGCCTGTGCTGATTATTATGGTCTGGGTCAGCTTGCATCGCTGCAGGTGGGAGGGGCTATGCGAAACCCACACTAGGTTTTTCTGCCCAGACTAGCTGCCATTAGAAACTACCTGGTGCTGAAATTGTGTTTTGTGCAGTGCATAGCAAATCACGGGGACTAAATGAAGGGAGTACTGCTATAGACAGATGTATGTCCTTGGGTGTGTATCCCGCTGCTCAGTAGCTGGCATTTGCTGTGTTTTAGAGAACAGTTTCATTCAGTGCAGTGCAAGTTATGCTTACAGCTTTTTGTATAATACAATAAAATCACCTGTACATCCAGTCGCAAGCACAACTTATGTCAACCAAAGAGGAAAAAGAAGCTAGGGCAACAGCCGGACAGGCATTTTGTTGATGATGATTCTTTTGTTTGTCTGCTGTTGTTACCTTTCTGTTGCAGAATAAAAAGGTTAAAAAGGGTGAGATGAGGAAGGGGAAAAACCGTTCTATTAAAAGCAGAGCCATTGCTGTTGGGACTGTAACTGTGGAATAGAATTACTCAGAAAGCCTATGCACATTCTTCCTTATTTTGAGGACCAGTGAGAATATTCTGCCAGGCATTTGGAATTTAATTGGATATAGGTTTTTACTGTTGCATTATTTTATTTGTTTTATTCTAAATGGATATGAAGTAATGCTTGTTTTATTGTGCATAAATTGGTGGTATTTTTATTAAACTGTGCTATATTAATCAGTAATTACCATTCTGAGAGCATTGACTACAACTCTAAAGATGACAGAACTCATGCAAAAACCCAATAATTTGTTCTGAAGACTGTTGTTAAAAACATGATAAATACTGGGTTCCACCCCGTATGCTGGTCTCTGACTTAGATCTTTACTTTCTGTTTGTTCTGAAGACCTCCAGATCTTTATTAGATATTCCCCTTTCTTTTTACCCCAGTTTAGTACACAAGTGGTTTCCTGCTGCCCGGCAGAATTATCCACAGAAACTGGTGGAAAGAAGCATACTCTGTGTGGATTCTATGTCATCTTGGAAGACACAATCCTTTTCCCAGAGGGAGGAGGGCAGGTACTAGTAACTGTTCTTAGAATTAGAACAGAATCAGTTTTTGGGACTGTGGAACATGGTATCTTGCGTAATACATTATTTGGGATTTACTGTTGCATTCTTTTTTTTTTTTTTTAAGTAGAAGTGCTTTCTATACTTAGTGTCTTGCAATAGCAGGAGGTTGAACCTGATGACCTTCTGGTCCCTTCCAGCTCTACTGTTCTATGACTCTATGCTTCCTGATAAATGGTTTCTAGTGCTATCAGTCATAATGCATTGTGCAGCTCTTTAACCTTTTCCTCATTATCAGATAGTTTGTGGTGAGAAAAAAAGACTGAAGATGCATCTGGAAAACACAGGGCAGTTACATATGGAATTAATGTCTGAAACCCTTGCAAATCTCCTGAATGACAGAGTTCAGTTGCACAGTAAGAGTGCAGTCCTATGCATTTTAAGACAGGAAAAAGGCCTACATAGTTGGCTAGGAAATTCTGGGAGTTGTAGGACTTTTGCAGGAATAGGATTGGACTTGAATTGATCCATGGATTTCTTTTAATCCATGTGGGAACAAATGGTACTGCCAAATGGAGCTAAAAGGAAATCATATCAGACTTTGAAGCTCTGGAAAAGTATCTCAATATCCTTGAGGCCCAGATAGTTTTCTCATCCATCCTCCCAGTTCATGGAAGAGGAATAGAAAGGAAAAGAAAAATACTTCAAATGAATGTCTGACTATGGAGCTAGTGCCAACATATGAGAGATTCAGATTCTGGGACCAGACTACACTACTTGGAAGATGGATTGCTAGCAAGGGATGGGTTGCACCTTACAAGAACTGGAAAAATGGGCTAGATGGAACAAGCATCGGGTGGATCCACATTTGGCTACAGAATCAAACTCAAAGTCCCAGTGGCACTTTCTCAGACTGGGGAGAGGTACCATAGGGTTCAGTCCTAGGTCCATGCTCTTCAGCATTTTTATTAATGCTGAGCAAGAAGATGAGCAAGAGCAAGGAATGCTGATAAAATTTGCAGATGACATTAAATTGGAAGACAGAAGCACAATTGAAAGTGATCTTAATGAGCTGGAGTACCGGCTACAAGCAACAGAATAAAATTCAGCAGGGACAAATGCCAAGTTCTAAACTTAAGAAAAGGGAGCCAAATGCTACAAGGTGCAGGGGATACTACAAATGAGAAGGATCTTGCAATTGTTTTAACTCACAAGCTGAATATGAGCCCAAAAAGTAATGTGGCTGCAAAAAAAGTGAACACTATATTGGGCTGCATTAATAGAAGTACAGCTTCCAGATCATGTGAAATACTAGTTCCCCTCTATGCAGTACTTGTTAGGTCCCATCTTGAGTACTGCATCCCATTCTGGGAATTGCACTTCAGGAAGGAGACAAGATAGAAAATGTTCAGAAGTTCAGGGTACTGGAAACAAAGCCCTTTGAGGAGAACTGGGTCTGTTTGCCCTTGAGAAGAGAAGACGGAGTGACGGTATGATACCACTTTTCAAATACTGGAAATTTCGACTGTCACACAGAGGAGGGCCAGAATCTCTTCCTAATCATCCCAAATGTAGGACACAGAATAACAGACTCAGATTACAGGAAGCCAGATTTTGGCTGGAGATCAAAGTGGGAGATCAGGAGAAACTTTCTGACTCTTACGGCAATGGAACCAATTGTGATGGTTGTGAGTTCTCACACTGGAGGCATTCAAGAGGCAGTTGGACGGCCGTTTGTCTGGATGCTTTAACTTGTGGTCCTGCATTGAACAGAGTTGGTCTTGGTGGCTTTAGAGGCCCCTTCCAATTCTATGATTCTGTGTAGTTTTTAGGAATACACAATTTCTAGTTTGTTCTTAAATTCAGATGTTACATTTGCTGCTTTTATTTTAGGTTGCAGTGATAAACGGATACAGTGGGTCCTGTTTCTGCATAAACGTGTAGGATTGCGCTTTCTCTGTGGGAAAAGTTGGTATCATATTTAGGTGCTCTGGGGAATTAATACAGCAATCTGCCCACAATCTGTATGTAATTAATAATAAATCAGCATTGTCATATACTTTGTCTAGTAGGCCCCACCTGTTGAGAATTAATGGGGAATTGATACTGTGTACACAATATTTCTCAGAAGTTGGGGCAATGATTTTAACCTCTCTTCTCCAGCCTGATGACCAGGGACTCATTAATGACATCCCAGTGCTTAGAGTCATTCGACAAGGCCCAGATGCTCTGCATTTCATCCAGACACCCCTTGAACCTGGGAGCACAGTACAAGTAGTGCTGAACTGGGATCGGCGGTATGACCACATGCAGCAGCATTCAGGTGATATGCTGGTGACCACTATTTCTTTGATTGGAGCATTAAAGCAAGTGCACTTTAAATAAGAAGGTCAGGGGGAACCAAGTCATTTTGTAATTGTTTCTCTCAGGACAGCATCTTATCACAGCACTTGCAGATCTGATGTTTGGATTCAAGACAACATCATGGTGAGTTGGGCACAACTCTGCATAGTCCCTCCATCTTTGCTTGTTTGTAGTCTGAACATCTGAATGGGACAGACTGCGAGGGGGTTTAAATCCTTAGCAGAAAGTAGGGGTCCTCAGAGAGGGCAGGCTAGCAAGAAGCTGTACAGATCACCACTGTCTTTATTAACAATACCAAATAACCATATTATTAATCAACATCTTAAGGCAGTATCTTTCAAAGTCTCCTAAGAGCACTGGGAAGAAGGAACTTGTTCCTGTCACATAAAATACTATGGCAGAATTTATTTATTTATTTGGGTATTTCTAACCCATCCAGTAACTACACATCTCTGGACGACTTACAGCAATCAGTCAGTAAATAGCACGTTATACAAATATCATACAAATAACTCAAACAATAACAATACTAATAACACTAATAACCCATGACTGGAATAAAAACATAATTAAAATTTAAACTTTAAAATACTGGGTCTTGACCCATCATCGGAAAGCATATAACATTGGCACCAGGTGGACCTCTCTGGGGAGTGCATTCCATAGCTGGGGTGCCACCGCGAAGGAAGCCCTCCTCCAGGTATTCTGTCTCCTAATCTCCTTCAAGGAGGGTTCCAGGAGCAGGGCCTCTGCTGCAGATCTTAAGGGGTGGGAGGGCATATAGGGAAAAAGACATTCCTTCAGGTATCCTGGTCCCAAGCCATTTAGGGAAGGGGGAACAGACATCCAACCCCTTCCACCCTCTACAGGGAGCTGGGTCGCCAACGAAGCACTATTGAGCTGGACACCACTGCCATGACAGCAGAACAGGTGGCGGCCCTTGAGCAGAGTGTGAATGAGAAAATCCGAGCGCACATCCCTGTGGTGGTGAAAGAGCTGGAGGTGGATGACCCTGACATCAAGCTGGTAAGTAGAGTCTGGGCTGAAGCAGAGAAAGGAGGAGATGCAATGTACTCTTTTCTAACCAGGCTTTGTACTGCAGGTGAGGAGCCGTGGCCTGCCAGATGATCACACTGGTCCGGTCCGGATAATAAGCATTGAGGGCATTGATGCCAATATGTGCTGTGGCACACATGTCTCCAACCTCAGTGACCTACAGGTGAGGCGCCCAAAGCTGGCAGGTGGGTGGACCTGCAGTCTCTGCTCTGAAGCTTTTGCAGATCGAATCTCTTTAGGTCTGAGCACAGGCATACTGTGCAATCTACCGCTGTGCTTTGTGCAAGGGCAAGTTCTGTCTGTTTGTGGCACATGCTTCTTCCTTGTGGACAGAAGGGACAAGAGAGTTCCAAATGGAACACATTACCTTGCAGGATCTAAACATTTCCCACTCAGAATAATGTATGTTTGTTCTGAAGGTAATTAAACTCTTAGGCACTGAAAAGGGGAAAAAGAACAAGATCAACCTAGTTTTCCTTGCTGGGAACCGAGTGCTGAAAGCTCTGGAGCGAAGCTATGCCACTGAGAAGGCCATGACGTCACTGCTTAAGCAAGTACTCCTATTTTTCTATCCTAGAGAATTAAAGGGTCTACACAAAGTTCAGAGGGCTGTTTAAAACCCACTGAGTTCCTCCAAGGCAAGGTGAGAGGAGCGTGGAGGCGAAGGTCACCTCCGCGTCTCTCCCACTCTGTAAAGCACTTAGCCCGTTTCAGCCCTCTGGAGCAGCAGGGGGGAGGCCAGGGCACAGGAAGGGCGTGATGTATCTTGTGGTGCCAGTCTCCTCTCCTGCCTGCTGCCAGGCAGGAGAGGAGGTCTCTTAAAGATTCCCAGCCATGAGGTTGGAGCAATTTTCTGAAGAAGAGCTGTGGATGCTAGGTGCTGTCAAGCAGCCATAGGTTTGCTATGTGGCTGCTGGTGTTTCTGAAAGCTAGAAATATTCAGCCATACAAGTTAATTTTTATTTAGGTAGGTTGGACAGATTACCTCTGTATATGGCCTGCCTCAGGCTGAAGTCAGGACAGTTAATAAAAGCTTTTCAAACAGTTACATATTAAATACAAAGGCTACCGTTCCCAGATCATACAACTATTGCCATTGTTGCTTGCTTTTGTGTTTCTGCATAACACAAGTTATTTTCACTTTCCATACCTCCACCTTGCTACTATTTAAGCTTGTACTCCCTCAGGTATTGCAACAGTTCTCTCCGGTGGCTTATGGTTTCCTCTTTCATTTTAGGAATGGCCCAGAAGAGCATGTGGAAGCTGTAAAAAGGCTACAGAACTCTCTGAAGCAACTTCAGAAGGTACAGCTAGTACCAGATATGCTGTCATGAAGAGCCCAGAGTTTCCTTTCCCAGTGGCAGCGGGGAGATCTCCAGCCAGCTTTAACTGAAGGTTTTGCACGAGCAGCTGCAGTCAAACCCCAATGAGCAGCCTGTAAGAATGCAGTGGGCAGTAAAAGAAGTGGGAAACCACAGTTGTGGAAGACAGTTCGATAGAAGTAGTTGAGTAGGTCTGACTTGCTGGCCATGGCTGCAAACTGTTTTCAGGATGGTTGCCAGCCAATCAGAGCCAGGAAGGGCCTGAAAAGTAATGGTGGAATTATGATTCCAGTGCTTGTTACCCTCTTCTGACTGGCTAGCAGGTTAAAGAACTCTGCTTCTCAAACTAAGTATCCCATGGGAATTAGAATCTGGACATGCTCAGTAGGGCCTGAGCACCTTTGGATTCTAATGCTGTTGCATCCTGACTGTGACCCTCAGTGACAGATTTCAGTCTTAACCTTTCTGAGGATTCCCTGGTGGCTCAATCTCAATTAAACAGGGGAACAGAATAGTGGTATCTTTTCTCTCATTATCTACTTCTCTTTCAGAGCAACTTGAACTTACTGAGAGATCTGGCTGTCCTAACTGCTCAGAAGCTCAAAAGTAACCTGGCTCAGGAACGAGTATTTGTGTTACACAGGTGAGAGGGAAAACAGCTCAGTGGTATGTTTGTATCAGGCAAATATGGAAGAATCAAAGTTTCAAATGCCCGAACAAAGGTAAACGTGTTAATGCCATGAACTTCTCCCCAACAAAGTAATTCTGATTTTTAACAACTGGAAAATATTTTAAACTGAAGTGTGAATTACGTAGGGATGATGAAAGGATGGTGGGGTAGAGAGGTAGCTGTGTAGCCCTGTTAGTTCTCCTGAACCTTTTCTCAGCTTTTGGTGCCATCGGCCTTTGCATTCCTCTAGATTGTTTGAGCTCAGAAGGCTTATGGTGGCTCTGGTCCTCCTTGAATGAAGGGGGCAGGGTTTTTGCTCCACCCATGGCTATTGGCCTATGGGATACCACAAGATTCCATCCTGTTTCCTTTGCTTTTCAAAGCCTACATGAAACTGCTGGAGGAAGTCATTCAGGGCTTGAGGTTAGGGTCTAGCATCTAAACTCTACACTGAAGTGCCTTCAATATGCAGATAGCACTCACCACTGTATCTCCTTTCCATTTGTTGATCCTAGGGAGGTTGTTGAATGACTGCAGCAGTTTTGGAATGGATGAGGGCAAACAAGCTAAGTCTTAATTGGGACATGTATACAACCTGGGAATATTTCTAGACTTGGTACTAACTAGGGAAGCTCAGGAAGCGATGGTTCCCAGGAATCCTTTCTACTTGATACACCAGCTGCAAGGAAGGATCTTCTCTCTCTTACCCATGCTTTGGTGACATCCAGGCTGAACTATTATGATATGTTCTCTTTGGGGCCACCATGAAAGCAGGTTTTTGCCTGTTCAGAAACTTCAGGTGCTCAGACTGCAGCTATCTAAATATTGGTAGGTGCTAGGTGGTTTGCTCATATGGCACCAAATACTTTACCATCTGCATTGGATATCTGTGTGTTTCTGAGCCCAATTTAAATAGCTGGCTTTGAATTGGGACCCCGAATTCTATGAAGGATCATCTTCTTATGTATCTGCTTGCCCCCATTTGATGTCATCCCACAGGCCTGTTGCTAAGTTCTGTTAGGCTTGTGAGTACAAAGGACAGGTCTTTTTAGTGGTTTCCAATGCTTCTGGAATCAGCTACCATCAGTGATTAGTCAGAGTCCAGTTAGGAAGGCTCTGAAAATCCAGTTCTTTTCATTGACTTTTTCATAATATGTGGGTTTTATTGATATACTAAAATAAGACATTATTGAATGTTATTTTATTATTACTTTTAGCAAATTTTTGTATTTTATCTTGTATGTCTTCTTGAGAGGATTTGGTCCTTAAAAGCAACGTAAAAATCATTTTACATAAAATAAGCATGCAGTTTTATTGAGGAACTTTGTGAACTCCTACATGTACAGAATCGTCGAATGGTAGAGCTGGAAGAGCACAAAAAGGCCAGCAGTCCAGCTCCCTGTTCAGTGCAGAACTCCAAGTTAAAGCATCTCTGATAGATGGTTCTGCAGCTGCATCTTGAATGCCTCCAGTGTGGGACAGTCCACAACCTCTCTAGGTAGCTTGTTCCATTGCTGTATTACTTTGCTGTCAGGATGTTACTTTCCTGATGTTTAGGTCAAATCTGGCTTTCTGTGTCCTGCACTATGGGATGATCCTGGCCTTCCTCTGTGTGACAACCTTTCAAGTACCTGAAGAGTGCTAACATATCTCTCCTCAATCTTTTCATCTCAAGCTTAAACAATAGGGCTTTCCTCCCAACCCCTGATCATCCTTGTTCTTTGCCTCTGAACCTTTCCCAGTTCGATTGCATCTTTCTTACACGGTGGTATCCAGAACTGGAAACAAAATGGCAAACTGAGGCCATCATACTTTAGGCACATCATGAGAAGTCAAAACTCACTGAAGAAGACAATAGTGCTAGGAAAAATTGAAGGCAGCAGAAGTGCCAGACCAAACATGAGATCGATGAATTCCATAAAGAGCTGAGCAGGGCTGTCAGGGAGAGCATTCAGAAGAAATGACTTGATGGCACATGACAACACAAAAATCCTTCCATCCTCAAGCCAGGCCAGGCATTATTGTTTTTCTATCATATGGGAATAGATTTCATACAGGTGGAAACTAGGCTTATCTCTTCCAGATTTTGGGATGGGTAAAAAGTTGTCATGGGATCTTGGAACATCTTCCTCTTTTTGCAGGAAAGACGGTGATTCTGAATTCATGAACATCATTGCAAATGAGATTGGCACTGAGGTAAACCTTCCTGTCTCTGAGCTTTTGGATAGATTGTTGTTTAAGTGCTAAAGATTTCCTGCTCAAAGTTTAAAGGATATTCCCTTTTCTGGTATATCAGTTTTCTCAAATTAATTATATATTCTTATTAATGTGATACTATCAAATGTCAATTAAAAATAGTTACAGCAAAAGATGCTTCAAACTGAATTTTAAGAGAATTACTGTATAATCTAATGCATGTGTATTCAGAGATAAGGTTTACTCCCATGAAAGTGTATATAGGATTCCAGTTTAAGTAAATTTCTCGCTATTTTGGTGAAAATTATTAATGGTTACTGAGATGACAGTTGTTTTACTTTCTTACTTGAGGATTATCATTTTTGTCAAGGATCAAGAGCACATGTGATTGCTTCGGTCATTCTTTATACACCAAATCCACAATCAGAGTTTATAATGTGAAACTGCCTTTAAAAAGCCAAACTTGGTACAGTTTTCTGAGGTTGTCATACTTCAGGCACATCATGAGAAGTCAAAACTTCCTGGAGAAGACAATAATACTATGAAAACTTGAAGGCAGAAGGGGAAGACCAAACATGAGATGGATAAATTCCGTACAATACTGAGCATGGCTGTCAAAGTCTGGAGGGCATTCATTTACAAGGTCACTATTAGTCAGAAACTTCATAGCTTCAATCCCTACTATTAACCAATGAGTTAACATATCTTTAGTTCAGTGTCAAATCATTTCATTTATGTTGTGTTCTGAGACGTCACTCAAGATATTTCAATTGTCCCTGGCCCTTTTATAGACGTGGGTGGCATTTGACTTCCCAGTACAGTCACCCAATGTGTTGTTAAGACAGATAGGACAACTGCAAAATGAAACAGCTCCTCTAGTCGCCAGAGTGATTGGAGCTCATTTCCAAGTAGTAGTAGTCACCCCGTCTTAGACCATCCTGACACATTGAGTACAGGCAGAACTACAAAGCACAACTATGCCAAAGATCTTGAAATGATTACCCAATTGAACCAATGGCAACCAGTGAAATGTAGACACTATGAAGATTTTGGTGATGAATCAAAAGAATATTTAGCTCACCAAATTCTGTTGCATTTTGGGTCTTTTCAAACAATCTTGGTCCTGAGACTTATATACTTGAGAAATATTTTAGGATTAATTGAGGAGTAGTGTAATAATGGCAGCAGATCTGAAACTCTTATTATTTCAACAGGAAACCCTCCTTTTCCTTTCTGTGGGAGATGAAAAAGCATCTGGACTCTTTTTGCTTACAGGCCCTCCAGAAGCAGTGGAGGAGCTAGGCCCCAGGTGAGTTAACTCTTTACTCATGCCAGCTGGAGAAATTAGGGTCATGGGTTAATGTGTACATTGTGGGAGGGAACAGGTTTGTTTGGTTCACTGTGGTTCTGTGAAGGGGGTGGGGGGGATACATCCATCTGGAATGTGTAGGACTAAGAGCAAAGCGGCCAGATCATAAGCCTTGATATGTTCTGTGGGAGGCCACTCAAAGACAAAGTAGCTGTGGAATAAAGTCTAGCTGAAGATACCAACTCACATCCTGTTGTTCTTTCCACAAGGGTTGCTGAACTGCTGGAAGGAAAAGGTGCAGGGAAGAATGGCCGTTACCAGGGCAAAGCCAAACGGATGAGCCAACGGGCAGAGGTGGAGGCCCTTTTATGGAAGTTTACCAACGAACAGAGAAGGGAGCAGTAATTGAGATGAAAGACTGGACAAAGGGGTGATAAAGATAATGGGAGAAAGGGTTCAGCCACAGTTGCTCTGTGAGGACTGTAGTGTAATATAATAGAATCTCTTGCTTTCCACGTGGCGGTGCCAGCAGGCAGAGAAGACAGTCAGCGGTCTGATTTGGCACACGTAGCATGAGAAGCCAGAGTTCTTGTAAGGATAAATGTGTAAGAGTGAGGTACGCAGTACTGAGAAAGTACACTTGGAAGTCGTGCTGCTTTCTCAAGAAGCAACTTCCTCCTTAATTCAAGCAGTGCTGAGAAGAAGCCACAGAAAGCACTCAGTGGCAATCCCTGTGGCTTTGTGTTGTTCCAAAGTAAACGTCGCAGTGTCTGTGAGTATCCCTTAACTGCCTCAGCTGCGGCTTTACAAACTGTCCAGGGTGTTCCATTTAGGGTGGGACTTAAAGGGCATTCAGTCTAAGCACCTGTGTTGGTACCTTAGCATCGGAAAAGCTGCCTGACCAATTCTTCCACCTTGAATGAAGTCCAGTCAACATGATATGCCAAGAATGCTGCATAGCATGCTAAGCATGCTTATTGGGAAGTTGAATCTCATTGAGGGCTGCCGCACACACTGCAAGTAGCATAGGAACGAGAAACAGCATATAGGAGGGAAATGTGTGCATTGTACAAATATCACTGCTACTGCTGGCCAGCGTTCCCCAGTTCATGTACAAGTTATTGAATACATGAGTTATCTCTTTCACAATGTGTAGTTCTGCTTCACTTCCGGGAACGGGTGTGTAGGAATGCAGCCCAAGTAAAACATAACTGCTAGTCTCATATACAAGACAACACACACACATCCTGTACGCCTGATTGCACCAAATAGGTTGATGTTTGCACATTTGTGCCTGGATTGTGGCAAGCACTTGATAACAATGAATAGTATATTAGGAAAAATTATACAGAAAGTCTTCAACACAAAATCTGGACAGATGTTAAATAGGGTGAAATGCAAATACACAAGAACAAAGTCCAGGGACAAATGGCAAAGGTAAAGGCTGGTGTCTGTGAGAGGGACTCAGACAAGGAGATAAATCCAAACAGATGCACAGAAACTTAGAAGACATATGGCACTGGAGAATGGCGACAAAAAGACAGCAAAAGAATAAGTTCCCACATGCTGCTGTTGCATACGTAGGATGCATTTGCAGTTTGCTTTAGCACTAACAAAATGTACATTGGTCATCCGTTATTCCAAAAACTACTCTGATTTTTGAGAAATCTAAGTGCTAGTCACCTTCCCCCTACCTGACTGAGAGACTCATGCCTTCCCTTCTGGGGTTTTAGAAAGTTCCTGATCCTAACCTGAAACAGATTGTATGAATGTGAGGGTGGCCTCATTTGATCTTCCACAACAGTCAGCATTCCTTTAGACATAAGTACTGAGGGCTGAAGAACCATGTCCAAGGTAGCTGCATTCCAAAATTTCTGCTCCCTATAAGTCTTTCTTCTCTGATGACTGAAGGAGCCAGGAGATGCAATAGGGGATCAATGCCACACCACAAATTTGAGCGCAGGTGCTCTTGCAGAAGGAGAGGATATAGAAGAGGATTTCCTTGTCAGTGGGCAATTCAAAGGTATCAAACAAGTGCAGGATGAACAGTGAAGAAGCAATACAACTGAGATGGAAGGTGTGCCATTGGCTTTGCTTCCCTTTGCAGCTTTCCGCATACATTGGAGAGTTGAGGCCTACCCCCAGCCCAAACAGGACACCCAGGTTGCGAAGCAGGCTGGCAAAGGGTGTAGTGTCAATGTGGACCCACTCTGGCCGTTCACACCACTTGTGGGCCTTTTCCAATGTCCATAGGAGGTCCACACCCAGCACCTTGAGCAGCAGGTAAAAGCCCAGGGCAAAGCCGAAGAGGAAGATGGTGGTGCCCACATATCGCCACAGGCTAGCATTGTAGATGGAGTGGATGTGCTCAAACACCTCTGCCACCAAAATACCTGGGGAATGGGTAAATCATTGATTTAGTTGAAGTTGCATGATATCCACATGCCATGCCTCTTTTTCAGTGTAGTTGTCATTCTTGGGCCTGGGTGAGTGGCTTGGCAAGCAGACTTCACTGAAGGATCCAGCAAATACTTATTACCTCAAAACATCAGTTATTATTAGGCCCACCCTAGCCTGTGCTCCTCAAACCTGGGTACAAAGTGCCAAGAAGTGTTCAGCTCTGCCTTTTTAAAGCATGAAAGCAATAATGGTCGGAACACTCTCACACACGGTCATTTTTTTGACAGTTATACTTTATCTCTTCTGCCTCTGCACACACAAATGCTCTTCTGCCTCCCTGACCTGGCAGCTTGTTTCCAAGTCACTGGGCAGGCCAAGGAGACAATGCATTTTATCTTGGGACCCATAAAGGTTACTGCAAGTTATTCCTTTAGCCAGAACATCCCATTGCTTCAGAGAAATAATAAATAATCCTCTTCATACAGTCAGTCAATTGGAAGGCTTTAACACAAGCTTCTGCTGTGAACCAGGGCTGCCTAACTGCTTGCTCCCTTCATCAAGTAACTTACACAAGTTTGGTACTGTGAGCAACTGCTCAAAAGTACCAGACTGCCAAGCAGTTGCACTGTTGGAGGCAATTCCTTAAGCAACACACAGTAATTGTTTCAGATGAATACAACAAGCTAGTCACACTGCAGAAGGGACTACAAATAGCAGTCAAAACTATGTTGGAGCAAAATCTTTCTTCCTAATTCCACATACAGTGACTGGCCAGGTCTACAACATATACAACAGCTGCGACTTTAGATCCCGTCAAAGCAGGAGTTACAGATATGTATGTAACATACTAGTACATACATATATGGCCCCTTTTAGACACCTATTTCTGTTGAACATAGAAGCCTATTTTATGTCCAGAAATTCCACTGTGTACTTACAATTCAAATATAGCGGAGTAACTCACCTGTGATAACGCCGGAGATCACCTGGTGTGGGAAATGTGCAGCAAGAAAGACTCGGGATAAACACACACAGGCCTGCACAGCCCAGAACCCTGTCCAGAGGAGGCCACGTAGACACCTGGGAGAGAGGATGTGTTCAGATCATAGCAAAGGCACTGCTAAATGCATAATCTGACCCACATGCCTTTTTGGTTGTTGGCTCCAGTCGCTGGCTGTGAACAAGAGGGCATATGAGCTGTCCTTTGCAGACATGAAAATCGTGGATTGCTCAGTTCAGCCTTACACAGAACTGAGCTTTGTTTGATATCCCTAGTGGAAATTTTTTTATATCTCATACTGTCAGTCCTATCCCATGCCCTTAGTTTTCTAACTATTAAAATACAGCCTCCAAGAGCCGTCCCAAGTATATTTTTAGCTGTCTAGATTTACACCTGCTGGGGGGGGCACTCTGTGGCCCCTGCATCTGTCAGACCCTTCCCTTCCCCAGCATCCTGGCATGCCCCCTTCTCTACCTCTGAGGCTGGTTGTGATGGGGTGACTTAAAGGGTGAAAAGGTTCCCTGTGCAAAAGACCTCTGTGCTTGGACTCCAAAGAATCCTGTGTTGAGAAACCACAGGATTCTGCCCCAAGTCATGCTGCATAAAGGCAGCAATGATCTTAAATAGCATTTGTTGATAACTGTAACCAGTTCATGTGACAGCCATAATAGAAGAATAATGGAAAATGGGAGAGCAAATTGGCTCCAGAAAATGGCTTCTGAGAACAGCTTCACTCTTCTAGTCAGTGGGCACATATGCTCATGTCTTCTAAAGACAAGTTATAATGGTGAATTGTAAAATTAAGTTTGAGAGACAAAGAATCTAGGAGCCCAGGTGGCACGCCTCAGCCACCCTCATCCATTCCTAAAGGTAATGTCCCAGCAGTCACATGCAGAGGAGGAATGTGGGCCTCACCTGGCAGTCCAGATGTTTTGCTGCTTTGGCAGGAGTTGTGATAATAATGCTGTCACCATGACATAGTAGACCCCAGAAGAGCCCATGGCATGGCCAGAAGGGCTGCCTGGAGGGAACAGAGATGAGTCAAAGGGAGGGCAGGCAGGGAGAAGGGCACTTCCAACAACCTCAGGAAAGCACCCAAGAGACGTGGGAAAAGAGGGAGGAGGCAACTGCACCTGGTCCAGTCTCACAGGTGATGGAAAACTGCTGGATCACAGGGCGTGTCGTGATGCCATAGAAACCTGTCTCATGTACCCACCAGTAGGGTCGCTCTCCAAAAAGGATCCTGTAAGAAGAATGGAGAGCAGTGAAAGTGACCGGAAGAGAGGGCAGGAGGCAGGGGAAAGTGTCAAACTGATGCACATCTATCTTTAAAGTAGTACTTTAATATTTTCTCTCATACTTTCTTTGCTGTTTGGCACAGCTAATGGGATCAGAAACAGGAACTGACTGAGCTATTCTGAAGTCAGAACTGCCCCAACCCAGCTGTGTCTCTTCTTTCTCCATAGCGTTCTTACAACCTTATAGCCTCTACATTCACATGCAATTAATCTTTCATTTTTATTTTCCTGCACCTTCGAAGAACTTGACTATTTATTTCTCGTACTCTTTTGTCGTTTATTCTTTGTCAGATTGTTTGAGCCGAAAAATGTCGTAGGAAGCAACTCTGTGCTGAGGCCTGCTGAGCCTACTGCAGTCGCTAAGAGGACACCCGCGCGCGGGAGGCTCCCCGCACGCCTTGCTCTGCTGCGGAAAGGTCCGCGGCCGCTTTCCCGCCCTAAGCCGGAGCGGCGGGGGCGGATTCTCCGCTTTCTTGGAGGTTTCCGCACCGCCACCGCGTCTCGAGAGAAGAGAAAACGCCCAGCAAAAAAAGGCGAACGCAAACAGCGGCGGGACGGCGCCGGGAAGGGGCGCTCCGCACTGCTCCTTCCGCTCTGTGCGTGCTGCGGAGCCTTCGGAAAGCAGGAGAGTGTTCCTCCCTGTACAGTATAATCAGTAAAAAATCTCAGTCCCTTGTATTTGTTTTCTTTTAATTCTGCAAGAAAAATGAATAATGAAAATTAAAGCACCTCTATTCCGCTACGTTTTCAAAATTACTTGCAATTGCATTATTTATTTTTCAAGGCAGAATTCTGGAACGGGAGCATTCATGGAATCATTCGCTCTGAAGATGATCCCCCCCCCCCAAAAAAAAGGTACAACGTACTCCCATGTATGCCTATTCACAAGTAAGTCCCATTATATCGCATGACATTCCCTAATAGCACAGTCCCATGCATGTCTCTTCAGTAATAAGCCCCATGGAGTTCAAAGGGATTTTCTCCACCCAAGTAATTCAGTATATTATTTTCTCTTTCACATTGTGCTCAGTCTACAGGGAAAACCTTGATGTCCAGATTATGGTGTGCTATAGGTAACAAGCACACTTTGGAGAGGTACCACAGAGCAGATGGTTTTCTCCCAAGCGCCCAAAGCAGCTGAAACTGGAATGTGGAATTGCTAAAGAAACTTGATGGTGCTGTTTCTTCAGCCTGTTTGAACGCCACCCTACCTGTTGCCAGCCCAGAAGCATCACCTCCTGGGATAACTGTTGCAAGGTGATTCATGCGACCAAATGCCCAACTATGGTTTGGTTTGGTTTGGTTTGATAGAAAGATGTGTAGACCTGGAAAAAATTCAGGCTTGCATATCCCTTCTTGTCTCGTGTGCTGTGCTTAACTGGTTTGTTGCATGTGGCCTGCCAAAAAGGAGTGCACAAGCTCAGGATCTCTGCCAGGATTGCTCCTTTACAATAAGGCCATGGCTTGGCAATCTTATGCCTGGTCCAAGCCTATGTTAGTGCTTTCCATGTCCAACAGCATGGAAAAGGTGGAAACAAACACCTCCATGTGCATGACTGAGAGGAAAATTTGTGCTGACCCCAGAAACGGTGCTCAGGAATACTTGGAATCCATGCTCACCACTTGAACACAAGGTTGAACCAGTCACCGATCACAGCCACCCAGATGAGCCGGATCCCCACAGCCTTCTTCAGGTGGAACCAGACTGGGAAAAAGACAGAGAAAGTTGTCCTGAGGTCAGCAGCAGTGGAGATGAAGACAAACCAGTCCTGGAAGTCCATGAAGTTTTCCTGGAGGTAGCTGGTGGCCTGGACCCCTGCACTGTGCAGTAGGTCCATGGTGCGACCGCGACAGGAATTGTCCTCTCCCACTGTGGCTCTTGCTATTTTTCCTGTCAGAGCCTTTATTACATCCCAGACCCCTGATCTTTGACCCTTAACTCCCTCTCCTGTCCAAAATAATATTGACAGAAGCTGCAGAATGAAGCAAAGTATGTTTGTTTGCACCAATCAATACCTCCATTTTCAGAAGCTCATGTATACTACTTACTCAAAGCTATTTTATGTCATTCCCCCTTCCTATAGAATCCCGGGCAGGGAGGGGGAGATGTGATTAATTTGTTTAAGTACAATTCCCAGGAGACTTTGGAAGAGACTATGCCAGCCAAATGCAAGAATACCAAAGCAAGTGGGGAAACGGGCACAGCGGGGGGGGGGGGTACAAATTTGAGTCACTGTCATGCACTTTCTTTACAGTATTTGCGTCAAGGCCACCTGCTTCCTCCATGAGAAGCCATTAAACTATAAAATCCAAATAGGTTTGCATTGTGCGCTGAACCAAAGTTCTCTGTGCTTTCTCTGGGTCTATACTGGACTTGCAACATATGTGATTAGGTGGACATTTTGGTAGAAAGGTGCCTGGAATTTTCCTCAAAAGACACTCAAAAGCCTCTTTGTAGCTCTTTGCCTGCTATCCCCTTCCTCAATATTCTCTTTTTCATTTTTCTTTGAATTATTTGCAAGGACAACAGCTGTCACAACAGAAGCAGAAAAGGGGGAAAGAAAAAAGGGAGAATGAGAAAACATTCATTTCAAATATGTGGATATGTGCTATCAAGTTGTCTTCAACTTATGGCAACCCTGTGAAACTCAATGTGTTTTGGCTCATTTAGTCCTGACTGTACCAGGACCAAATAATGTAGCTGCAAAAAACCTGACACTGTAAGAACAGCTTTAGACTTAAGGTGGAATTCTGATCTGGTCCGGAAACCATGCTGCAAGTCTTGTCTGCCATGTACACTTTAGATGTGCTAATCTATGCCTGTCCTGGAAGCTCTTCCTTTTCTGTTTCTTAACTCGGCCCTAACAAACTGCCTACATGATCCCCCACCCCAAATTGTGTATGCAGTTAATGCCAAACAAAACTGTAACAACCGGAGTTCTTTGAAGGACTCCACTATTACTGCCTGTGGCCTTGGACTGTGGCCAGATTCCCAATTTCACCACCAGGGTTCAGCAGGAGAACTAGCAGTCTCACCGACTAGCAAGAAACCCAGAGAGAGTCCAGTCACAACATTCACAGTTTATTCAGACATACAGGAAATACGTGCAGCATGTAGGCAGCCCCCGAAGGGACTACAGAGTTGGAGTCTGTACAGGATGCATTTATAACCTATTAGCTGTATATACAGTTTGGAGGGGAGGGGGAATCACGTAGACAGCTTGGTAGAGGGACATGAGGGTAAAACAAAGGGCTGAATGGATTAAGACAAGAACACGAAAGGAAGAACTTCCAGGACAGGCAAACATGAGTACATCTAAGACTGCACCTGAGCAACCAGACTTGTAACATGGTTTCCTGATCAGATCAGGATCCTATCTCAAGTCTAAAGCTGTTCTTACCTTGTCAGCTTTCGGCAACCGTATTATTTTGTTCTGACACTAAATATACAGTTTAGGTCAAAAGCTGACCCTCAATCATGCCACCAGTTTTCACTCTAATGTGGGAAGGATCTTGTTCTCATTTGCTAAGTGACCATGTCAGACATCTGTAATGTGGGATTTCAGAAGCACTGAAACAATCGTGATGGTTCTTGTATGATGCACTACCACCAGCCGAAAAGTGAGTGCTAAACAGGAGGCTAAGGTTGTGAGTTGTGACTCCACCGTAGCTGTGTGGGCAGAGCTGCAGCAGGTGGAAACAGGGTCTTTTGCTTCTAGGGCCCAGTGCATGTATTTTGATCTATGCTCCTTCTTCTGCCAGTTTGCTGTTATAATGTATGTGGTGCAAGGACAGGATTCTGAGTAAATTCAATTTTCTCCAGCAGGCCGCCAGTACCACCCATTTTTGCTACAATGCCAGTCTGGAATCCAGGCATTGTAGGATGAGACTGATCAGATACATTCCAATCCAGTTTTTGGCTTAGCTTTGAGATGGAAAAAAAACCTTGGTGACACTGGGGGATAACTTACACCAGGAAATAGATGTGGGGAATGTAACTCTCTCAGTTGTGCCAGACCTCCCGGTCACTTTTGATTCTATCAACCCTATGATCCATTTGGATCATTTATCAGAGTTGGTCTTAGAAGGCAGGTACTTCTTCCTGGAGGAACAGTTGCAGAAGGCAGCACTAGGGGATTTCTGTTCTGCTTCATGGCTTATGATGTGCCATGAAGTTCCATCTTGTGTTCTATGCTTTCAAAGTCTACACATAACTGCTACAGCAAGTCATCCTGAGATTTGGCCTGAAGAGTCATCCATGTGCAGATAATAGTGTTACCTTTCATTTCCATCCAATTCCGTGGAACTGTTTACTGGGTACCAGGAGGTAGTTTTGGAATAAATGAGTGTGCCTAAGCTGAGACTTGGTATGAGAGCTGAGGCTGAGATAGTAGAAATACACTGGATACGGAAATCAATTACTGTGAATTGAGGTCTTAGAGCAGATTGCAATAGGTGTCAAATGGAAGTCTGAACCTTCAATCGTGTGAGGTAGGACATGCTGCCAGACACTTTAAAGGTAGACTTCCGCCACCCACATGATCAATCAGTTCTCCTGGACTCGGCACTTACTGAAGAAGTTCAGATCAGGAGTGCTTTTTTTCCAGCTTTTCCTACATGTGTCAGAATCCTGGAATCTCAATTTGAGAAGAGGAAATAAAACTCGGGGTGGTAGGAAAGATAAATCGTTATGAACCTCTGCGCCTTTATTGTCTATCCCAGGTTCCCGTGGTTGACTCACGATAATGCATTACTGGTCTAACAGAGATAAACTCTCTGCAAAGTTTCAATACCATTACAGGGCATGTATAGGTACACAGGTACAGGGCAATCGATGACAGAATGCAGAGATTACAATAAGATTCTGAGGTCATCACATACAGAACAGATAAAGAAATGTCAGTCAATCACACTGTAACAATGAGATTAAAATATTTCTAATTGCCTGTATTGACACTTTAGTTGAGTAACTTGAACCCATCTCCAGGTCTGCTCAGACATGCAAATTCAAGCTACTAGAAACTATTCATGATAAACTCAGACCCTTCTGCATGATCAGGGTGCATGAAGCCCTCTAGGCTATCAAAGATTATTGTAAACTGAATTCCAACAATGACTATTTACAATGTATATTTGGGCTAAAATGGCCTGTGTACTGTAGCCTACAGCTAAAGGTGAGAAAAAGGAGCGGGGAATGCCATTTTAAACAGTGACAGCTTGGTTTTGAGAAGGAAGACAGGATCTGATCCCACAATGCAAAGGCACACAGGAGTAATGCTTTTCAGACAGGATTTATCCAAATTTTCCCAACACATGCCATCATATCACCTTCCCCTTATGAACTGGGAGCTGTCCTGACTTGAATCCATGAGAATGACAGAGAGATGGCCATTCCTGTTGCTTCCAGAACATTCACAGAGGCTGAGAGCAAATATTCAGCTGTTGAAAAAGGAGCATTTGCTTCTGTCTGGGTTACAAAAAACTGGAGAACATACTTGTGGGCCATGTACTCAGACTGCATATGGATCACAGCCCCTTGGCAACTCTGCTAACTACAGAAAAACTGGGTCGAAGAGGAAATCATATTGCTTGATGATCAGTCAAATTACACTTTTCTACTTATGCAATGCAAAGTTTGACGACTGGTTGCTTGTTCCACCAGCCATTGACTTGCTCAGAGGGCCCTCTAGCGGACCATGTGGAAGTTGTTTCACTTCTCTCAACTATTCACACTGCAGTTGTGCAACAGCAATTTCAGGGCACGTGCTTTGCATGCCCCGTTCAACAGAGAGTGTAGTTCTGACAAAGGGCTCACCCCAGAGTTATTACCTTATCTCAGAGTACAGGCTCACAAGGTGGCCATGTGGTACGAGGGACACACTGGCTGTTCATGCCAGAGGAACCGAAGCCCAAATTCATAGGTCTTGCCCATGATACACATCTGGGTGTTGTCAGAACTAGGCAGTGATCACATGCATCTTGGTACCTGTTTAGGGTATACAAGGGTAGCGGAAGGCCAGTCCTCTGCCACTGCTGAATCACATCACCCTGCCAACACCACAGCAGCTCATGGTGTGGGGGGGGGGGTGGGGGGGTGTCCGTTGGTAGCCCAGAGTCCAACTGGAAAAAGCAGCGCTGATATAGCAACTGAGGCAACAAGGAGTTCCGCCATAAAAGGCATCAGGGATATGAGCCAAAGCCACCAGGAGGACTGAGGGGGAAAGGGGGAGAACAAGCCACAGCAAATCAAACTTGAGTGCTATATAGAGAGGGTTTCCTTTCCTGCTTAATAGAGGTCATGCTACACAATCTCTAGCACTGTGCAGAATAACACAATTACACAAATCCAAAGAGGGCTTTCTTGTGCTTTATTTAAATAATAACACATTTCCCTGCATTAAAAATCTATAACAATTTCTCAGTAGCCTTCGCAGCCACTAGAAGTAATTGTATGTTGTGGCAAAAATATGTTTTTTTGTTTTAAAGGACAAGTTGCCTTTAAAAAAATTGTCATGGTGGTAGGCTCCACATATTTTAAAGGTTTACTCACTCAAATTACCCAGCACCTGGTTCAGCAATTTGAATTTGCCCTCCTGGACTCCAAAATTCTGAACCAAAAATGTCGGCTCTGCTTTAACTTAGACCAATATGCCTCGGTGTACTCATTCCCTGCTGTTCTATCCCCTTGCTTGATCCCTGGCACCAGAGAATTCAGAGTAAAAGATGTGACTGAACAGACCAAATAGCACCACTAGGAAACTCATCAAGCATTGCAAGGAGCTTTATGTTAAGTCATTGGGCTGGTTCATCAGCCATGTAGCTGTGTACCCAGGAGCTCTTTCTGCGGCTTTTCTACCTGAGGCATTTTAATGGGAAATATCTGGAGATGAACCTGAAACCTTAACAATGAACACTAATGCAAACCATATGCTCTGCCACTGAGTGTAGTTACCCTTGCTGCTCCTGTCTATACCACATGTAAAAGGATATGAAGACAGACTCCAAGTTCACTCTGAATTTGCCCTTTGCTGCCTCTGGACCTTCCCTTCTGCTTCCCTCTTGCTTTGCTTGGCCCCAAGAATTTAAGGGTTAATTGCTGATGAACTGACTTTTAGCATGGCAGGCAAGTAAAGAGGGCATATTTTCACTACAAGACTCAGCTCTGAAATATTTGAAATAGTCAGAGATGAGGACCAAGTACATGGTGCTTTTGCTTCACCAGTGTAGCCTTGATGCTTCTAAGCAGACCGGGACTCCAGCTCTGCTTTACATATTAAAATGTTCAGACAAGCACCTCCATCCCCTCAGTGGGCAAAGAAGCCGCCATCACTGGTCTGGGACAACATCTTTGGCATGGAGTAACCGCCCACTGGATGGATGTTTTGTAACTTTTCAGCAGTTATAGAAAGTGATGTTGTGATCAGGCAGGGACTAGAATAAAGCTTTGGCAAAAGTATTGCAGGAAATATTTCAACTGAGTTCCTCTCTAAGTGTTGATATTGAACCTCATGAGAGTTTGGAAACCTGCTTTTTATCCCTGCTTGAAGGAACCCCACCCTTGCAGACAATCAGGTTCTTAAACACAGGTCACACCAATAGGCTGCAGCCTGGGCATGGCTCTACTGTGAATGCTCTGTATACCTAGGCCAAGATCATGCACAAGGCTGTGGCCTCAGGCAAAAATTTTTCTGGGCAGAATCAGGAGAGAGAACTTCTAAAAGCAAGGACAGAAGAACTCACTTATGGTTGATAGGTGTCTTGCCCTTCATGTGCAAAACTTTAACATTATCTAAAACAGCATTTGCCACTTCAGTTATTAAATGTTTTTGTCATTCATTTGCTAATGTCATGCCTTTTAATTACAACAATCTAGGTACAAGTACAGTAATATGGCACACAGACATTTCTATACCATAGCAAGCCATGGACAAAGTCAATGATGTTACTTTTTCCCCTTCCAAAAGTGTACCTTCCAGCCTTCAGTGATAGCGAATCCTCATAACATCACAAGGACAATCACTTGACCTCAACCACTAGTCACTAGCACTAGCCCAGATAGGTGTGAACCATCCCGTCAGGTGTCATGGGTGGATTGGTATTTATATTTATATTTATACCCCACTGCCTTTCTTAAAAGGAACCCAAGGTGGATTACAATTACATAACCATCTTCCTCTTCATGTTATCTTCACAGGTAGATAAGGCCGACAGTCTGTGACTGGCCCAAAGACACCCAGTGAGCTCATGGTTGACTGAACTTAGAAGCTGGACCTTCCAAGTTCCTGTACAAAGCACTCAACCACTGTGCCGCACCAGCTCTGTGTTGGCTAGATGCAGCTAGGTACTTTCAGACCCTGGACTTCTTACAGCCCAGCCCTCTTTGGCCGTCTTTGACAGCCATGTATGTGAAACACACAACTAACATTTATCTTCTCTCCCCATTCCACACCACCACCAGGCCATGCTTCACAACACTTTCTATATTCCTGATATATTAGACCAATTAGACCAAAACAAACCAAAAGCAAACTGCTTGCCAACACTGATGTTTTTAAAAAGAGAAATCCTCCCAACATGTGCAGTCTTGCATTTTAAACTCACTTTAAATTCTATCATCATTAGGAACAAAATACCACTTGCTTCTGCTGCCCTTATGCTAAACACATTTACTTAGGAATGTGAATCATTTTGTTGTAGAAAAGGAAAACATACTTTTAAATATAAACAGATACAATAAAATGAGGATCTGTAACCATATACATGCCCAGCTGGCTGCCCCCAACTACTAAAAATGCAAGTGTGAGGTGAAAGAAAGGGTGTTGCAGGAAGCAGTGTCGGCCTGGTGGCTTCCAGCACATCCAGGCTGTCCCAGCTGCTGACCCTGGACCTGCCTGCCACTGGTCCCATTACTGCAGCTCTCTGGATGGCCATTTGGGGGGCTCTGGACTTTGGCTTGAAGGGCAGCCCTCGCTGCACCACGGAGCGGGGTATTGGCAATAATGCCCTCAGAGAGAGAGAGCTTGGCCCTTCAGCGGGGGCGCCAGCTTGGTAACTGGTTTTCCTCATGGAGGAAAAGGTTGCTGGTGTACCTCTCTGGCGACAAGTCCTGCCCGAGGGAGAACACAAGCAGAATCAAGGCCTGTGGACAGTCCCTCATGGGAGCGAGAGTGGGAGCCTGCTGGGCATGTTAGGGGGGCAATGGGTCTCCCTCATTCTGACTCCAGCAGAAGCACGGGCCATCAGAGCCTCGCCACAGCTAAGTAAGAAGGTCACCAAGCACAGCTTCCTTTGGCCCCAGGGGTCCTGCACTGATCTCTTCACTTGCTTAGGGTCAGGAAAAGTCACAGCCCCTGCAGCTATGCGGCTTTCTTGTCCTGCTGGCTAAGCAGCTGGGAAACGCAGTAGGGGACGAGGGCAACGGCTGCCAGGGGCACAGCAGCGCTCTTGCAAAACGACAGCAAGTAGAAGAGCAGCTCCACCTTGGCGGGAGGCTTGAAAGAGTCGAACAAGTGCAGAATGAGGAGTGAGAAGCCGACGCAGCCCAGTCTAAAGGTGCGTTGCTGCCCTTGTTTCCCCTTGCAGCTCTCCACATACATGGGGGAATTGAGGGCCAGTCCCAGTCCAAAGAGAACCCCCAGGTTGCGCAAGAGGCCGGCAAAAGGCGTGGTGTCTAGGTGGACCCACTCTGGATGTTCGCACCACCGCTTGGCCTTCTCCAAAGTCCAGAGGAGGTCTACACCAAGCACTTTGAGTAGCAGGTAGAAGCCCACAGCAAAGGAGAAAAGGAAAAGAGTAGTGCCCACATACTTCCGCAGGCTGGCATCGTAGATGGAGTGTACATGCTGGAAAGACTCAGCAACCAGCATACCTGAAAGGGGAAAAGGAGGCAGGGCATGTCAGAACAGTCGTTCCTTCATTCAAACAAAAACCACAGTGAAATGTTTAGTAGTACATTTTGTAATAGCTTCATAAAATAGTGTAGCTCTTTTGCAAGTGAAGCAAGATATATTCCTAGGCTGCAATCAACACACTTGTCCCAGAAGACATGCAGACCTCTCATAACCCTAAGACCTCATTTTGAGCAAAACTCCAATTTTGTTTAGAGGGAACTGAAAGCAGAATCTTAACTCTGCAGTGGGGTTCATGGCCAAGGGCTTAGGGCAGGGGTCCTCCAACTACGGCCCGTGGGCTGAATCCAGCCCGCCATGCCCATTTATCCGGCCCGCCTCAGAGGTTTTGCATTCGCTCAGAGAAAACGATCTCCAAGTGAGCGAGTGAGCGAGCGAGCAAGCAAGCAAGCAAGCAAGCAAGCAAGCAAGCAAGCAAGCAAGCAAGCTGCTGCCGTGCCGCACTGCCTCGCCTCACCTCACCATGCGCCTGCCCCCGCCTCACCTTGCCCTGCCCCACACGTGCCTACCCCCCGCCTTGCCTCACCTTGCCACATGACCGCCGCCACCTCACCTCGCCTCACCACCACCTTGCTGCACCATGCCCGCCGTCTGCCGCCCCCATGCCCCCATCCCCTCACCAGCCTGCACCCCCTGCTGGCGTCGCCTGGCCGTCTGCACCCCCCACCAGGGCCTTTCAACTGGCCCCTGTTGGAAAAGTTTGAGGACCCCTGGCTTAGAGCCTGGTTACCTGGTTATGTCTCCTTCCATATGTACCTGCCTGCCCCTTAAGATCTGGGGAAATGGCCCTTCTCCAGGAGCCCTCCTTGACGGAGATTAGGAGGGTGACTACCCGGAGAAGGGCCTTCTCTATGTTGGCACCCTGACTGTGGAATTCGCTCCCCAGAGATGTTTGCCTGGCACCATCACTTCATTCTTTTGGGCGCCAGGCTAAAACCTTTTCATTTCCCCAGTGTTTTAAGATCTGATTGTGGGGTTTTACTGTTGGTTGGAAATTTTACTAGGATGCTGTGTTGCGTTTTGTTTTGTTTTGTTTTGTCCTATTGTCAAACCATCCTGAGACCATGGTAAGGGACGGTCTAGAAAAGTTTTAAATAAATAAAACAAAACAAACAAAAACAAAAACAAATAAATAAATGGCAGCTAATGCAACCTTGCAATACGTCAAGATAGCTAGGGAGTAACTGCTCAAGGATTGCACTGACCTGAGAAGACACCAGCAATGACTTGATGAGGAAAATGGGCAGCAAGGAAGACACGAGAGAGACAGACACAGACTTGGATGGCCCAAAAAGCCACCCACAGCACTACCTGCAAGAACCTGCAGAGGAAGAAAGACAAGAATGCACGGGTGAGCACAGGGAAGCCAAACAGCAAGCCAATTTGCCAGGGATGTCCTGAATGTATCTCCAGGGCAAAAACTAATTTCCTACCTCTGCCAGCTTCTCTGGGGACATGGGAGTGTCAAGTTCAGGTAAATTCTGGTAATCTAGATTTGGGCTTTCTGTGCCATTTTTTCATTAGGAGATTCCCAGCTCCTGTCCCTAGTCTGTCTGAGACAGCAGGTGAAGGCATATATCATATGGAAACAGAGCTCACAGCAGGTGATCCAGCTCAGGGCAAGCCTGACTTTCTCCTTGCTTCACAAATGAAACGACAGATATGTATCCCAGGAAAATCAAACAGTTTTGTCCCTTCCCTCTGAATTCAGGCAGGTTGTCTTTGAATTTTTAAAATGGTATGGATGTTTAGGAGTTAATTAGTAAAAGGGAATGCAAATGCAAAAAATTAGAAATGCAAATGTGTGCCAGATGTTGGGAGAGACATTTCTTGCTGACACCATATGGAGCCAGCTAATCAGCACCATGCACCCGCAGCTTTCATTTCAAACCTGCAGAAATGCGGTTTTCAAAGCCTGATTCCAGAAAAGAGTAGGTATGAAACAGGGTCTTTCCAGTGCAGCAGCGCTACACTAGAAATGTTACCTCTGTCTTCATTCAGATCGCAGTTGGACTTTACTTCTGCGGCTGCAAAAATTTTATCTAGAAACCATCTCTGTTCACTCTTGATTTCAATTTTTGCCATCATCAGCAAATCCTGGACTGAAAGAAAGGAAGGGCACCTTTCACGGCAATCTGGCATCCTTCAGGTACACTGGACCACATTCCCCATCATTCCCTGTCCAAATAGTAAGGTGGATTGAGGCTGATGGGGGCTGTAGTCCAACACATCTGGAGGATGCCAGCATGGAGAAACTGGCCTTTGAGATGCTTTCTCTCCTTTCAGGATGAATCCTGCAAGCAGAAGCTGATGGTCATGGCCCCCCTCTCTGCTAGGCAGTGACTGCCGCCATGTTTGTAGCTAAGTGTTGCTGTTTCCCTGTTGGATTATCCTAGACTGAAGCCTTTCCTGGGCTTACCAGGACTTCTTCAACACTGGAAGTATCTGGAGCAGGACTAGCTTGACCTTCCTTCGTAATACAAATTCTCATTGAAAGCCAAGGCATTTCTTGTCATGCCCCTTGCCCAGAGTGTTCACTACTCCTTCAGATGCTGCCGCTTACCGGTATTTCCATGTTGGCCGCTTCTTTTCCAGCATGATGGAAAGAATGGCTGTAACGATCACATAGTACACACCGGCTGAACCCATGGCATGGCCAGACGGGCTTCCTAAAGGAAGAAAGATCAGAGGTTTCCTTAGGCCCTGCCAGAAAGATATTGCGAGAGGAACACCAAGATATTTTGCTGTCTGAGACAAAGCAGAAAGTGGCCTGCCCCCGGCCCGGCCCAAATCAAGCTGCCTAATGCCCAAAGTGCCCAGGCTGGGAAAGACTTCGCCTGAGATCCTGGAGAGCTGCTTCAGTTTGAACTGGTAATGCTGAGCTCAATGGAGACTTGATGGCATTTATTTATACATTATTTATTTATTTATCGATTTATATCCTGCCTTTTTCCTACAAAGGGCTCAAGGCAGCTTACATCTCCTCCTCCATCTTATCCGCACAACAACCCTGTGAGGTAGGTTGGGCTGAGAGTCTGCGACTTGCCCAAAGTCACCCAGTTGGCTCCCTGGCTGAGCGGGGACTAGACCCCAGATTGTCTGAGTCCCAGTCCCAGGCTCTTAACCACTGCACCATAAGGCAGCTTCACATATAAGGCTTTCCCCTCTAGCTTCTTTCTCCCTAGAGGCCTAAACCGGGCCTTAGCCTTACAAAGCATACAAGCTAGAAGGGCAGATGACGTCCTTTAAATGGGATCTCCCCCGCTAGCCCTGTTCCAACCTTATCTGCTTCTGACCAAACTACTGCCACCTTTTTGGCTGGTTTTTTGGCTCTCACCTGGGCCAGTTTCACAAGTAACTGGGAACTGTTGGATTGCAGGGGCTGAGGTGTTGTGGTAGAAGTTGGTCTCAAATACCCACCAGTACGGTCTCTGTCCAAACAGTATCCTGTGGAGAAAGGGATTTTAGAAGTATTGTGAGCCTATGATGTTGACTTCTACAGCAGAACTAGTTTTGTCTATATGTGGATCCAAGAAGGTAAGCAGACAGATACCTCCAACCAGAGAGTCAATTTTTCTCATGAAATATTGGGCTTGGGTGCAGGAGAAGAACAGAATTAGGGATGGGCTCTAAGTTCCCAACCAGGTATTTGTTCTGGGTGCTAGTGTTTAAGGTAAGCACAGGCCACACAACTCAGCCAAGTCATCTAGGGGCAGCTGAGAGCCTTTCCCCAGGCCCATAGGTCCAGAACAGTAGCTCACCAGACCAGGGTTGAACGTGCAAGGAGAAGATAGTGAAAGGGAGAGCAAAAAGGTGTGGAAGCTTGTCCCATGCTCATGCCTAATGTAATGCATAAGGAGATCAATAGTTGTTTCCTTAAAAAGAGAATTTCAAAGTCCAGACATGCTCCAAGCTGTTCTTATACTGGGTGATCTTCCTCCCTCATGCCATCTTTATGGAGTATTAACTGTGAATATCCCTGCTGAGGAAAAGCATTTTGCACATGGACCTTCAAACAACATTACATGTTTGCTGAGCACAAAGAAGAAGCCATTAAGTGCATGTGACAATCTTACGGTAGACAGAGTACTTACCACTTGAATACAAGGTTCAGCCAGTCGCCAATCACGGCCACCCAGACGAGTTTGATCCCCACTGTCTCACATAAATGGAACCAGATAGGGAAGAGGACAAAGAAGGTGTTTCGGAGGTCGGCAGCGAAAGAAACAAAGAGGAACCAATCCTGGGATCTGGGGTAGCTGGTTTGGAGGTAATGGGTGGCCTGGATGCCTGAGTGATGGAGAATGTCCATGCCCGCTTCCATTCTGTTAGTGGTTAAGTGGCAGGCTATTCCGGTCCCTGCTGAGGCTGCACTGCGCACTTGGGCAGTTCTCTTTGCCTTTTATCCCCTCCTTAAGGTGGCAGCTTGAGCTTTGGACCCAAAATCGCTTTGGTCACAAAAACAGCTCCTGATCAAAGGTGCTTTCCCCCACCAACTCAGGACAAACAAGTTTAGACCAACTTATGTAAGAGGAACAAACATGTCCTTTAAAATCCTTGTTGACATCATGGCAGGGGTGTTAACCATGTGCAGTGCTACATTCATGCTATCATCAAATCTTCATTCTGCCCCATAGTCCTTGGACAAAAGGAAGCACCCCTGGTTTTAGCTCAAGAATTATGCTTATACCTTTGGTTGAGAGAGGAATTTTGCTATATGTAAGCATGACTCCCTGAGTTGAACTTTTCCAGATATGGGTACAGCTTCTACAAAGGAACCCCATTGGTTGCTTAATATTATGAAAGTCCTACCCAAATTCAAAGCTAAGTGTAGCAAACCAATTTATACTGCCTTTAAAAATTAATTAAAATGTAAGAGCTCAGGCACATGTGGACTTTCCAGTGCCATAGCAGAATGAGTTTGTGGGAAGGGGCTGTTTAGGCCATCAAGTCTAGCCAGTGCAGGAATTCAGTTTCAAGTAGGAATCCAAGGCAGAAAGCCAGTTTCAAACATCCTTAATAGGTGGCTGTGCGGTTTCCACCGAAACATCTCCATCAGTGGAGAGTCCACCATAGTTGGTCAGTTGGTTCCATGCTCTGACTGCCCTGTTAGGAACATTCTCCTGATGGATGGCTGAGATCAGCCTTCCTGTAACCTAAGTGTCTTTCAGACTTGGATGACAAAGCGTACAGCTGCAGCCTGATGTGTGCCAAACCTTTAGGTGCTTGAAAAGTGCTACCATATGCCTGCTGTTCTCAAGGCTAAACATGCCTGATACTCACAAGTGAATGGCTGCAGCTCAAAAGTGTTTCCTAACATACCTGGACACATGCTCCAGATCAATTACTGCAGCGCATATCTTCAACCTTAGCACATGTTTTCAGCCACCTTTTTGTGCTCACAATTATAGTGCCCAATGCAAAATGAACACAAACAGAAATTTATCCTTACTTTTTAATGTGTGGCTATAAGATGCAAAATAGGAATACTGAAACTTGACTGTGGTAAGTATTTCAGGTTAGTTGCAATCTTATGGACGTTTACTCAGAAGCAAAGGGCACTGTGTTTAATGAGACCTACTCCCAAATAAGTGTTCCAAGGCTGCAAAATCCAGAGCAGGCACAGAATGAATCTTTGTATGTGGTATGAGGAAGAAAAAAGGCAAATGAAGACTTTTTGGAAACGAACAAAGCTTTTTCAGTAAAATTTCCCAAGAAGTGAACGTTTCAAGAGAAGGAAGCATATGCGGCACGGAATGTAGTGCCACCCACTCCAAGTTCTTTATCTCAAGAGCCATGGTGGTGCAGTGATTTGAGCGTTGCCTTGGAGACCCGAGAGATCCTGGTTCTAGTCCCCACTCAGCTATGAGGCTCATGGGGTAACTTCGGACCAATCCTTCATTCTTAGCCTAACCTACCTCACAGGGTTATAGTTGTGAGGACAAAATAAAACCATGTAAGCTATCTTGGCTCCTGCACATGAGAGAAAGAGCAAGATTTATAAAAATATACCATCTCAGTTCTCCTCCTAACCAACTATCGGGCAGGGCAACTCTGCTGTAAGAATAGAGGAGAAAGTGAGAATAAACGCGTACTCCTAGCTTCAGTTTGTGACAGTTTGTTCCTTGACTACAGATCATTTCCTTTTGTTAGTTCCCTCTAGCTTTCTGAATTGGTTAGGTCAAGACCTCCTTTGAAAACCCCACTCAGCTCAATAGTATTGCACAAATGTGAGTTATTCTGAAGAGCTGGAGTGTGTGTCCAATAACCACCAGTTGAGACAATTCAGCAGAGGGAGACATGCTTATTCCAGGAATCAAGAGGGCAAATACGCAGTCAAACTAAGCAAGATTTTGTGCAAGTTCAGACCAAGTCATCAAATTTTTTAAATTGGACTTGCACCTTTCCTGCCCACACAAGGAACTGCTGCCAAAGTCTACCCTTCAAGCTAGGTAACGGAGTTCAACCTACCTTCCTTCCTTCCTTCCTTCCTTCCTTCCTTCCTTCCTTCCTTCCTTCCTTCCTTCCTTTCTTTCTTTCTTTCTTTCTTTCTTTCTTTCTTTCTTTCTTTGTCTGTTAGTTCTCTTTCTGTTGGATGGGAAGCTGCACATTCCTTTAGAATGCAGAGTAAGAGTGAGAATGTTTGGTGCCTGAATGATATTGGGTTGAAAGCTGGTGCAATTGTTGTATTTCTGCATACAACAATTGAAGGGGTTTCCTTCCCCTTTTGGATGTATGTGTGGATGTGGATGCAGAGCTGAGGCTTGTTCTCTCTGGCAGAGCCCCTTAAAGCTTCAGTGGGGGATCTCAAGCTTTTTAAGGCAGTTTGATGGGTAGACACCCCCCTTGAGGTGTGTTGGCCTCAGAGATTGCTTCCATGGCAAACTGGTGAAGAATGCAAGTCCATGGATTTAACTGGAGTGTAACGAAGAGCATGTGCTTGGAGAGGCTAAATTGTTAGGGTACCTCTTCATTGCTGGAATACTTGGCAAGCTGGGAGACCTTGAGAATTTTGGATGTTGGACTGAGCATCAGCACTTGGGCGTTTGGATCCTGGTCAGTGCAAAATGGTGATTAGATGCATGTGGGGGAAGGAGAGAAAGAATCCTGAAAAAGGAAGGGTGTGATTTGTACCAAAGGGGGTGTAGGCAGAATCACCTGCCTGAGCATGCCAAGATGATAGGGCACCAAATTGTCTTAGAGCAACCCAACTTGTATTGCTATGTATGCGATGTATGTGTCAAATTTGTCAAGTCTAAAATGCGGAAAAATAGTAAGACAAAAAGGGCAAATGCACGCTTTCCTTGGCGTTTTTATGAACATGGATATTGCTTTCATCCAAATGTCACTGTGTTGTTTGTTTAAACATGTGTTAAGATGTGCATGTGTGCGAGATGAATTGGGCCATCTTTGGTACTTATCTGCATGAACAAATACCATCATGATAAAGAAGAAATTGTTGTGACACTTGATTGTCAAGTTTAGGATACTACATGAACTCACCAGAGAGGAAAAGTTTTCTTTAGACAGAGTATACAGTGGGTTTGTAGAACATTTCATGTTTAGCAAAGGTTCCATTGTCTTAACTATGTTATGTCAGCTGGGATGGTGCACAAACAGAACCCATAAGACTAAGCTGGATAGATTTGTGCTGAGACAGAGTTAAAATAGTCAGAGACTTTCTATCTCCTTCTCCAACTTCTTTCAATAATTTCTTCCCCAGCTAATGTGCTTCTTCAGAGTATTCTGTTGGCAGCTGAAGCAATGTTCTATTACCACGAGCTTTAAAGAAGTGTGCGAAGGCCTTTCATTCACAGGTTTAAGCTGCACTCCCTTAGAAACCAGATGAACAGTGTCATGCACTTCAGCTGAGAGACTGGGTGTGAGTAAAAGCACATCAGATCAAAGATTCTTTCCTTCGGCCCTGGTGGAAAGGTGCATGCCAACTTCTCACGCTGCAATAAAGTGCCAAGGACTGCAGACCTGAGTACAAGCTAGTGCAAGCTAGTGGACGAACTAGAAGCAGTGGAGACAGAGTGTAAGAAACCTCTGAACTGGTAGAAAAGAGGGTCAGGGTGCAGGGCGTACGTGCTGTTAACCTCTCCCCTGCAGAAAAAGCTGATGTCCACTTGAATACATTTCTGAGTCCAGGCTCAAATCTTGCTTCAAAATCAAGAGCTCAAAATCAACGCAAACTGTTGCCCAGTGAAGGACAGACTGGACCCAGAGACAAAGAGACCCTACAACCTTCGGTCTAGAGGAACAAAAGACTGATTGATATATGAACTAGACAATTGCCTCATACATACTACAAGCCTAACTTACCGTCCAGTCTTTCCCAGGTCTGTTGACCAGGAAGAGAATCCATCATTTTAAGAGCCTCACCCCAAATGAAAAGGGAATTCTCAGAGACAGAACTGGTCAACATTGTTCAGGGTCTAAGAAACCAGAGCTTAGAAAGGCTAAGGCGACAGGCTGAGTTGGCAAAAGAAGAGTGTGTGACAGAAGAGAATTATTTAACTCATTGGGCAAGGCCAGAGGGTTGACGTGAACTAAGGTTGGCTACTCTTGTCAGTCTGGTTCATGTGTATAGCTATGAGTTCGTTGTTCCTTTGTTTCTTTTTTCTAGATGTACAAGACTTGTCCCTTATGTACACCTTAGGTATGCCAAGGAACACATCAAAGGAAGGGAAAACTTCTGTGAAAGAAAGTGACAGCAAGAGAGAATGGATTTTATATCTGTGTGCATGTAAAACCAACTTTGCAGGAACAGTGTGTCCCTTCTGCAATTTTTAAATTATTATTACTACATATAAAGGGGTGGAGTGTGGATGCTGCCAGGACACGTTGCCTATATAATCCAATTCTTCATACTCATAAATAAAAGTACATATGATGAATTTTTGTACAGTGTTCCTTCTTAGTGTTACTTCTGAGTCAGTATGAAGAGAGGGGTATCCCTCATCAAGTCACAGAAACATACCATGTTAGAGTTGGAAGGGGCCAGAAGGCCATTGGATCCAACCCCCGCTCATGCAGGACACCAAGTTAAACAATTGGATTTTGGATGCCTTTCTGTGTAGTTCTAAGCATAATTTTCTATGTACTTTCAAATATTTTATTTTAATCTATCACAGAATCATAGAATCATAAAATAGTAGAGTTGGAAGGGGCCATGAAGGCCATTGGGTCCAACCCGCTGCTATTGCAGAACACCAAGTTGCACCGTCCCACTCAGATGGCTGTCCATGTTCTTTTTGAATGTCTCTAGTGTGGGAAAGCCCCTTCCAACTCATCGTTGTTGTCATCATCTTAGTATCCCATTTTGTAATGGTTTGCTGCTGGATTCCAACTACTGCTTTTCTGTGTAGCTCAGAGATGAAGATGATTTCTCTGTAAATTCCACACATACACACTGGGCAAGTTTGTATCACATAATACGCCACAGTGGTTTCTGCTGCAGGATTGTCTCCTGTGTCATCTGAACCCTCATCTGTCATCTGTTAGGGGGTTCCCACATGGTATGTTTGGTTTTTGGAAACCAGAGAGAGAAATGACGGTCTGTTCTATGGCTTCTGCACTTCTCCATGGCTTTCTTGGTCATCCAAACACAGAAGTGCCTTTTCCATGTACCTACCATATAGTCTGGTTGAAAGAGTGGCAGGAGCAGCTTCTGCTTGCATCCTCCGCTAGCCTGATCTGCCCACAACCTCATGTTGACAGGCTGCTTTGCACTCCCTTCCTCCCCTGGAGTCTCCTCTGACCTCAAGGTGGCCACCTCTTGTTTTGGCTTTTCACCGGCAGCAGAGAAGCGGGCCACCCCAGTCCGAGCAGTGATCTTGAAGACTCCCGTGCTCACTGAAGTTAATGCAAATACTATGCCCAAGCTGCTCTACCTTGGTTTTTCAGGCAAAAGCATCTCTCTCTACTGAGCTGACCCTAACACAGGGAGCAAAACATGGGCAATGCATGGGGCACTGCAGACAGCCATCGCCCTGAAAGAGCCGTATCCCCTGCTCTGCCTCCCACACTCTCCTCCCTTCCGTGTCTGGTATGTCTCCTGGGACAATCACTAAGCCCTGCTATTGCCTCTCCCCTTGCCGCAGCTGCAGGACAAACACTTTCCCAAAAGCTAGCCTTGAAACATTCCCAGGCAGCTGTATACACACTCCCTGGAGGAAGCTCTTCCAGCAGGTCATGTTACCTCTCCCCTGGCATAGGTGCGCACACTCCCAGGCAGAATGGACAGCAGGGATGAGGCGGGCACCAACCCCCTGGGCTCCAGCCTCTTCTCCCAAAGAGCAGCACTCCTCCTGGAGGAAAACCCCTCTGGCTCAGAGAGAGAGGCAGCCCGGCTCCACAAGTGGCTGCGTGCCGACTTCTGGTCCAGGGGCGAACAGGGCATGCTCACTGACCCAGAGGGACAGGAGCAGTTCTGCTGCATGCACAACAGAACTCGCTTCCTGTGGTTCTCCAGGCAGCAGAAGAGGAGGGTTCTTCCGCATGCCTGCAGGAAGATGTTCCAGGAGGTTGTCATATAAGCTCCAAGGAGGCCCCAGGAGCTATGACCTTGTACGGCAAGCTGGCATGCCTGCTCCTCAACAGTGGGGATATCATGCCTGCAACTTTCCTCCCTCCTGTCACAATGGAGTAAACTCATCCTTGAGTAAGAGAAGAAACAGATGGCTCAATTTAAAGACTCATTTACAACACTTTGGAATTCCAGCTGTCAAGGTCTGCAGGCATAATTTGTATTTGCTTATCAGATCTATTAGACTCAAGGACGCCTAGAGATGATGGACTGGTTGTTTATAATTGCTGGCAGCAGGAGAACTTGTAACCCCAGGATTGGTGGAGGCATGTCAGATCTTTTGGTCAGCTGAGGGAGGAGAGGGGATAAAGAAGCCGGGTTCTGAGAGGATGGGTGCCTGCCTTCTGCGGAACCACATACCCACCGTCCTGGCCCAAGGCTGGGCTTTAGGCACTGTGGTGTTGTGAGTTCATAGTGTAATGCAAGGTTAGTTTTTTCAATTTGTGGTCCTGAGGTGCACCAGAGTGTTGAAGGGATCGGGAGGGGAGCAGCTGGACATCTGCCTAACTGACTGCAGCTGCTCTCCACTTTGCCATGCCCTGACTAGCTGCCTCTGTAAACCCCCACCCCTTCTGGTCTTTCCTTCCACCCCTCTTCTTCCCCCTTTTCTTTCCAAACACAGTGATACCTCGGCTCACGAACTTAATCTGTTCCACGACTCTGGTTGTGACCCAAGTCAAATTTCCCCATAAGATTCAATGTAAATGAGGTCAATCCGTTCTGGCCCCTCCGAATGTGGCTGTGAGCCAATTTTTGGTCACGAGCCAAGTCAATTTTCCCTATAAGGTGCAATGGAAATGAGGTTAATCGTTCTGTAACTATTTTTTTAAATCAGAAAAATCTGAAACAAA